GGTCGAACATTTCTCATGGAGACAGCAATTGAAGGCGACGTGGCTATAATTCGAGCTTGGAAAGCCGATAAGGAAGGAAACTGTGTATTCCGGTATGTCTGCTCAACCGACTTCTCAATTGATGCTAACGGATTAGATACGCAACAAAAGCATTCGGACCCATCATGGCAAAGGCCGCGAAACTCACAATCGTCGAAGCCGAAAACATCGTCGAAGTTGGCGCAATCGACCCCAACGATGTAGACCTCCCCGGAATCTTCGTCGACCGAATCGTACCATCTACGGCCGAGAAGAATATTGAGGTTCTCAAGTTGAGAGAGGAGGGATCAGATGGACCACCCAAGGCTACGAATGAAGCGCAAGAGCGACGAAATCGTATTGCCAGACGAGCGTCCAAGGAATTGAAGCCTGGATACTATGTTAACTTGGGTGTTGGAATTCCTACGCTGGCTGTTTCTTTCCTGCCTGCCGATTCGACTGTGCATATTCAGTCTGAGAACGGTATTCTTGGAATGGGTGCTTATCCTACAAAGGATGAAGTTGATCCGTATGTTAGCTGTTCCTGTTTGAAGCGTCGCTAACAAATTAGTGATATCATCAACGCTGGCAAAGAAACAGTCACCCTTGTCCCCGGCGCATCCGTCTTTGACTCCGCCGAGTCATTCGGCATGATCCGCGGCGGTCACGTCGACGTCTCAATCCTCGGCGTAAGTTCCCAATGCCCCATCCCACTTCCTCACTAACACCCTTAGGCCCTTCAAGTCAGTGCCGTCGGCGATTTAGCCAACTACATGATCCCAGGCAAAGTCTTCAAAGGCATGGGCGGCGCAATGGATCTCGTTGCAAATCCTGACAACACCAAGATCGTCGTCGCCACCGAACACTGCGCCAAGGACGGCTCATCAAAGATCAAGCAGCAATGCACGTTGCCACTAACAGGTGCACGTGTGGTAAGCACGATCATCACGGATCTTTGCGTGTTTGAGGTAGATCGTGAGCAAGGCACACTTGCGCTTACGGAACTTGCGCCGGGGGTTAGTGTGGATGAGGTTAGGAGTAAGACGGATGCAGACTTTGCAGTGGCGGATGATTTGAAGCCGATGGAGTAATACCAAATAGAATTGTGATGATGAACTTTTGTATCGATACAATTAAATGACCTTTTGTGTGATGAATGGAACTTTTGAGGATTCGTCATTGAACCCTGGTGGCTTGGAATAAAGTTGGCTCCGCTGCGGGGAATAGATTAAGGTTAGGAGTCTATTTGGGCGATCGGCAGGGCGGTTGAACGGTTTGTTGCGCCATTGATACCTTGTTATAGCGAAGATGAGCGCCAGTGCCGATGGGGAAGGTCCTGGATTGATTTGCTGGGCAGGTAATGATCATCTGCGGTGCTCAAAAGTTTGCCCGATTACTGTCGCCAAGAATGAGGAGATGGTTTAAATAACAGTGCAGGTTGCACGTAGTTCAATCGACACGCATCAATCATGAGGTACTCAATCGTTTCCCTCCTCACCCTCGCCTTGGGCGCAATCGCTGTTCCCAAGACTGAGATCAAGTCTTATGATGGCTACAAAGTCTTCCGTGTAAACACCCACGGCAAATCCGCCATCAAAGAGAAACTCACCCCAGTTACTTTCGATGAGTGGGAACATGGCTACCAACACGTTGACATTGTCGTCGCACCCAATGACATCAGTGCCTTTGAGAGTCTGAAGCTTGAGTACACCACTCTTCACGAGAACCTCGGCACTTCAATCACGGGTGAGAGCGTGTCCCGCAAGAAATGGAAACGTCAGGCAGATGATGATTCATGGTTCGATGAGTTTCACAACTATGAGGATCACATTGACTACTTCCGTGACTTGCATGCGCAATTCCCGAATAACTCAAAGCTGGTGTCGTCGGGAAAATCGTACCAGAAGAGGAATATTTATGGGCTGCATCTTTGGGGTGAGGATGGTCCTGGAAAGCCTGCTGTGCTTTATCATGGAACTGTTCATGCTCGTGAATGGATTTCTGGTCCTGTAAGTACATCGTCCTGTTGAGTTTCGTCGCTAACCTTTAGACCCTCGAATACATCACCCTCCAGCTTGTCAAGGGCTTCAAGAACGGCGATGAAGATGTTCAGTCTTATCTGAACAAATACGACTTTTACATCTTTCCCTTCGTCAATCCCGACGGTTTTGTAAGTTTTGCACTCGTATTGACGGATCAAGCTAATTGTTAGGTCTACTCTACCACCGCTGATCGTCTCTGGCGAAAGAATCGTCAACCTCCTCCTGCCACCGCAGCCAACCAATCATGCTACGGTCGCGATATAAACCGAAACTGGGAATTCGGCTGGGACTCCAACAAGCGCGGTGCTTCAACCGATCCCTGCTCTCAAGTTTATCGCGGTGAAAAGCCCGCCGACACCCCAGAGAACCAAGGTCTCGACAAATTCGTTCGTCAGCTTCGCGATACCGTGGGTATTGCGCTGTACATCGACTGGCACAGCTACGGACAATACATCCTCTCCCCCTTCGGATACAAAGAAGATCTTTACGCACCGGAGCTTGGAAAGTGGACCAAGGCTGCTGCGCTGGTCAGTGAGGCTATTCGCGAGAGCACAGATGATCACACGACGTACACTTTTGGACCTAGCGGTGCTGTTTTATACGTCACTACTGGTGCTGCCCCTGATCATGTTTATAGTGTTGGAGGAGCGAAGTTCTCGTATACTATTGAGCAGCGCGATACCGGTGAGAATGGTTTTGTTCTTCCGCCTGAGCAGATTAGGCCGAATGCTGAGGAGCAGTGGGCTGGACAAAAGGTGCTGCTGTCGCTGTTGGATGAGACTTTCTTTGATGGAAAGGGTCCTGCTCTTTACCAGGGACAGACTTAGATGGAGGTGGAATGTTCGTTTCTTGTATATAGTTGAGAAGTCAATTGAGGTGGCGGAGGACGCCCAAACTTTGCGGTCCTTGAACGTTGAACTTTACAGCCATTCCGAGATCGAAACAGTCGCGAGAAGCTCCATCGCATGAACTCAATTGCTTAATCGTTTAAATGTATTGTCTATAGTGATTTATATCACAGCTTCGAGTCTCTACCTGGCGCAAAGCTACTTCCACCAATTGCCTCAACAATCTTATCCACCGTATTCAAGATCCAATGCCCACCCTCATCACCAGCCAAATACTGCACAGCCTCTTCACTCTCCCCATCCTGATCATTCTTATACGTCCCATCCTCGAGTGCCTTTCGCAATCCAAACACATGCGACAAAACCTGCGGCCCAACACCAGTCTGCGCTCGTAAACACGAAATAGCAATCATAGAGGTATGAACCCGTCCAAGACTCGCAAGCGTATCGCGCTCCGAAGCAGGAGGATCCGACAGAAGAGCAGAGTAATGACTGCTGAGGATATAAACGGGTAAATCGGGATGCGCAAGCGCTAGCTTTTCGAAGAGCTTATCTTCGTACGGTCTGTAAATCGAATCCCATAATCCTTTACCGCGCGCTAACGCTTCGTCAATGTTTTGCGATGTCGGTTGTCGGCTTGGTTTCGTGCAGAGTTTCGATGTTACTTCTTCGGGGAGCGATGCGTGGAATGCATTTAGGGAATTGATCGTTCGTGGAATGCCGTTGAAGCTGATGCATTTGAGACCGACTTCTCTGATGAACTCGGCATTTTGGACAGCGGAGTTGGGATCTTTTGCGGACGCGACGCGGTGAAGAACGGGCAATGAATCGGGAGAGTTAAGTGTAAACGTCGCAGCAGCCTGAATCATCAATATCTCTCCAATGCGACAATTTTGGTAGAACGTACAGAAACTGTTAGCCATGACTTTGGACCGAGGTTCCTAATCGCAGCATCGTTTGCGATAGCCTCGTACAATTCCTGGACTTGTTTCGGCGCAGGACGAGGGCCTGGCTTTGCAAAAGGCGCATTGATAAGCGCTTTCAGCGAGGTAGATAGTTTCGACATGTCTGCTTGTTTATCGTTTGACATTGTGTTTCTGCCGAGGATGTATTGACGCTTTTGTGATAATGACGATGATGGGCGGAAGTCAGAGTTGGAGACCGAGGGATGGACCCACCTTTTCTACGGGGTTCAGAATGGATGTGCGGACGGAGCTAGATTTGGATACCGAGGGCATGTGTAAGTGTACAAAACAATGAGATGGAAGGGAACTGAGAGGAGTAATCAGATAAGTTAGGATATTGTTTAAATGAGTTCTGATAAGAAAAAGGAGCCTTTTTGGCTTGGGTACGTTCTTTTGAGTGCGTTATGAATATGGCTGACGGTTTGTAGTGGTGCTGCAGCTTGCATGGCTGTTTGCTTCAGTATGTCTTCTTCAACGACGGAGAGCTTGACTAACATGTGAAGCCCACCCTTTGGATCAAACAAAATAGTGAGTCTATCAATCCAAAGTTACATCGTAAACTAACAAGCCAGTCGCATGCAAGTCATCAAAAGTAATGCGTCTATGCTCAACGTCCTATATCGCTTTGCCGCACGAGATGGTAAGCTCCCCATCCTTTATACCACCCATCCGCTAATTATCAGGCATCCCATCACTCTGGAACGGCTTATCAGCTTCTATCCTCCGCCAAGGAACATACTCAACCGCTCGTTTCGGCTTTCACACATACTTCTCAGATAAACTCAGAGGATACACAGGCAAGAAGCTCTCAGTTGCGCAGAACATTGCCTGCGCTGGTGTAGCTGGTGGTGTTGCGGGTTTAGTCGGCAACCCAGCTGAAGTTGTTCTCGTCCGTATGTGTGCAGATGGCGCAAAAGCTCCTGCGCAGCAATTCGGATATGCTCATGCTTTTGATGCGTTGGCGAGAGTTTATAGTGAAGAGGGGATGAGGGCGTTCTGGAAGGGGATTGCTCCTAATATCGCGAGGAGTGCTTTGATGAGTGAGTTTTCTGCTTTGAGAATGAACATTGCTAATAATTGTAGATGTATCTCAAATCGCTACGTAAGTTTGCTGCCTCTGTGGGTGACTCAACTAACAAGACAGATACGCATCCGCGAAACAATACCTCCTCAGCAACGGTTTTGGAGACGATACAAAAACCCATGCAATCTCCTCTCTAGCCGCTGGAACAATGGCAACAACTCTATGCGCTCCCGCAGACGTTCTCAAGAGTAGAATGCAATCTAGCGCTGGTAAAGAAGGCCTAGCGCAAGTTTTGCGCACTGGTCTTCGAGAAGAAGGTCCAAGATTCCTCATGAGAGGATGGACACCTGCTTGGTTAAGACTTACGTACGTTTCTCGTTTCTTGTGCTGAGTAAAGCTGACTTTATAGACCGCATACTGTTTTGACGTTTGTGTTTATGGAGAAGCTTCGACAGCTTACGTCGATAGATTGGTTAGGTGGAATTAGTGCTGCCGAGAAGGTGACTCTGCGTTGAGAAATGATTTAGGACCTGATTTGAGCAAGTAACTTGTTTGTTGATTTATGTAGCAATTATATACCAACTTCAGGCCAGTAAAGCCATTCGAAATTCGTCATATCCTCCCATGATAGTCCCCCAAACGAAGGTTCAAAATCGTTTCCAGGCTGATTCAACGCTTGAACGATCTGATCATCCGACATAGCTGAGAACTGTAATGGTTCAGGCCATAAAGCCTGTTGATCTAAAAAGGTTGGAGTCGTAATTGGTGCTTCGTTAACGATCGGCATTCTCGGATCTGAGATACCGTCTCCTGTCGCTGCCCGCCTGACAATTTGCTTGAGATACTTTCCGTACTTGATGGAAAGACCGTTTCGATGTCGTGTGACTTTTCCAATCCTTTCCAGAACTGTGGCTGTTTCGTCGATCAGATTTCGAACACTTGGTGCTAGAGATGATCCACCGGTTGCGTAAGAACTTATTGTAAGGGCGAAGCAAGCGGCGAATGAAATCATGATGGCTGTGTTGTTCGGCATCGACTGAAGTTGTGATTCTCCCTGGATTGCAGCTCTCATAACGTTGAGGGCGGATGATAGACCAGCGGTGTGAAAGAAACGACGGACTTCGAGAGGTGCGGTTGGATGATTAATCACTCCGCCGTAGATAGACAATCGGGTATGTGTGACGAGAATCTCGACGTATGGAGGAAGACGACGGTCTGATGGTCAGCATGATTCTTGTCACGCAGCTATTGATCTTACCTGGCCCCTTTCCAATAGAAACACCCCATTCTGTGTACCATTGATCAAAGAACCGTTCAATAGACCCTTGAATTCTGCGGCTGTTAGCTGAGCCAGTGACTTTGGGGACATACGTACGACTGTGCGATTAACGATCCATCACTGGACGCCATCTGAGATCCGTCGCAAAGAGCTCGAACAGTAGCAAACAACGCATCCAAATCTCTTCGTAAAACCGCCATGGAAACAAGATGACCATCCAGAGGATCAGCATATTCCGAACGATGCCAATTGTCACAATCTTTCAAAGATCTTGTCATCGGTACTGAAAATGGTCGCCCTCTAGCCAACGACATTCCTCGCTCAAGAACAAACAACGAAAGCCAGCATCGTTCTCGGTTCCTGAGGAACAGTCGTCCTTTTTCTGACCATGGATCAATTTCGGGGAACCCATCCATTGCGAGAGCAGCTCTTGGGTCGAGACAGTCACCCCTCGCGAGGCCAATACCAGATCCAGAACCTAGCATTTCTGGTGAAACGAGGCTCTTGTGGAGTGATAAATCTGTAGCAACTGTGTTGGCGATCGAGATGTAAGTACACGTCTCGTCATCAGTTGAATGTTGTCCCGGAAACATCCATGGGATATTAACCATGAAGGCAAGAACAATTTCAACTGATCTGTATCGATTTACCATGACTCTATGCGCAAGAGTTCTAGCGTGATTTGATAATCGTTTTGAGAGGGCTGCTGCTGATGGCATGAAGAGTGCAGAGGCAGCCATGATAGACGTGTAAAGAAACGCTGATCTTGAACGCGTGAATTCGACAGTGTATATCCTCGGATCAAGACCCCATCGTGTATGCGCGAGGTTCCGATGAAAACTGCACTACGCGGTTAGTACGCGCTAGAAACGGAGCAACAAACTCACAAGTTGAAAAGCTTATCTGCTTCCTCCTCAGATACAAGGCCCAGAGAAACAGGATCAACATCAGGCCCAACATCGAGGTGAACTTGCGCCGGCGCAAAGAAAGCTTGGATTTCATCCTCCGTTTGACCCTGCGTACTAGCCGTATGCGCCTGCTGCGGAGAATTACCATGTCGCGACTCAGGCGATGGCTGGATATACGATGCCCTCGCAAGAAGCTGTAGAGGATTCTCTGCATCGTCAATAGCAAGACTCTGTTGCGTTCTCTGGATGAAATCAGGCATCGCTACAGGGTCTTGCTCCTCCTCCTCTTCCGAATACGCATCTTCATCGCCATCACCGCTGACACTGTACCCACGAGTAGTCGCGTGTTCAGGCGTATTCGCATTGCTGAGTAATTCCTGCAAATGGTTCAGAATCCTATCATCTTCAGGATTCTTCTGCGACGCTGATCGAGCGCGTTTAACAGCCTGGTCAATCTGATACAACGCCTTATCCAACCCAGTTCGTTTACTGACAACCCAAGTCAGCATTGATAGGCAAATATGCGGGGATGCTTACTTTTTAATGCCCTTTTGACGTCCAGGATGATATGCAGGACGCACACACTCGCAGTCAAGCTGTATGCATCTCCTGCATCGTTCCTGGTGAGGTTTCCAGTCGCATTTGATCTTTGAGCGACGACATACGAGACAGGCTGCTTGTCTCGGACGCGGCGAATCACCAGCTTCGAGCGGGGATGTTTGGCTCTGAGTGTCAGAGTTCCGCCCCGCCATGATACAAAAAGTCGGAGGTTGATCTGTTACCGAGAGCACGATGGGAAAATCAATGAGGTGATGAGAAACAAAGTTGGGTAACGGGGGGGATGGGGAGTTGAGAGGCGGAGACGTTTCCGACTCGAGTCAGGTATGGTTTCGTCGGAAACATACATGATTGGTCAGTGTTTAAGCTTCCGATATTGACTCGCGGAGATGCATATTCAACGTCTGACTAGTAGACATGATTAAAATTATGCATAGTTATTTGATCCTATCGATAAGTTATATTACTTGCAGATACATCATCCACAGAGATATCATGTCGCCATCGACCCTGTCGAGCACGAAATGAACGGACAATCGCAAAAGTGGAAATGGCCACTGACTATATCGTCGGGCAACCTGCGATTCTAGCCTGATTCGGAAGAGTTATGCACTAACCTTGCTTCAATCCACAATTGATACTCCATTGATGAAAATCTTTAGAAGATGGCGATATGAGAGGGATTTTATAAGAGGTGAGGGTTGGAATATTTTTTGATAATGAATTTTTTGTTTGGATGCTTGTGTAGCCGTCGAAATGTCGTCCAACGCTGTAATCGAATCAGGCAGCGATAAAGATGTCAAGGATGTCACTGAACAGAGCGTTGAACAGTCTAAGCCTGTATCTCGGTTTACACGATGGTATCGCAGTCCTTTATTCAATGTCATAATCGTTGGTTTGATCTCTTTTACTCAACCAGGAATTTGGAATGCCCTCAACAGTATGTTCACCGTCACCTCACTTTGCATCGCTAACAATTGTAGATACCGGCGCTGGTGGTCAGCAGGAACCATACCTTGTCAATGGCGCCAACTCACTCACCTTTGGCATCATGGTTTTTGGATGTTCCATTTTCAGTATCCTGGCCAATAAGATTGGTCTGAAATGGGTTCTCGTTATCGGTACCCTTGGATATGCACCTTATTCTGCAGCGCTTTACACCAATAACAGATATGGTGTTGAGTGGTTTGTTCTGCTTGGTGGTGCCACTTGCGGTATTGGTGCTTCTGCGCTTTGGGCTTCGGAGGGTGCTATCGCTTTGGGATATGGTGATGTCAAGGATCGTGGAAAGTTCAGTAAGTTGGCATGATTTGATTGTGAAATCCCTGTGTTAACCTTTGTAGCTGGAATTTGGCTTGGTCTTCGTGAGCTTGGTCAACTTATCGGTTCTTCAATTCAGCTCTCACTCAACGTCGACTCTGGAAAACGCGGCCGAGTTGGATACACCACTTATTTGGTCCTCATCGCTCTTCAATGCCTCGGTCTTCCTCTCGCACTCCTCATCTCGCCGCCCAACAAAGTCATCCGCCCTGATGGCTCCAAGTTGCCTCACACTCAAACCAACAAGAGCATCAAGGAACAATGCCGGCGATGGGGCGCTCTTATCAAGCGCAAGCAATTCTTCCTCTTGATTCCTATTCTCGTTGGTTTCAACTGGAACAGCACATATCTGGGTATTTATCTCGTCAACTACTTTTCCGTCCGAGCGCGAGCTTTGGCTTCGTTGACTTCCGGTATTGCTGCTACTGGTGCCAACATTTTCTGGGGTTGGTTCTTTGATCTCAAGTACTTTAGCCGACCCCAGCTTGCTAGAATCACTTGGGTTTTCTTGGCTATTACTATGACTGCTCTGTTTGGTTGGCAGTTTGCTATGGAATTGGAGTATCGTAACGCCAACCCTGCTGTTACTCTGGATTGGGATCTTCCTGGTTTCGGTCGTGGATTCGCTGTCCAAGTCCTTCTTCGGTAAGTTTGTATCAACCTACTTGTGAAAAATTAAACGCTAACAAACCAGATTCATGAACGAATCCCACTACATGTTTGTGTACTGGATCATCGGAACCTTCTTCGAAGACGTCGAGACCCTGACTCTTGCTGTCGGCTTGGTCCGATCATTCGAGTCTCTTGGATCATGCTTGGCATTTGGTGTCGGTGCTGCCAAGGTGCCATCTCTGACCAACCTCATCGTCGCCTTTGTCATGTTCTGCATCTCTCTTCCTTCAACCTCTTTCGCCGTTTTCCTTGTCCCTGAGCGTCCGGCAAACCATGTGCTTGACAAGGACAACGAGTCTGAGGAATAAGGTTAGACTATAGCTAGGCTTTCAATACTATCTGAAACTCACCCACTTTGCATTACAGGTCCCTAATTGACGGTGGAGCCGATCGATCGTGATCGCGATGCAGGGTCGCGGCGCAAAGTCCTGCTGTGTGGATGAGGAGATTGTTCAATCACAAGTCACATGTATTGGTCCGGAAGAGGAAGCTGATAATTAAGAATTAAGAAAACAGCGCCTGGAACCCAAGAACACATACACACTTGCCAAGCCAGCTGCGCCGTCATAACCCTGAGAGCTAGCACGGGTCACAGGCGGCATAGGGCTGAAGATCTGAACACATGAACCAACAGCCAAGTGTAGCATTAATTACAAGGATACGAAACGAAATCCCTGTCCATAAATAAACCTAATTCAACGGCGAAATCATAACTTCCTCCGAATCCCTATACCGTATTGTCCCATTCTTGAACGCTCGAACCAGTCCTCGAACTTTGTGCTGGAGAGGAGTAACCTTTCTCAGCTGCAGAAACTTGCGAACCAGCTGAGCAGTGATACTGAGAGCTCCTGAAACAGCAATAATCTTGAAAAAGGCTGTTAAATCACCTTGTGAGTTGACATATGGCCCGATGAAGCAAAATGCCATCCTAAGTTTGTAAGCAACGAACCTAACAGGACCATGATACACACCATCTAACGACGGTTGGAGATACAGCCTTGATATAAGGCCGCTCCTGTCTTTTGATATTCTCAAGAATGTCGTCGAGTTTGGCAAGATCTTTTATGGCGTTGGCTTGAGAGATTCGGGCATTCTGATCTGCTTCTGAGCCTCGGGGCTGAAGAGGCCGGGCACAAAGTCCAGGAAGATCATCATGGCTGATACCAAGCCCGAATTTCTCAAAGAAATTCTTCAAGTGACCATTTGCGGATTCTCTGTAAGTTTCAAACTGCTCAAATGCATCACCGTCACGGTCGATTGGTGAACCTAGTGATATTGCTTGGCTTGCGATGCCCGCTCCCTTGATAAGAGAGTTTCCCATGTTGTCTGTGACTTTTGGAATGTTTCTTGTCCTTTGCCTTACGTTCAGGCTTGCCTTTGATGGAAGCAAAAGTGAAAACGTCCCCTTTCGATACGGTCCGCATGTGAGCATGGTCTGAAAATGACCAGAAAGAAGGGGGATTCATGCATGTTGATTGGTTGTGTAGAACAATATACCTCATTTAGACCTAGAATCAGGTTGAATTAGACATTATTCTCAAGACAATGCAAAGTGGCGTCGAACTAGTCACAGAGGTGCGGCTTGTGCGTATAGCGGTGGGCGACATGATCAGGGGCATGGTTGAATGAATTTCAAGGAGATTGAGGGAATAGTCTTCAAATTCTTCCTCAGGTAAGGCCCGCGTAACTATAGACTTTCTTCATCTGAATAGCTCTATGAATTGCGATAACTTCTGTCGTTGAACTGGGCTCGGCTGGTAAGTTCTCCCCCACAAACACATCGCCAACCAACAAAGACATCACATGTCTGTGCATTTGATAGATCGCGTGCATTGACCAGATGACGCGCTCGGCCCTAAACTCCTCTCACAAGAATTCAAACTGGATAGAAGTGTACAGTATGTAAAAATGTGTTCATTAGTTCTGCTATAAAGGTATCAATCAACTATCGTCGTCTACAACGACCTATCGCTCGGACTTTCAGACCTCATCTGAGTCGTAACTTGCGTCTTGTTAAACTTACTCTCCCCATTAACAAGACTCTGCTCATCATTCTCACTGTACTGCACATGAAACGTCCTCTGCAATTCAATGCCTCCATGCTCAGGCGTATGTATAGAATCACCCGCATGAGAAGGTAACTCCACACGAGCACGACTTCGACTCATGATATGTGATTTCCGTCCGTAATGTTCTCCGTAGTTGTTGTATTTGCTCGAATCGTAGGATGAGCCTCCAAGAGCGGGGAAGAGACGGACGAGAATGACTCGGAGAGCGGGCATGGATGCGCAGATGATGCCGACGTTGATTTCAACGGTTGACCAGATTGAGATGTCGGTTTGGTCGTATGTTGGGTTGTGAGATGAGCCGAGATCGACGAGGAATTGGAGACGAATGATGCTCACGACGGTGACACTGAGAAATTAGCTAGGCTCATTGGAATTGGCATGTAACTTACAAAGTTCCGACGATAAACATGGCGGCAACACCAATCTTCTTTTTCCAATGTAGTTTGAGCTTCCGCAGATACCACATTGGAACTGCAAGCATCCATACATCTATAGCAACACTGATAGATGCATTGGCCCAGCCGATGGCAGTTGAGTTCATGCTGATACTGTTAGCCGAGTTCTTCGCGTCGAATTGTCAACATACCATGTTCCCTTATGCTCTCCATCCCAATTCAACCAGAAATAGCTCACAGGCGTACACTGAAACGCCGCCAAAAACATAAACAAAACACCAAAAACACTATTGAAAATAATAGTCCCCCAAAGAAGTTTCTGCGCCGTACCCGGAAAGATCCTTAGGTAAAAGAACAGCAATGACGTCTTGAGCAGCGAAACCTGCGCAAAGTAGAAAATCTCCAGGATCCAAAAGTAAAACCCAAACTTGGTTATGTCATCAAACTCGAGCGTCCAGATATCGCGGCCTTCTCCGTGTCCGGCTGTTCCGTGGATGTTCATCGCTGTGGAGGGCATGCCGAAGATGAGCGTGAGCACGATGAATAGGTCGTCGAGACCGAGTTCTGTTTTGGTGAAGAAGAATTTGGACCAGAGACGGAGAGCGGTTGCGACGCCGGATATTACACCGAGGACGATTGTTACGTTGATGAAGAGGGGGGTTTTGTTTCGCACGGGGACTTCGCAGTAGGTGTAGGTCATGTTGAGCGTTGCTATTGATGTTAGAGAGGCGACGTGAAGGCATGGGCGACGTACTCAGACTGTCTCTGACGTGACATGCTTTGGCTGCGCATGCCTCTGCTGTCTGGATGATGACTTCGGTCGAACACACGCATTTTACATCGCTCGATTTGCACTCCGACTTCGTGATGGCATCTTCGTAGCAAGGCGCCTACAACATTAGCATACACCTATCAATTGACGGGCTAACTTACTGCACAAGCGGGCAGATTGGTCAACAACTCTTTCGTTGCATCCGCTGCCACTACCAGGGGCACAAAGGCCACCAGAAAAGGCACAATCCACTTCATATTGATCGACAAACGTTTTACAAGGAGGATGACCCGCGTGCGGACCCCAGGGGATATTTAACAGATTTCCTTTAGCTGCAGTAGATCTAGGGGTTCTCGCTTTATCCTTGACCTTACAGTCATCGTCTCAAGGGATCAGTGTAACCCCACTGCGTTCGTCCCGTCAATTTGGAAGGAAGTTAAAACATGGATGATCCGGATTCTTCCAGATACAGCGTAACATCGCCTACAGTTGTCCCTGTAGGGGTTAATAATTTTAGTTCATTAATTGGCGCAAATGCGTGTTTAGAGTATCTCGTAAGCTGCACTGTCACTGACTTGACTGGTAATTTAGTTTGGGCTGAAATATCAGGTACCGCACTAATCGGCATGGGGCTGCCGGCTTCGGTAACCTCCTTTTTCTTGCAAGAAAAGACCGGAGTTTCAAGTCGTGGATGAGGTCCAATTGTGGAAGGTCGCCTCAAGCTTAGTCTAATGCAAAGGATCCTTGACACTTCAAATCGTCTTAGCGTGTGCCAACGGCCCGATCCCTGTCTTGCCAAGGATTGGTTGGGCTGTGGACGGAGATCATCTCAAGATTTGCTCTAAATATCTGAGAGGAAATGATCAGCATGTCACTCAACTGAACTTGTTGAAGGCGTTCAACCTCGAGTCAGCCAAATGCATGATTCTGCAACGGAACTGTTCCGTAACAACGACCCCTTTGTTGGTGAGTTTGTGCTTCATCATAACTCAAATCAGTCTGATAAAACTCGGGTTAGCTTGGTCCGATCCTACCCCAGGTTTCAGCTCAACGCGGCAATTCGACCGAAGACGAGGAACTTTCCAAAAGCTTATCAGAAAAAGAAATATTATCCCAAGTGCCTGGTTCGCGGTCTATTTTTCACGTGCAAATTAATAGCTTCGGATGACTGAACAGAATGGGTTCGCTCTCGAGAAACAAGGTTCTCGTACTATTGTATCGTGTTGCGGAGTTGATCCATTTCCATCCTCGCCTCGGTGAAGTTATTGGAACTAGAAGCTAAGACCTGTCCAGACCGCTGGCCTTGTACATATTGATAGCTAGTCATGATCCTAGGGCTGTTACAGCAACGGTCACTAAGGAATCTGGCAGAAACTGTTCTGTCAAAGACGGGTAATCTGCTTTGCAATGATGTAGGATTTTTTAATTGTCTCTCCACTTGGTAGTCATTGTTTGACTATAATCATGTTACTTCGCTCGTGGTTGTTGGCTTCAATGTTTTGTAGGCCTCCATTGACATGGGTCACTTGCATAGACCCTTGTTATCGCGTCGTCTCTCATTAGCAATGCAACCTCGACTGATGCACCGTTCACCCCTGATTGTTTGACAACGTGTTCTAGATTGCTTGCAGATGTTCCATGTGGTCAAATCCCCTGCTTCTGTCAGTGGCGATGAAGCATATCTGGTATGCATCTCGCGTGGCCTTGACATATTGCGTAAAGTGTTCGCTTTTATCCCACCTTTTAAGCTACTTTTATCCGTCTACCGAAAGCTTTGGCCTCGAAAAGAAGCAGATTATTCCTTTATGAAGTAACATGTCCGGGTGGATAAGAGCATATCGTAGGGCGGGTAGCAGATCCTCTCGTAACCTAACGAGTCTGGATGTTTATTTGGTTGCATTCAAGATTGACGCAATGAAGCACGTCCGTAGTAGTATCGCTTGGTTGTAGCGACAAGGTTACCTGTTTCAGTGAACGAGTCATGAAGGGATGAATATCTCTTGCGCTGTATAACAGGATCCGAGCTCGACTTTGACATTGTGAAGAGTTTAAGCAATAGTCACCGATGCATCTGCGAATTTGCAAGGTCTAAGAATAAACCCATGCGGATACTTGACACCTGCGTTCCGATTCGCTGTACAGTCGATCTAGTAGATTGATGCCACAGGTGGATAGTCCGAGTTGTTCTCCAGCTGATCATCCTGTCTTGTCCACAAACGGCCGTAATATCGTCTAATCCCGTAGACTCTATTCTGTTCTTTATTGCATTAAGCTTAAAGCCACATAGGCTAATCTCAGTTATCCTGTCTAGAACCACTACAGCTTTCGCCTAATCTTTTGACAGATACAATCCGGGACCTCCGCAGATCCTCTCATAATTATAATACTATTTTCTTCCCGGGGAAGCTGCGAAGACATTATGTAGGTCAGAGATTTGTCCATAGAGAAAGCCAGATGCAAATGCCAACTCCGCTATGAGGCCCCGTGAGGATGTTATTATAATATTGCCTCTTGCTATCGTCAAGGATGCTTCTGCCCAGTCGGACAAGGCGGACTTGGCCGTTTCGATACCGGAACCTTCCCCGGCAGCCACGTGGGGCTCGATCGTTGGGAAACGCCAATGCTTGTGTTCCGGGTAGGTATCTCAATTATCATCGAGTTATGTTATCGATAGTCGAGTATGAGATGTGTGAATGGGAACTTAAACGCTTGGGTTGCTGGGATAGAGTTGTCAACATGAGACGGAGATTGCTTCATAACCTACCCTAAAGATGGAATCATGACGTCAGATGGAACATTGCTTCAAACCTCCAGAAGCTCAATACCATGACAACATCAATCAATTCTTCGCATCTTCAATAAATTACACTTCAAAACTATTCACAATGTCTCTGACACCTCTCTCATCCCTCCGCGTCTCCAAACATCTCATCCCATCTCACAACCTAATCCCCAATTGCAACACCCACCAAAAACCCCTTCTTCACTACCACGCCGCCTTCAAACCCCCCATAACCGCATCAAAGATAGAATCGCACCTAACCTCAATTAACGTCGTAACACCACAGTGGCGCTACACAATGTACTCCCAAACACACTTCCACAGCACGTCCCACGAGGGTTCTCTGCATAAGCCACGGCAGAGCCCGCTTATGCTTTGGTGGCGAGGATAATGAGGGGAGGGTTGAGCCGGTGGTGGAAACGGGCGATGTTGTTATTGTCCCCGCGGGAGTGGGGCATCGGTTGCTGGAGGATCTGGAGGGCGGGTTTGAAATGGTGGGGAGTTATCCAACGGGGTGTGATTGGGATATGTGCTATGGGAAGAAGGGTGAGGAGGACAAGGTGAATGCGATTAAGAACGTGGAGTGGTTTCGGAAAGATCCTATCTACGGGGATGAAGGGCCAGCTACAAAGGTTTAAGCACGAGTCACGTTTGTGGCATGTGCCGTGGCTTCGGGAGCATCGAGTTGCTAAACTTTTACTGCAAAGTACAAGCCGTGGGTCAAATAATGTATCCAATCCATCATTACTATCGTCCATTAATCCATACCGTTCACATGACCATTAACCATTAACCCGACCAAGCTTAGAAGTTCATGACAAGGGCAGCACCACCAAACAAGGCGCCGAGCGCAATGGCAGCCGTGGCCTGAGCAGCGCCTTCAGTTGAGGTCGAAGGCGACAGACCAGTGGCCTCTGCTGTGTTCTCGGGAACGCCCGATGTGAAGGGGATGTCGCTGACGGAGCTGGCGCCGGAGAAAGCGGCCTCCTGGGTGCTGGCGGTTGGGTTGGCGGTGGCAGAGGGCTTGTCGGGGTTGAGGACACTGAAGATGTTAGTTGGGTTTGCAAAAGCGGATGGAATAACTTACGCATCAATGACATGGACGACACCATTGGCGATGAGGACATCAGGAACAATGACCTTGGCCTCATTGACAAAGACAGTGCCGTTGTGAATGACAATATTGAGCTTCTCGCCCTCAGAAGTGGTAAGAGAACCGTTCTTGAGGGTTGAGCTGTAGCCAAGGGTGTTGTTGACAACGTGATACTTGAGAATGCCCTCGAGATCAGACTCGCTCAAGTTGGAGAGGATAGATCCAATGTTGGCAAAGGCGCTGTTGCTAGGAGCAAAGACAGTGATGTTCTTCTCATTGGTGAGGTTGGTGGCGAGCTTGGACTCGGTGAGAGCGCCAGCAACGGCGGAGAGGTTGGCGGCGATGGCCGTGTCGGAAAGGTTCTTGGGAACAGCGAGGACCTTGTTGATGATGTGAATGACACCACCGGTAAAGTTGAGGTCCTGAGTATGTTAGAGAGAGTTATCATTGATCAATTGGATGACTTACAGCCTTGGTGACATTGGACTGCTGACGGAAACCACTGTAGAAGCTAACGGTATCGCCCATGGCCAGAGCCTCGACACGCTGTCCACCGGTGACATTGGCATATGTCGCGTTGTTGAGGAGTGTAGGGACAAAGGCGGGTGTGTCGCTGATGTTGCTGGCATAGTAGGTACCGTTCAGAACGTGATACTGAAGGATAGCAGCGACGGAGCTTGGATCGTTGTCGACCATGCGGGCAACAGCAGTGTCATTGAGGAGGTCCTTGATAGCATCGTTGCTTGGGGCCAAGATGGTGACATTCCTAAGACGGCCAAGGTCTCTGAGAAGACTGGGCTGGGCACGAAGAAGGCCTACATGGTCAGCTTGTATCGAAAGACAATATATAATAACATACCGCTGAGCTCAGAAAGGGTAGAGTTCTCAGACTCAAGAGCAGCAGTAAGGTTGGGACGGCTCTGGGCAGTAGCATAGCCCGAGAGGGCGAGGGTGACAAGAGACTGCAGCTTCATTTTAATGATCAACTAGGCAGAGTTAATCTTGAATAATAAACACAAACCCAAAACACGGGGGGAACACACAGCTTAAGAACTCCTCGAGAAACAAGCTCGACAAGACCCCGTTAGCTCTCGCGGCATCATCCTGGCCAATTGGTAAAGCTTCGCCCAGCACGAGCCTTCGCGAGACCAGACTCAAAAGAGAGTCAATGACATAGACCAAGAGCTCCCGCGTCATCAATGGCCAGAATGATGAAGTGCTACTCAGCCCACGCCAAGGCTCTTGGTCTGAGACGAGGTGAAGGGTTGAAGCTCTGTCGTGGCTTGCCGTGTGCCGAAAGCCGGGGAAGCTGTGTTTTCGGGAGTTGCAGTTTGGAGTCGCACCCATGGGAGAGACGTGAATTCAATTGGACAATGCGAGAGATTCCATTTGCTATCGTAACTACGGAGTAACTCTCCTCGTATTGACCTTGAGAAAAGCCTGTTTGTTGAAGCGGTTCAAGGCGTTGGAGGCAACCGAACCGCGTAACAGACAACCTACACAGACAATAGCTTCATTCTTTTGCTGGTAATATCCGGAGACCTCAATGGGCTGGAGTCAATTCGGACTAGGCTGCAAGCTTCCTCAGCCCGGATCCCCACACTCCACAGCCGATCTGGTATCGTGATATCGTCATAGATATTAATTAGGGTATCGCGACAGCTCAATGTTCAGTACAGCCGACTTTTGTTTTGACTGATTCTCACTCAATTGAAGACGCTGCCAAGGACTCGGCACTGCTAGCGTTGCATTCCAGCTGTTTCATAGGGTGATGAAGAGCTCCCTTCGACTGTGAATCGGCCAATGCAACGCCAAGGGATAAAGGGGATGTTGGTCAGCTCATGCATCGGTGAAAAATGGCCGGACATGGTTCAGAGTCCAGACTGTCGCAGAGTTTGGCAAAATTGCTGGCAGATGCCGATTGGTTTGGTCGTTGGGTGAAGGATTGATCACCAATTGACTCGACAACTCAGAGAGGAGGTCCAAATGGATCGGCGTTTTCCAGTTTCACTCTCTTTGTTTCTCGCAAATCATCCCCAAATACTGTGCCGTCCTCGTTGGCTGCCGCCTTCTTTTCTTTGTTCATAACTTGTTCTCGTCTCGCTCGTTGAAGATTGACCAGGTTCGCTCGATCGGGATCACGACATTTCTGCAGTTTCTTTCGAAGTGGTTTCATCGCTTTGACAATCTCGGGCTACTTCTATTAGTCTGGTTCATACCACAAACTTCAAACATACCGTTCCCCAGTACTCTGTCATTCTCTCGGGAGGTTCCTCTTCAAGCATCTTGCGGCAGTTGTCCACAGCTCCAAGAATCTTGTCTCGCATGTTTGCAAATGCTGACTCCTGACTAGCATTGCCGCCTTGACCAGGAGTCGGGATCAAAGTGTCGAGCAATCCGTGGTCCACCATGGAAAGCGCCGCCATCATGATTTGACTAGGCGCATAGTGGAAATATGCGTCTGTCACCAAAGGACTGAACTTGAGAATGTCTCGCGCTCGAGCGTGCGCCTTGTTGATTCGCGTCTCTTCGTCTGGTAGCCTCCTTCTCAACTCTAGGATAGCACCCTCGAGGGCTCTGAAAGGATGTCGCACATCAAAAGCAAAGCGGATCCCCTGGCAAAGGAGAAACTCTCCCGCTAGAATCTGCTCCCCTGTTGTGTTTGGGAACTTCTCCGAAAAGGCATTTAGTTTGTAAAAGAAACCTTCAGCCTTGCATCCAAAGAAGAGCGATGTTTTGAGGAGGTCGGTCGCAGGGTAGGTCATGACCGAGTTGGTCACGTAGAATCGTCGCAGAAAGATAGCGGCCGTTGCTCGAATCTCAGTAGGAAGTTCGCAGAATTGAGCCGCACGAATTAGTTCGACGGTGAAGAACTTGACGAGGCGTATCTCTTCATCGGGGGTTAGAAAGTCGGGCGGAGGATCCGTCGCAAGTCGAGGAGCGATCTGTTCCCGAGCGAGAGAGTTTGTTTTTGCGCGTAGTTCTTGAAGATTCGCTGGCGTAAAAGACCAGAGCCGATACTGGCTTGACTGCCTGTAGCGCTCGTCTTCCGTCGCCATTTTATTGTTGTGATGCAGAACCAAGATGCTCAACCTTGAGCTGCCTGCCAATTGTTTTGGTTGTCACGTGACCTTATCTTATCATGAATGATCGTCAGGGACTGCACCTCGTTGAAATAGCCTCACATTCAAGCTCAAATTCATTCAATTACAGACGCATTCGCGTGATGATTCTAATGTCAAAATCAAATCCAAACGCCAGCCAGATACCAAATTTACCAATTGACTCATAAAATCCGTCAATATCCCAAGTTCTCCCTTCTCGCAGGAGGAGGAGGCGGAGGCTTCTTGGCCCTGTTGGGAGGGGGAGGCGGTGGCTTCTTTCCAAGAGCCAGACCGCTTGCGCTTCGGCTTAGACTTCCATAGCTAGTTGCAGGGCTGGCAGTGCGGTGTTCCCAATCTGGACTACCGCTTCTGCTTGTTGAAACATCATCAGAGAATACATCGTCATGTCGTCCGTATGAACCGCTGTCAGTAGCAACGCGAGCAAGAGGAGCGCCTGGAACTCTGAGATTGGCTAGTGGTGTAGCTGTAGATGAGGAGCGACCTTCAAATGTTGAGGCGCGTCCAATCGGGGGTCGTGCAGGCTGGGGAGGAGGTGGCGCAAGACGGCTTCCAGGAGAACGATGAGGGATGCGAGCAGGCTCTTGTTCAGCCTCTGGCTCTTCGTAGACGGCCTGATGACGAGGCTCTTGCCAAGAACGAGCAGTGTTGGATCGGCTTCGACCGATCTTAGGAGCACTGGTAGGTGAAGACGCAGCTCCAGCCCAGTTCTGACGAACGCGGCGCAACTCTTCGGCGCAGCGCTCATGGTAATCAAGCTCAGCGTCGAGGAACTGGGTCAGGGATGTAATGTTATCGACCTCGGACTCCTTGATGTCTTGCATACGACGAAGGACATCCTCGCTGGTCTCCTCAAATTTGGCCTTGTTCATGCGAACCTCTTCTTCGATGCGGAAATCGTCACGGCGGGCCTTTTGCAGCTTGTTGGTGCTGGCATCGTAGGCGAGACGTCGGTTCTCAAGCTTCTTGCGGGCGTTCTACTATTGTTAGCGGGCGCACAGTCGGTGCAATTAATTGACATACCTGGTACTCTCGCATCATCGCCAGACTCCTCTCGAGGTTGTCCAGCCAGGTAGCGTTGGCGCAATCTACGTAGGAGTCTTGAATGCCAGCAATGCGCTCGTTGGCGCGACCCAAGGACAACAGGCAGTTTCCGAACTCGGACTCTTGCTCAAAATCCTCGCCGTGAGTAGCCATTGTACGGCCAAGAGACGACAGGGGAGTACCGCGCTCCTTGTCATCCAGAAGCTCATTGCGTCGGGATAACCATTTAACGTAGCCGCTCATAGATCGTTGCATGCGCTCCATACCTGGGGTCGTTAGCCGTTGGAAAGTCAACAATCCACAGGGAACAAACCATCTTGTCGAAGAGCCATTTCGGTCTCTAGATTCTTGAACTCATCAGAGTGAGCCGTTCGGGCTTCAGCGCCCATCTTTTCACCGGCCCATTGAAAGGCTCGGTCAATCTTCTTTGTGAAATGCATATTGACTCGTTCGTTATCGTAATGTCGGATCCAGTCCGATAGTTATTCGCGGGGTCGTCTGGCGCCGTCGCTATTGTGCAAAGGTATAACGAGGGACAGAGGTAAGTTGTAGAAGTAAAAGAAAGAATCTTTGAGAGCGAGAGACGGGGTAATGAATGATTGCAGAGTACGAACAAGGGGTAGAAGAGGGATGGGATGCTAGGGTGGCGAACAGTTGGGGCGTATGGGATGGAAAGGACACGACCTTGAAGGTCTTGACTGAATCCTTGACTGGTTCTGGTGATGCGACCTCAGGTCCGCTGGGAGTGAGCGGCTTCAGGGGTGCTTGTAGTGGTGTGGAGGTGAGGTTGGGGAGCCCAGCCCCGAGGTTCAATGGAAAACCCCCTGAACAGTCCCAAGCTACAGTGCGTTGCAGTAGTTTAGCTTATCTTATCGCCCTGCAGAACTCAACTCAGCGGAGATCAAAAGTCAGGAATTGCATTCATTTTCATGAAACAGAGCCCGAGCAAACAAAGCGAATTATTGAAACAGTAATTACATGTGACGTTATTATTGAGTCTGTGGAATCTTGATCACGTTTGACAAGGAGAGACGTGGTGCCATGGGCAGGCGATGGGAAAGCCAAGAATGGCATGAGAAATGAATTTTTGAGGCGAATCGACCCCAAGATTTGGTCGAGGCAATTTTAGATTATAACCTACGGGCACTTAACTGAACTCTCTTGGCTTGGCTGGACTGGACTGGCTGGGCGCTTCGGACATGGCGCGGCTAGAAAATTGATCTGTGGTCCATTCGATCTGGAGCATCGTGTAGACATGACACGGTGACTGTATCACGCTGACGTATTGTACAATCAGAGTTTCTGAAAATAGGACAATCGCTATAAGTTCAACGTGATGTATAGAGTCTGTACTCGTAACGAGCCTGAGTGAGATGGATCCTGATACGAGTACGGATCAAATCTGTAACCACGTACTGGCGTCTTGGTGGCCCGTGCCTCCAATGACCCCTGAGACAACGGCGCCAATAGCCTGCGGTACCGCTACACTAACAACGGGAACTGTCTCCGGCTGGGAAAGCCAAGTTGATCCCCACCACGAGATAGCGAAATGGAACCTACGCCGTTGACATCTTTATCTGGAGGTGAGTGACAAGGTATAGATAGATAGGTTGATTGAATGCTGCGTATATAGACCGCTATAACCCTCATCCAGCCATCAAGTCGAGATACTGTATCATATCGACTCCCACAAATTGACCGCATCTTTGGACTAGAGAAGAAAACTCTGAAAGCTTCTTTAAGCATACCATTCTCCATAAACTAACCTTACTACAAAAGGTTCGTCGTTGGGACAGTCGACACCACCATTCTAACTCTCTCTCTTTCTCTCTCAGTCGATACCACCCACTGCTGATCTTAACAGCAGTGTCGGCCCGTCCAACCCATCGCCAACCTCACCTTTTCGCTCTCACGTTACCCTCGCGTGTCCTGTTCAACCCCGCTTCAAAAAAGAGCCGCAGGGCAGGAAAATGATCGGCCAGGTTCTTAGAATTTATCGTTATCTCGTTCTAGAAAACCCCAACCTCCAGCCTCGTTGGGAATAGTTGAACTGTGTGTCGCCTAAAAAGGGCCTCGCCCCCCCATTCTTTAACCGCTCCACTATATACGGGGGGCCATCCAGACCATTCCTTTAACTCTCCACCATCAAGCTTGCGTAATGCTTCACGGGAGGAGGAGGAGAAAAGCACGCAAGACATTGGTTTCAATCGGATACTGTGTGTGGTCTGCTACATTGAAGAGTACGACGATAGAAAAGCTTTCCACTTGCCGATCTCCTTCCCATGTTTTCGTCTGACACCATGAAAAAGCTTGGCCTTGATTTATGCGCTAAAATACCGTAGACTCGTCTGGCTCAGACTTCCCCAGAATTCTGAGCGTGGCAGGTTTGGCGCGCGCCAGTATTGGATGATCCATATTTTCCCTGAGGCAGTGCTATTTTTGCTGTGATCTTCATTCATTGCGATCCGCGCTGGTGAAACGTACATGTGCGCCATTTGAGACAATTGCGTGGCACGAGTGATATGATCTGTAGGGTATGGACGTATCGATTTCAAGGGTTGAGCAAGGGTGATACCATGATTGACGTCTGTCAGCATCCCTTGTCTCATCTGGAAGGTCCCTTATCCAGTTGATGATCTGTAACTCGGTGGTTTTCTACAGTATCTTTGAAGGATCCGTCTGTCAACCTCAACATCGGTAGTTTGCTGCTACGTACTCGTCAGGTACATCATGACATTCTCATCCTACCAGCCACTCCTCAGTATATACACTTTCCGCAATATCCGCACTCTTGATCACACGCAGCATAATCACTGTCACTATCCGATTGCGCCGCCATGAACTCTTCCTCGCGCTCCGAGTCCTCCGGATTCTTGATCTCACTCCCCAACCAAGCCTCCCATTGCTTCCTGACAGGTTCAGACAAGACGTCACCTGCATCCGACAGCTGTTTGCGAATCTCGAGAGAACCGCTGTTGGACCATACGATCTCCAATCTACCATCTTTTGACGCGTGGGCCTTGTTAATTATGAGGCGCAGGAGTGCAGCGAGACGCTTGAGCGATGGCTGGTTGAGATCCTGCCACTCGGTGATGTCGGCCTTTACATTCTTTATCTCAATGTTTGAGTCTCTGAAGAGGCCTCTTTCGTGGTAGGCGAGGAGGAATTGCGTGACTTGAGCGATCCACAAGCGTGGAAGTTGTTCGCCGAGATGATCTTTTTCACGAGCCATGAATGATCGCGTCTTCAAGTCGAAGACACTGCTTTGAGGGACAGATTCACCTCTATCTGACACTTTGAGTTTGCCAGTACCGTTTGACAGCGATTCAGTAATGCCGAGGCCTTCCAATTCGTCAAAAGCGTGACCCTTCACAGTCTTGGCGACAGGACTGGACGAAACGTAGCCATCGCCTTCGAATCGCACCATCAGATCAAGACCACCGAATTGATACGAAAGGATTCGTTGATGTGATGTTGAGCGCTTGACTGCAGAGTCCCAGGTAGTATAGGCCTCCGGGAATGTATGCCCGAATCCTCGTACACCTTCAATCTTCTCTCGCGGCGAATTCTCTCTCCGAATGAGATGTACAGTTTCGCCGACTTTCTCGACGAGGATGCGAAAGGAGCGATCCAGGTCAACTCCTCGAGCAAAGCGCAGGAGATTTCCAATCGTGCTTCCACATGCAACGATGTTGACCGGGATGGGACTGGGATTCATCTTCATTACAGAGACAATAGCAGGTTCAAGGGGATGCTTGGGGTAAGCTGCTGCGTTGACATCCCGATAGTACTCGCCAGAGTCACCGGGTAGCTTGCTTGGGCCCTTGGGAGGTGTCCATCTTGGAGGTTGACCTGCACATGTTAGATATGCTGTTTTCTGGAGCGATTTACGTACCTGGGATGATGATTTCGGGAGAAGATGAGCTGATCCAATTGTAAGACGCGACAACTTTGACGTTCTCAACCTCTGCGTGGTCGCAATTGCTCTTGAGGCTGTCTTGAGTGATGCGCTCAATTATGTCTCCGAGTGGAGGTGGTGGTGATGAAGTCACTGGTGCGGGTGCTCGCCACGCGCCCGAACTTGCTTGATGTCGTCTGTACATCAGGAAGGTGAAGGTTTTGAATGAGATAGATACGAGAATGATGCTATGGCTGGAAGAGTCAAGCTTGGAAGAATGAGGTTGATGAGAACGTGCGAGATGAGCAGACACTTTATAGGATCTTCGATGCCATTCACTTATTCTTCGTAACACCAGGAGGCCTACCAGACAATTCACTGGGATACTCAAAGTGATTGCCTAATTCATGCATTAATTACACTTTGCCCACCCTTTGTTGGTTGCGACAACGCTGGCCCGTTTCCCGACCGTTACTGGGCTGTGAAGGATAGGCATTCTTCATTCACGTATATTTCTGAAGCAGGGAGCCGATAACAGAATACCTCTAGTCAAACAGCCTACTCATTTTATCTTCAGATATCCCAAATCTGTCCAAGTATTTTTTTTTGGCATTTAGGACTGACGTCTTGTTGTACTGCACCGGAGTTAATTGCCAAGTTCTTCCTGTCGATGTCTCCGCCATGAGCTGTGGGAGGCCGACCAAAACAACCCAGAGCCTGATTGACAGCGAATAAAATGTATTTTTCATTCGCGTCACACGGGAGGCTTTGTCGGCCCCATGCATCTCGTTGGCTACCGTGGCGATGCTGGTTGGGTGAAGTCAAGGCAGACAGCCACAGACAGCTTCATTCGCGGTACAAATTGAAGCTACATTCGCTTTCACTCATTTGGTGTCATAGTCTACCTCTATAATCCTCAATTTTCATTCCCTCATCAAACTTTTGTCTCAGTGTCATCGCTGCCATGGTTCTCGTGCAAGACGCATCTGGTTCTCGAGCCGCAAAGCTCATCAAGACATTCTCGGCCGTCATCAAAGGCGAACCACAAATCACGAATGCACACTCTGCAAAGTTGTTTCTACAAGCCTGTGAGATCTACAAGGATAAGAAATCACCGGTTAAATTTGTTGAGGTCTTGATCTCAAAACCTGCCGGTATCGCGGCGTTGGAGAGAGCAGTTCGCGTTGACTTGAGTCCCGGCTTCATCAACGCAACTGCATTACCATTCATCCTGACTCTATCGGGTGATGGTGTCGCTTCTCTCAGCAATGGTGGTTTCCTACGTCAAATGCTGGCTGCTATCCTGGAACCATCGACATTCTGGACTGCTGTTGTGGATGCTTACAGAAGCGACCAACTTGACAACGCTGGGCTTGAAGCATTTGCGTGGCTGTGTCTACAGATTATCTCGGATCAAAGCAGTTTTGACTTGCACAAGGACGCAGTCAAAGAATTGATGGAACACAAGACTCTTCTTAAATCGCAGTCGCCCGAAGTCAGGAAAATTGCATACCGCATCGACAAGATCATCAAGATCTTTGCCCAGCCCGAAACTGCATCCACTGGAATCACTCCTGGAGGACGTCACGACAATGATCACGCCAACTTCCGCAATATATCAATTCATCCGACCTCTGACGAGCTTCTTTCAACCGATCCTCCATATCTCCAGCGACTGGCGGATGTCTTTGACACGCCGATGGAGACCCGAAGCCAGAGTTACCGCGACTGGCTCTTCCGTCTCCTTCGCGAGGACATGCTTTCTGAACTCCGAGAAGATCTTCAAGTCGCCATGAGTCAGAAGAAGAGCAAGCGCCGTCCTATTGCATTAGGGGAATTGAGACTGGTTGGGATCAATACCGACAATGACATGGAGACCAAGCACATCCCCCCGTATGCTCTCTATGTCGCGTGCCAGCAGGGCATTAGTTTTCCCAATAAACTACCGAAAGGCGGGAAGAAGGCATTTATAGAAGAGTCAAAGAACTTTATGAAGCATGACTCTTTTGGTGCGCTTTGCTGCAACGACGCGATCATCGCATTCGGGTCGCTTGTAAGAGATGTTGCCAATCTTCTCAAGACACCTCCCATCGTCGGCATCAAGTTCAGCGATGGTCCAGGGCTCAAGAAGGCGATAGAAGCACTTCAAGGTCCTTCGAAGGACCAAGTCAAGTTTTTTATCGTAGACACTGCTACCTTTGCCTATGAGCCGATCCTTCAGCGGTTGAAGACCATCGCCGAGTTCCCTCTGGAAGCTCAATTGATCGACCCGGGGCAACCTTCTCAGGATGGGCCGAGATCAACGACATTGGACGCCTTGCCACACAAACTCCGTATTGCCTTGGACTCAGGGCTCAAGGTCAAGATGCCGGCAAGTCTGCGCCTGAAAAAAGACATTTATTTACAGGGTGCCCAGCTCAGGTCCTTCATTCACGGCATTAGTAGTAACCTGGCTCTCATTCAAGGTCCACCTGGCACAGGAAAGTCATTCTTGGGCGCGCTCATTCTTTTGACCATCCTACGATTGACGAAATCGCGTATCCTTGTACTGAGCTATACGAATCACGCCCTTGACCAATTTCTGGAGGATCTGATGGACATCGGCATTAGCTCAGATCAAATGGTTCGGCTAGGCTCCAAGTTCACTGAAGCCACCAAGCCTACCCTTCTGAGAGAATACGACGGTCAAAAGAAATATTGGTTGAAAATGGAGGAGAAGAACATTCTCAACACCCTTCGCGTTGAAGAAGCGAGTCTCAGCTTGGAGCTTCAAGAATGCAGCAGAAAGCTTGCCGCACGGGAGGCTAATCCGGACGATATCCTGGAACACCTTGAGCTCTCAGAGAATTTCAGCATCGCTTGGGAAGCTTTCCAGGTACCGGAAGATGATGGATTCCAGATGGTTGGGTCAGACGGCAAGGCAATTGAACCGGCGGGTGTGTATCAGTATTGGCTGAACGGTGGCAATGTCAATGGCCTGGGAAATCTAGGCAGATGTCTCGACCGGAGATCTCTTGCCGTCTGGAATTCTCCGCCCGCTATGAGGAAGCAATGCCATTACGAGTGGTCGCAAATGGTTCGCGAGGAACAGAGTGCCCACTTCGTTGACCTCAGCAAGCGTTTTAGTGATGTGAAGACTGAGATCAAGAGTATTCTTGACGAGCGCGGTCGAAGAGTGCTCAAGGATAAACAGATCATTGCATGCACGACTACTGCGGCAGCCATGTACCAATCCATAATTGAAACGGCCAGTCCTGATGTTATTCTGGTTGAAGAAGCGGGAGAAATCCTTGAAGCGCACATCATTACAGCCATGAGTGCCTCAGTGAAGCAACTCATTCTAATCGGAGACCACAAGCAACTCAGGCCAAAGGTCGGCAATTACTTACTGACAAAGGAGAAAGGCGAAGGCTATGACTTGAACGTGTCGCTCTTTGAGAGACTTGTTGTTCAGGGTCGCCATTTCACAGCCCTTGAGGAGCAGCATCGCAGTCATCCAGACATCTCACAATACCCTCGCATGCTGGCCTATCCCGAGCTGAAAGACATGCCATCGACTTCCGACCGCCAGCCAATCCGAGGGTTGAAGAGTCGAGTGACATTTGTTCACCACGAGCGACCGGAGGATACCATGGACGATGTCGCTGAGCGCCGGGATCCCACGGCCAAAGCCAGCAAGAGGAACCTTCACGAGGCCATGATGGTTCTTAGAATGGTTCGCTATTTGTCGCAGAATGGATATAAGACTGAGAATATGGTTGTTCTCACGCCGTACCTGGGACAACTGTTTCTTTTGAAGGAGACGCTTCGAAAGGAGATGGATCCATGGTTGAATGATGTCGACAATCATGATTTGGTGCGCGCAGGATTGGTTACCCAAGCGGCAGCCAAAGTGAATAAGAAGCCGCTACGTCTCTCAACAATTGGTAAGTCAACCGATACCAACAAGTTCAATACTGACAAGACAGACAATTACCAAGGAGAAGAATGTGACATCGTCATCGTCTCACTAACACGCAGCAACGCATCCGGAGATATTGGTTTTCTGTACGCCCGCGAGCGACTTGTCGTCCTTCTATCACGAGCCCGAAACGGCATGATTCTCTTTGGTAACATGGAGACATTCATGAAGAGCAAGAAGGGCGGTGAAATGTGGACGCAGTATTTTGATGCCCTGAAGAAGAATGACTCCATATTCGATGGAGTGCCTATCCATTGCGAGCGTCATCCTGAGACGTCCATGTTATTGAAGCTACCAGAAGACTTTGACAAGAAATGTCCTGATGGAGGATGCGCTGAGCCTTGGTAAGTCTAAGCATATACATTGAGCCTTCATTTCCCTCTCAATTTCGCCAGACCATAGTTGCAACTACGATGACATAACTAACCTCTCTCACCACTCTAGTAATACCCCATTGAGCTGCGGCAAACACAAATGCCAGCGACGCTGCCATCGGGTTCAAGACCACTCAAAAATTGAATGCTATGCTAAAGTCGAGAGAGTCTGTAACAAAGGTCACAAGTCCAAGGTACCTTGCGGAGATAAGTCCAAGAGCTGTGCGACCTGCACAAAAGAATACGAAGACAACCAGCGACGAATCGAACGCGACCTTGAACTCGAACGAAAGCGCCAGGAGCTCCAGGACAAATATCGCTTAGAGCTGCAAGAGATTGAGGATGAGATTGATCACCGCCGTCGAACTATGAAGTACGAATCCGAGGAGAAGAAGCAAGCGGATGAGCTTAAGCAGAAGAAGGAAGAGCTTGAGTCACTTCGTCAAGCTGAAAGCAACAAGACGAAAATGAAGGCGACCCAGAAGAATGTCCCGCCACATCGAAGCCCGGATCCACTATCTGATCCTATCTCCAATGCAGCCAATGAGTGGAAGAACATGAAAGATGTTGAAGGTGCACGCAACGCTGCTTTGGATAAGCTGATGGGGATGATCGGTCTGGAATCTGTCAAAGATCAGATACTGTCGATCAAGTCCACAGTCGATACCAAGATACGCCAAGGGTTCTCTCTTGGAGATGAAAGATGGAGCTGTTCACTGCTTGGCAATCCAGGAACAGGTGAGTAAACCACAGACGATGACTCGCGAATGATGCCTTGACTAACTTCTCTACAGGCAAGACGACAGTGGCCAGAATCTACGCCGAGTTCCTCACGACTGTTGGGGCAATTGCGGGAAACTGCTTCAAAGAAGTGACTGGCTCTAAACTTGCCAACATGGGTGTTTCTGGCTGTGAAAAACTTCTTGAGGATGTCAACAACAATGGCGGCGGCTGCGTCTTCATCGACGAAGCATACCAGTTGTCATCTGGCAATAGCCCTGGCGGCAAGGCTGTACTGGATTATCTCCTGGCAGAGGTTGAAAACTTGAGAGGCAAGATTGTGTTCGTTTTGGCAGGATACAGTAAGGAGATGGAGTCCTTTTTCTCCCACAATCCCGGCATTCCCAGCCGATTTCCTATCGAAATGAAGTTCGAGGACTACACAGACGAAGAACTCCTTCAAATTCTTCAGTTACAGATCCATCGCAAGTTCAATGGCACGATGGCTGTTGAGCAAGGGGTCGATGGCCTGTTCTGTCGAATTGCTGCCCGTCGAGTCGGTCATGGTCGCGGAAAGAATGGCTTTGGCAACGCACGCGCCGTGGAAAACTGTCTTCAGAAGATCAGTCAACGACAAGCAGCGCGTCTCCGAAAAGAACGCCGGGCAGGTAAAAAGCCGAATGATTTACTTCTCACCCAAGAAGACATCATTGGACCAGAGCCTTCCGAGGCCTTGCTGAACAGCAAGGCTTATCGGGAGCTTAAATCTTTGATCGGCCTGCAGGAAGTCAAGGAGGCGCTTGGTGTCCTCATGGATACCTTGAGAACAAACTATGAGCGAGAGCTTGCGGAGCAGCCTCTGGTAGAGTTCTCGCTGAACAAGGTATTCTTGGGATCGCCCGGCACTGGAAAGACTACTGTCGCGAAGCTTTACGGAGAGATCCTCAAAGACCTGGGCTTGCTTTCGAATGGGGAGGTTGTCAACAAGAACCCAGCTGATTTTGTTGGGGCTCATCTTGGCCATTCAGAGGCTCAGACCAAGGGAATTCTTGCTGCCACTGTTGGAAAAGTTCTTTTGATCGATGAAGCATACGGACTCTATGGAGGAGGCGCAAACGGATCTATCGCTGATCCCTACAAGGCTGCTGTTATCGACACCATCGTTGCAGAGGTCCAAAGCGTGCCAGGCGAAGATCGATGCGTACTACTGCTCGGCTACAAGGAGCAGATGGAGGAAATGTTTCAGAACGTCAATCCTGGCCTTAGTCGACGCTTTCCTATCTCTTCTGCCTTTCTCTTTGAAGATTTCGATGATGTCGCGTTGGCAAAGATTCTTGATCTCAAGCTGGGAAAAGCAGGCTTCAAAGCAACAGTCAAAGCCAAAGTTGTCGCGCTGGATGTCCTGCGCCGTGCGAGAAATCGTCCCAACTTTGGAAATGCCGGTGAAATCGACATTCTACTTGGAAGAGCTATGGCTAATCATCAGAAACGCGTGTCATCTGGGCGTGTCAAGAGACATGGGACTTTGGAGCCAATTGACTTTGACGAAGAGTTTGATCGCGCTGAAAAGGGCGAGACCGACGTCAAGAAATTGTTTGACGGTGATGTTGGGCGAGATCGCCTCATATCGATCCTTCAAGGCTACCAGACCCGTGTTCGCCAGGCCAAGCAACTGGAAATTGACCCGGAGATTCCATTCAACTTCTTGTTCCGCGGCCCACCCGGAACTGGAAAGACTACAGCTGCGCGCAAGATGGGCCAGGTATACTATGACCTTGGTTTCTTGGCTAGCACTGAAGTCATTGAGGTCTCTGCTACTGAGCTCATCGGTCAATATGTTGGACATACTGGGCCAAAGGTGCAAAAGCTCTTAGACAAAGCCTTAGGGAAGGTCCTTTTCATCGACGAAGCATATCGACTGGCTTCTGAGAGCTCTTTTGCTAGAGAGGCTGTTGATGAGCTTGTGGATTGCGTGACAAAGACAAAGTATCACGGCAAGCTTATCATTATCCTCGCTGGCTATGTGCAAGACATCAACACTCTGCTGGGCATCAATCCCGGAATGTCTAGTCGGTTCCCGGAGAGCATTGACTTTGACCCTCTCACTCCTGATAGCTGCATTCAGTTGATGACTAGTCAATTGCAAACCAGCAAAGCTAAGCTCGAGGGAAAGATACCAGTGGATCTATCATGCTTGGAGCGTCCTCGAAAAGCATTCTTGGCTGAGTTGACCCGCAGAATCAAGGAACTGTCGGAGCAGGATAGCTGGGCGAATGCGAGAGACGTCAAAGAACTTGCCAGGAAGATGTTTCACAAGTTTGATCTATCTTCTAAAATCCTGGCACTTACTGAAGACCTGATTCGCAGCACCATGGATGAGATGATGGCGGAGCGTCGGGGTCGAATGACAGAAAAGAAGCCTACTGTTACGAGTGAGATTGCCAAAGCACTCACAGACAAGCCCAGGTTCACACCACCCGCGATGACAACCAACGCCACCACGGTTACTGAGGAAAATGAGGAGGATGAGCCGCAAGAGGAGTTCCCTGACCTCAATACGAATCAGGGCATCCGAGATGCCGGAGTAAGCGATGAAGTTTGGGAGCAGCTGCAAAAAGACAAAGAGAAAGAAGCCAAAGACGAAGAAGAATTTCGCTGTCTCAAAAAGGCCCAACAGAATGCAACAGACGCTGACAGGGAGAAGCTTGTGCGTCAGATTTTGGCTGAGGAGGAGAAACGGAAGAAGATTGAGGCGAGAAAGGCAAAGTTGATGAAAATGGGAGTCTGCCCAGTTGGATATCAGTGGATTAAGCAGAGTGGCGGTGGATTTAGATGTGCTGGGGGTTCGCATTGGATGTCTGATGAGGATGTTGATAAAATGTAGGGGTGTGTTTGGACATGTATTGCGATCCTTCCAGGACGGAATGAATATTGATTTAACTCGAGATCAGATACTATTATTAAGCCTATATGGTGCCGAAGGTTGGAGATGAGTAGCTTGTGCAGGCGCCGTTTGGTCTCATGAATACAAGTCAAGCATAATCAAAAGATGGCTTGCACACCAACCATCCGTTTTCAAGTTGGGCTGTGCATGAAGTGCAATTTCAAACCATATAACGCATGTTAGCTTCAAACAATACCTGCAGTTATGAATCAACAAGTCGGCAGTTGTACATCACCAACCACGCAATTCAACGTCAGACAAGCTTTCCACAATCGTGGCAAATTCATATTGGAGGCTTGTGATGTTTCACCTCCGGTATTCTATTTGCGACATGTATTTATCTGCTGACCCTGCGATAGACGGTGTTCGTAGGTTCTACTCCAACTTGGTGTCCGGCGGCGGCGGCGAGTAAGTGGGGGAAGGACCTGTTAGGCCTCGGCCTGAAAAGGCTTTTCCACGATTGTGTAGACTCCAAGTTGGATTGGGCTTTTTATTGGAGGCTGAATGTCATTCTCGCTTCTGCGATGGTGTAATGTTGTGCAAGCTCATTGGCTACCGTCGACATAACAAACTAGAGTTTTTTTGAAATTAAAATCAGGCTACAGACTGTGGAGTCTATGACAGATGATCTTCCTGAAGATTATCGTTGCATTCAGCCACAGAACCTATATTTACGTATTTTTAGACCTCATGTTTCCTTATGACTCTGGTGGCAAAGAACCATACTATCTTTCTATTTCGTTGTATCTCTTGCAGAAGCAATCAAAGCATTTGTTATGATACCACAAAGGTCTCGACGGCTCCCAGGGAGGCAATTTCCTGAACAATTGACCCAACGGCCTAGCGTCACGGGAGTGAAGCGAACCAGATCAGGCCAGTCGCTGTCTTCTCCCGACAGTCAATGTAAAAGGCCTGGATGCCACGAGCCTACATCCCCATCAAGAAGTGAGGGTCTCCCAAGCAATGACGACGATGAAATCACTGGCACCAACAAGAAGCATCCACCTCAAGAGAATAGTCTTTCTTGCAACCACTTGTCTCTAGCGCAGGGAATGAATCTACAACAACTTTTGAGAGAGAGGTTTAGCCGTTGGAGTAATGGGGTAGAATACACTACGCCACCAGAGGACAGATTGCCTCCACGAAAGCGCTTTAGAACATCGCAATGGCAGTCGGGTCTTCCAAGACTCGAAGAAGAGGATGAAAGCGAGGGCGAATTCGTTGTGATCTCTCATTCACCACGCAGAGTAGGGTTCTTTCATCTTGCCTGCCCATTTTACATTCATGCGCCCGACAAACACCAGCAATGTCTTATCCAACACGATTTAGTTTCTATTGAGAGGTTGAAAAAGCATCTCTTACGACATCACGATAGACCTCTGTACTGTCGTACATGCCGGAAGACTTTCGCAACGTTGATTGATCGAGACAACCACGCCTTGGAGAATGCATGCAAGAGAAACGATCAAGAGACATTGGATGGGCTCACTGAAAGTCAAAAAGCCAGACTGATCAAGGGAGATCGGTATTGGCTAGGAGAGGCAAATCGCTGGCGTCGTATTTGGTCTACAGTCTTGCCCGGCACAGAGCAACCTCCATGTCCATACCTTGATCGGGGCGATGGGCTGAATGTTTCTATGATAAGGGACTTCTGGGCTGTTGATGGCCAGAAAATCGTCTCTGACTTCGTCGAGAGCCTGGAAAGTCCTACGGATGAGAAGAGCGCAACACACGATATGATCTGCCAGAAGGCACTCGAGGGTCTGGTGGATTGGGTAATCAAACAGGATAGCAAGTCAACTATTCTGTCTTTTGACAGATGAATCTGCATGGGAGAATGAGTGAGACTCGTCTAGGTTCGGAAGCTGATCACCGAGCCTGGTATTGTTGAAATTTGGTTTGTATATTTGGTATAGTCTTGGTTGCCTGGCCTTTCTATATGTTGGCGCTTGTAGCTGGAGAATGTGGCTTGTTCAGGTCTTCGTTTCGTATTGTCACAATTGCGTGAGCTTCCTTTGATCGTATATCTGAATTGAGATCGAGTTTTGAGCATCATATGGCTCTCTAGGCTTGTGTAAGTAGCAGATATCGGAGTTCTCGATGCACCGATATATCAAACACTTATGCGGTTTGAATTATGCAAAAGGGCCCAAGATGTACTGTAAGTATTATGGCAGAAGTATTGTTGCGATAATGAATACTCTGAGTCTGTATCACATTCTTGAGGTGTTTTTGGACCTTGAGAGGGTACTATGACGGCATTCAAGGAAGAGGTCCTTGTACATTTCGTGAATATCGTCTTAGGTACTATAGGGTTTCGACCTTGGTTATCTTATACCGAGTTGACACCTTATGTCTCGAATCGAATTTCAGTTGTTTTACCTACCTGCAAGGTGAAAGCTGGACATGTTTGCCATTCGACCTTGAAATCTACCAAGGTACATCCCTACTCCCCTTACAACTATGGAGGTAGTTTCTGATTATAAGGCTAGAATTTAGGCAGCTGAGACAGGTAAAGAGAACAGGATACTACCCATATAGCGTTTCATCTAAACCTGCTCAAGCCTATAGAGCAAAACGATCCTCTGGACAAGGAGGTCTCAATTAATGTCTGGACAATGAATGATTAGTGGAATGAATCCACAATCTACGGATGCTATCCCAATTACGCGTAAGTAGCAAATTTCTAACATCTTGCAATCAATGGCCACCTGATGCCGTCTATTTAAGTCGAGCCCAAAACACCAGATAAAAATATGGACACTTAGGTATAATCCCTGTCAAGATCTCAGGGCTTTCTCCCGTCCAGCGAGTTTCATATCCCTTCTCATGGCCATAGTTACAATAACTTATGCTGGGTGAATGAATATAAGCTTCCACTAGTGGTTAAATAGCTATACTCCTTTACGATATGAAATAGCCACTTCTACACGAAAAACATTAGTAGATTATTGCATTCAGTGGGTTTAAGGTTCCATATTAAATATCACTAAGACTTGTATTAACCCCCCAAGGATAAGAACGGCAAAACTATCTATAAGAACAAATATAGAATAATAATTAGGATTCTCTCTCTTTCTATGGCAGGCTACGTCTGATATTACACCTCAGCAAGGTATGTTTACCCCTCTGCTAATCCAATATATCCGACTTGATGTTGACATGTAGGTGGACGTGACTTTTTCATGTCCAAAACGATCCAACCTAGATCTTTACTCTTCCAGGAAGTTGAGAGAATAGTCATCCGAGAGCCCAAGCCAATTCTGATGGGTTCCTGTCCCAGCCATCTGTGATAAAGCACCTCGTTTGAAGATATCATAGGGATGATCAGCAGGATTCAAAACTGTCATACAGAGCAATGGCTCCGTATACGCTGGGAAGCTAGTAGCGGCGTACTCAGAGCAAGTCTCCCTTGATTCGAACGCCACCCCTACTGATTGGGAATCGTAAGGGTCTCCAGCGACGGACATTGGCTTTAGAGGATCGCTGGGTAGGAAAGCTGAAGTTGCGATAGGGACAAAATCTGACGCATTAAACCCACGATATGGGCAGTGGCCAAGAGTGGCAGAGCCATGCTGCGAGTCGTCTCTTGCTCCTATGTTGGTTTCCATCAGAGGTCTTTTAATATCAGCAAGCTGTTCGTCAGATTCATCTTTCAGCGGCTTGCTTTCGAATCGATCCTCAACTCTATCGAGAAGCTCCGGTAGTAAAGATAACAGTTGTCCTGAGCTAACTGGTATACCTCGTGCTTGGACATAGTTTGACACAATCTGGTTGCCGTCTTGACTCCAGATATCGCGAATTATCCCCGTCATCTCTTTGACAACACCATCCAGAAGCGGCTTGGGTGTACTATCTGACTCTCCAAATAGAAGTACCCAGATTTCGTGCCACTGAGCCGCGGATGAAATGCGTCTGTCGGAACGAAGCTTGAGAGCATCCAGGATATGAGGAGGGATACTATCCAAGCTACTTATTTTACTGCGAGAACAGCTCCCTTCCCGTACATGGTCCTCGAACACCTTTGACGACGCGAAGCCTTTTCTGCAGACGGAACAATGTGAGTTTGCTGCATGTCGTCGCTTCAGGTGTTGCTTGACGATTGATATAGTGACCATTCTGAGATTTATGCACTCAAGAAAGCGGACTGGGTCCTTTCTGTAGAACGGACACGCAAATGTCTCTTCTTTCTTTTTTTCAACCTCGCCGCTGCCAGAACAATAATCGCCATCACCGTCTGATTCGTCAACATCGTTGTGACTTTTAGTCTTGCGGCTCTTCTTCTGGGGTGCACTGCTGCTTTCGGCTGGTCTTTTCATCAAGTTTATAGTAGCTTGACCTGGCTTCATCCCTGAAAATGGGGCATCCTGTTTCATTTCCTTCTTCATGTGCTGCACCGAGTGACCCATGTCAGAGTATAGTTGGGGGTTCCTTGGAAGTTTAGCAAGATCCTTTGTGTTTTCCTTGTGCTCTGGTGAAAGATTTGATATCGAATGTCCCATGATTTCTGAGGAGAACAAGTTATCCGGCAAGGACGCTCGACGAGAGGTTGCTTGACCAGGACATATACGATCGATTGTCTGCCTCTCAAATCGATGAGCCTGCTGTTCACGTGGAATCCCTATTCGATGCACTTTGTCATATTAGTATCATCTTTGGTATAATTTTTCCACAACACTGAGTTTCACTTACTTGGAGCCAGAGGTCTTAGTCTTGTATTATTGTTCGACCGGTATTCGAGTGCTCTTGTATTGAGACTCGATACTCCCTTCTTCCTGCCATTTCGTTTTGAAGGACTTGAATTCGTCTGTTTGCTCTTCTCCGTGGCCTTGGAACGTCCATCATCAAGATCTATGCAATCCTCGGCACAGATAATGCTCTCATCCATATTGATGCGTTCATTTTCTAGTGAACTCTGAGCACTGGACTCTTGAAAGCCGTTATAGTATCGAACTAACATATTCTTTATCTTATATAAGCAGGATAATCACTTTGTTCCCTGGCCAGCTAGAATACCGGACAACGCGCAACGACCAACTCTGGTGAATACACTATAAGTCCATGTGTCTTTTGCAGTCGCAAACTCTGAAGAAAATAGTCGAGATTGATCTCAAGTTCGTTTGATCAACGTAAGGGAGAAAACAATGAAGGTTTGCTTTAGAAGGATAGGTTGGTATGAGACGAAAACCATCGCAAGGCAACAGGGAGCGATGGACCAACTATACCATTTCAACTAGAGTGGGGTCTATCAGCTAAGAGCGGCAGCATACGTCAGACAAGGGCATGTAATCACTGCGCCTGGTACATGGAGGTACAATAGTCACTAACACAATCAACGCTTGAATTCAACATGTTTCATTTAAACGCAGTACTGTTACACCCCTATGGTATCGAGATCCATTGGCACCCGCCGCAGTCGCACAGATGCCCACGCTATCTAACATATCACACTTTGACAAGCCTCAAAATTCCGCTTTGAGGTCTGTTGATTTGGCCAAGCCTGATTTTTCGGGTGCTGAGCATAGTGGTTCTCGTGGGCTGCAACCCCCTGTAAGCAGCCGTCGCTGAATGTCAAGGCCCGAGTCCAGTAGCCAAGCCTTGATGCGGCCATCATATTCTTGGTGACAGCCTAATTGACTCGATTCTCTGCAGGTACAGTCAGTTATACAGTTTTATTTTGTGGAATTGGTCAGGTTTGTTAACCTTTTTGACGATTGTGTGGAGGCTGGCATGATGAAGAAGTTTATTTGATGAGGATTGAGTCTCAACTATCAGAACATGAGCTCGAATTATATAGCATAGCTAACGTTTTCTCTTCCACGGATGTGTCTTTCATCTTCACAATGGTGATGAACCATGGGAACTGTCCACCGTCGTGAGCCTTTGATTGATTGAACATAGGCTAACGAACAATGACCCCTCAAGTCTTGAAGCTCGTAACGGATCTGTACCTGGCGTTGACACACAATAAAAACGCCAGGGCGAACTCGGCGGGCCAAGGAAGTGTGTCTAATGCAGGCGCCTTGAGGCTATGGCCAATCACTATCTTCAATGCCTTGGATGATAAGCCTCCACCGTTGTGGAAAACTGAATCACCTTGCATCTCAAGCGCCAAATTTCCCCACAACGTCCACATCTGTGGAGCGATCAATTGTTGACAATGAGGCCTCCTGAACAATCTCTGCTGTTGATGGCTTCCACATCGGTGGAAGAACGTCTGCAATAAACGGTAGCAATCCCTGCAATCCTCGACCTAGGTACCCTAGCTTCCACGATCGTGGGAACAAGCCGCCCAGCTACTATGACATACCGCCATTCTCGGTAAGTTGGCGTCCGATCTATCGAACTTTATTCTACATCGCATCATGTCGCTACTCAATTTAAACCCTTCTAGAACCCATTTCAGCACGACGAAACAGGTTGGGGTGCGTACATACATCATAAGGATCTGGCTGAATAAAAGATGTCTGTTGTTTTTGACACCACTCACACCATTGTGATGCGGCTCTGCGCGTGTCTGCCTGTCAAGGCTCTGTTCATGCAGTATAAACGCCTACACAGTGGTGGATAAGGCAGATAGTCCGCGTTAGAACAAAACTAATAACTATACGATATACGACCAACCCAATCCATGAAACACAATTGACCTTTGTTAATCCCACACTCTAAATAAGTGGCAATTGCAATCTCCATACTCATAGGGCTCAAGGGGATGAACGACACCGGCGCCTTGTTAAAGAAGCCTTGAAATCTGAGCAGTAGCGGCAAGATGCTTTCCGCACTTCCAGTGCCCCACCGTTGGAGGCCGTCCAACAACGACAGCGACAGATCGTTCACCTCTGGCTTACACAAACGTTTCACCAAACGCCTCTTGCATTTCTACAGACGCAAACGAAGTAAACCTGATGTCAAAGTGACCGCGAAAACAAAGCAAACACGCAATACCACATCAACCAAAGGAGACGATAATGGCGAATCAATTGGCCAGGATAAGACCTACAACGCCCTGATCCTGCTGTTCAACTCAGGCTACCCTGTAGCTAACATCCTGGCCCGAGCGAGGCTGCACATTCAACAAAATGGTACGTAGGTTCCCCAAGCAATTTCAGCTGTGTTGAACCTGTTATTGACATAAAGGCAATTAGTTCTCAATGCGCACAGTGGCCATCTGGGGGATTTGGGCCCAGCCTTGCGCATCGGCCCGTTCCTGACGTCTGATCTTGCCCCTCAGAAGCTAGGCATCTCTACAGGGGATCAACACATGGCTGCTATGGGGGGACCCTCTAGCCAGAAACGGCCACCGGGAAGCCCTGGCAAGTCTGGTAGCACCAGCAAAAAGCCGCGCAAGGAGAACAGACATCCCGACGACAGGGCCCAGAGTGACACAGATGGTGATGATGAGGACGATGAAGGTGATCCTGGCCGCGACGGACCGCGTTTTCCTTTGCCTAAGAGTTCCCCGGACCGCAAAAGCTTCGTATGCCCATTTTACAAGAACCATCCAGCTCGGTATTGTAAATGCAAAGGGCTCCGCATAACCGCCATCAGCTATGTTACACAGCACATCCGCAGATGCCATGTATTGAAACAAGTTACGATGGATGTACAGGAAACCGCCCAATCCATGGATGGCAATTCCACTTACCTGGAGAAAACAAAGGACCCCGATAAGATCGTTTTCTACTGTCCGACATGCCGGGACGAGTTCCGTGGCCGTGGCGCCGATGTCAGATGGGATCGCCACACAGGCTGCCGGAAACAAAGCATTGCACAGACAGGGGTTTTACTACCGGTAGAGTTTGAAAAGCTCAAGGAGGAAGTCACTGCGACGTCTGGAAATTATAGGAAGTGGGAGAAGATATGGACAACTTTATTCCCTGGAACATCTATCCCAACCCAGTACAACGAGGCAGAAACTGGTGATGATACACAGCCACATACCATTATCCGACACCAGCCATTCCCCGGCCCTGTCATTGAGACTTTCCATCATCCACCAGAAGTTTTCGCTCCCCAAATGCCGGACTTTACGCCAGCTCCTGACATTTATTTGGGCGATGCTAGATTTATCGACTTACTTAACGGCCACTGGGATATGGCAGATAATATTGGAAATATGGATTACGCCACAGGCCACATCCCGAATCCCGCACCGACTGATTTGCGGACGATTAGGAGGCCAGCGCGATTCGATCCTAATTTTATGCAGTCGCTCATATCTGTATCAACACAAAACCCGACATTTCCCAACAATGATTGGACTCAGAGCAAATACCACGGCGCTCAATGACTAAGATCCTTGAGTCTCGCCGATACAGGTATATATCGTTTTTAATGTTGTTCTTCCTCTGGTTTCATTTTCGTCTTTATCTTGGTTTCTGCGTTTAGAAGCGAAAAGTGGAGCGGTCAAACAAAAAAAGACGCTGGCGTTGCAAACACAATTGAGGTCTTGGGTTTTAATGATGATACAGGGATGAATAATTGAAGCGTTAAGGGAGTTATTGCAAATTTATCATGAGATATAAAATTTGAGCGACAATCGTGGTTCATTTTAGCAACAACATTGTTGTTGTGTTTCGGTTGCATTGAGTTAGATGGCATCTAAAAGTTAGAAGAAAGTTAGTTAGACGTCGCTTGTAATGATGCTTAGGAAGCTCTATTTGCATTGCTTCTGTACAGTTCACCGACTGTGTTTCTCAAGGCAATAGAAGCACATGATAGATGCCTTTTCGACTAAAACACCATTAACCTGAGCAGCCAGAACGACAAAGGTTGGATGAGGTTGCGCTCCAATCAGATCATGAGAACATTCCGAACATGGTCAAACCATCATGCCACTAATCCATGCCCAGACAGGGGTCTACCTCAGAGCAGAATGACGACAGTCAGCCAAAATGTGAGATGACTTTTCAATCATGTGAGTTGGAACTTCTGGGGTTTCCCCGTACCCAGCGTATGGAAGTCAGCAGCTTTCAACGATCAGACCATGCACCACCATTCGAGTTTCACTGTCATGAACGACATGACCTCAGCACAGGACCAGATTTTCGGGAGCAGCCGGGTCAATTGAGGATAAAAGAGAATTGGACCGCACGTTGTAAACAGCATTCATCAAACCAATTGACTCGATTGAACACAATTCAAATCACCACTGAACATATTTTGTTATTGAACATCACAATAATCATGACGACCAACTCATTCGGCTCAGCGCTTCCCCGCTTCGATTTCCCCCACCAACCCGCTGCTCCAAAATTGACAGCCCAAGCGGCTCGCGCATTCCCCACTGTCGCCATTGTCGCGACAGCTGGTACGTCTGCAATTCAACCTCAACTTCAATTGACAAACACTAATACTGGCCCAGCGGCTTATTATTACACATATTACTACGCTCCCAGTCGAGAATATCACATGTACACGAATTCTTCGATACAGAATAGTCAGATGTTCCAAAGCACAAGGAGCACAAAGCCAAAGGCTGAGGTAACGCCTTCGCAGAGGATGGAAGAAATAGGGTTGTGGTGGACGGCATTATAAATTATAAACTCCTACTGTTGAAGAGGGGTTGCTCTATCTGTCTTTTGTAAAGGAGTATGGTTTTAGTGCTGGGCTATACCTTTGAGCCCGGGCTGGGGAACGTGTTGATCAAATATCCCGTCGCGCCGGAGGCGTGCCATATAATATAATTATTGTCAATCATGTTTTTTGTTTACAGTTGGGTGAGTCCAGGATGATTTATCCTCAGCTTCTGAACTTCCAATTTGACCAAGTGTTATATATTATCGTCAGACAAAGAGATGTGAATATAGTGTCCTCTTGAGTGTTTCGCCTTGCTCCCACTACCGTGCTCTGCCATATCTGTTGAATGTATTGGCTGTTCTGCGATTATCTCCACAGGAAGTAAGACCCCTAGCCAAACTTGAAATCTCACAAACTTGTATCCAACCCCGACGCATTCCCTTGATTGGAGATCTGAGTATTCCTCGTCGCTCAGACCAGACCTTGTGCGAGATGTTTCACTCCACTCTCAACAGACAGCTTTGTTGTCCTTTCCACTCAGCTACCCCCGGATATTTGCTCTCTCTAAGCATTCTCAGTCTCTCAAATAATGTGGCTGTTCTCTTCCTGTTTTATTCCGCCGTTTCATGTAGCTTCAAAAAGCCATTGAGCATGTTTGAGAAGTGGTTTAATCTTCTTGTCAGAAGTCCTTCGGCATCTGACCTGAACAGATGTAATCCTCTGGAGATAAACAGCTCTCCATAGAGCTCTGAGAGGACATGAAATTTTCCATTGATATATCGTTATTTGGGCCCATCAGATGCCAATCCATCCCAATATTCGAATGCAGCAAGCTGGTTGAGAGATCAATATAAGAGTACTCAAACTGCTGGCTCTGATACTGAGGAGGCATAAGACAGTTGAAGGTGTAATTTGAAGTGTTGGAAGTGTCGAAGTCTTCTGAGAAATGCCATTCTTGCGTTGGTAGACCGACAGGCTCTACAACTTCGATCGGCCCAGTGTTAAGCATGTTACTGCTAGCCCCCGAAGGAGGCTCGCAAGCATGCCCTGTCTTTCCTCCTTGCAGAGCCCCCTTATGGGTATCTTGAATTATATCGGTTGGTTCTTTCAAATTCTCTTTTGGGGCTTTCTGCTCTTTCTGTTCGAAACAATCTTCAACTCTGGTAAGGATTTCGGACAGTAAGGGGCGCAGCTGATCAGCGCAAGGAACATTTTGCGTATCCCTCAAACTAGCGATGATGTTATGCTCCTCGTCTCTCCATATACCACGCATAATCCCTGTTATCTCCTTGAAAACACCGTCGTGGTGTGGGTTCAGTGCGTCACCGACTTTTCCAAATAAAACCCTGCATATTTCATGCCATTGGAGTTCAGGAGACGAACTCCTATCAACACGGTCCTTGAGTGTTTTTTGTGCAGCCGGAGAAACGCTGTCATTGTTTATACAGTCCTTGATTGGACAGTCCCGCTGCAGGACATGCTCCTCATATGTTTTCTGCAACGAAAATCCCCTAAAGCATCTGGAACACGAATAACTCCACGTATGCCGCCTCTTCAAGTGTTGCTTAACATCTGATATTCGAATCAACCTAAGGTTAATGCAATCAAAGTACCGCTCCGGGTCTTTTCTGTAGTAAGGACAAGCAAATGTCTCGAGCCTTTTCTTCGTATCGTTTGGCACATCAGTACGACTCCTCTTCTGGAAGACCTTGTTTTCCTCGGCAGGCCTCTTCGAAGACTTTACCGTTGTTTTATCACCTGAACGAAGTAATTCCTTCTGCGATTTCGCCCCGGAAATCTGGTCCCAGCACGCACTCTCTGGGAGTAAGATTGGATTCGTTTCTGCATCTCCCAGCACCTCCAAAGCATTCTCATCGGGGGATGAAAGTTTTGTTTCTCCAAGGGTTTCCATTTCATGAGACGGCATAACATCTGATGTTTCTTTCCGTGATACTCTATAAGAAAGCTGCCCAGAGACCAGATGCTGGCTACTGCGGAGTTCTGCCATGTCCGGAATTGAGGGCTCATTGCGATATACAGTGAATAGTTAGCTTCCTTGAGCTGTTGGAAAAGCGGCAATGCATCTTACATTGAATCGATGAAACACCTTCCTGGGCATTGAAGGCATGTTCGTGCTGGGCTTGAGATGTAGTAGCGGGGCAACCCGATAACCCGTAGGGCTGTTGGGACTGCTGACCGTCCGGTTTGTTATCCAATATAAAAGGCCTCGGAGCTTTGCAGTCAGTCGATTCCCCATCCTTCGGTGTGCAAGCCAAAGCATGATCAATGTGAGAAGAGTCATCTGAGCGACCTGAGGCCCCCCTAGGCTCGAAAGCGTAGCATTTCCGACCAATTTTCATTCTGCGATCCCATGTAGTCTCTTGAACTGTCACAGTCGGGTATCCGCGCTGTAGAAAGGATCGATGTTGTGTCGGATAGATTGTGATGCCATAGACTTGGTTAAGTTGTGATGCTCCGTCTGGGAGAAGGGGAGGCTGTTAAAAACACACAGGATAGGCGGCCAAAGGCAACCGGCGGATGCTCCACTATACACGTACATTGTACTACGAATACGGAGGGGTGCAGAACCGCATGCAACGTGCAGACAGCCGAGAAATATGAGTGAGACCAACATGCCGTTTTCGGGCCATGGTATCTTAGAGATCATTGCAATATCAATATGAAGCCTATTAAATCATTGATGTGTCTTTGGGATTCTCCTTAGGACTCTCTAGTCGCTTATGACAAGATGCCATGCCTTAAAATCACAAAACAATCCCGCATTTTTTAATCGCCTTCAATAATTCATCACCTCAAAAATCCGCCTCAGGTTTTGACTTGAATTATTCCTCCGCGTTTGGTGTTGGGCTCTGGGGCTGTGCCATGGTGACGCTCCTGTCAGCAGCCTGCCTTGGAGGTCGAGCCCTGGGTCCAACAGCCAAATTTGGATTCGATCATTGGATTCTTCCTTTGCATTTAGTTGGTTCGATACACTTTGGGTGCACTTCAGTCAGAGAGCAGGGCTTGTACAATGGATATTTGAGACATACCTTGTTGAAGCTAAGGAGCAAGTAGCTCCATAGCTTGTTGAAGTTACGATCTTGGATGGCATGTTGATCCAGGTATTAGGGTTTGTGACAGATTGCTAACGAAACGGCATGTTTTGGGCCGGTAAGCGCATCAAATTTTATATAACCATTACTTTCTCTCCAAATCGCCATCTCCGCAACCGCGGATGGCATGGCTTGGCAATATTTCACAACCGCGGAATCGAGTTTAGCAATTCATCAAGTACCGACGAACAGCACAGCCAGCAAAACCCGACGAACTAATGAACTCTCAGTATGGCTATGGCGAACCACAAATGCGAATAATCAGAGCTTGGCAACTGGAAAAGACACAGTAAGTGGCGGCGAATGAGAGCTGTTGGTGTGTCGTACAACAGCAATAGTGGAACACTGCATCGAATAAGATCATCGAACAGGGATATGCTGCCGCCCAAGCTTCCACATTTGCGTAGAAAAGACAAGTCTCTGTGGAGAGGAGGCCTCTGCGATGGAATGGTTCGTGAAAAGAATTATGTCTTGGAACAGCGGCAGATAATGAGACAACAAAGATGAACTCGCCCTTCCACATGTGTGTAATCCTTCCGCATATGTGTAGTCCTTACGCATGTGTGTAAAAGACGACGCACCTGCGTGAGACATGGCTCACCGAAGACAAGACTATTGCGATAATCTAATATGTTCATTGTTGCTCCGAGTCTCAATTGTAAAGTTATCGGCGCGAACAATAACGGGCATATCACAATGCTATGCCTGTGTTTAAATGTAAACGCCTCGATGGCAATTGCCTGTAGCGGCTTTGGTCGAATATCCATAGCAAAATATGCCTACTAAACGAGGCTGTATTTCTTCCGCGGCTGTGTAAGCCGGTCTGGGCAATTGCGCGTGTGTGTAGAGAGCCTGGTTATCATGGACACGACAACAGAGCCTCCAGGGCCTACGCGATTGCGGAAGGCAGAATACTGCCTTGATTAAAAGGACTGTTCAAAGCCTCTCTCTTGGACACTCTTTTCCAAGCCGGTAGTTGGAAACACTGGTGTTCTCTGAGTCCACAGAAATTGTTTCTTGGTCTCAGTTTCACAAGAACACAGCATATTTTTCCAGGATCTTTGTCTTTCTTCTGAGCATATCCTCACTTTAATCATGTTCCTCAAACCATCCCCCGAGCGATCCCTGGCATCATTGACCTCACACGGAATCCTTTCCAATGAGCCATGGCGTCGTTTGAAGCAGAAAGTTTCCCGCCACAGATGGCAAAAGGCCGCAGCCACAAATGGGTCATCCGCAACGGTTGATAGTAGCGATATCAAAGTTGGAGATGGTATTTCGGCAGCAGCTTGCAACGATCTCAACTACCCATGGGGTCACCAAATCAAGCCAATTATTTTGGAACCTGCGTTCTATGAGGCCCTGGACCAACTGCTACACAGGTTCAAATACCAATCTATTCCTTCAAATGATGACCATTACAAAGCCCATGGAGCGCAGGGCCACAAAATCAACTCGAGGAAGCCCGAAGAAAGGAATCACAAAGGGAAGAGTACTCGTCAAGATGCTCGACATCCTGGGTCTGGCGGCGGAGGCAAAGGCAGTGGGGGCAAAGGGGGGGACGGAGAACCACCGCCAGATGGCCACCGATATCCTCCTCGCGACGAAGTCCAGCTCCCCAAGATCTTCGGATGTCCCTTTCACATCACAGACCCGGTACAATATCATGAGTGCGGCAACTTTCGCTTACGTCGATTAAGTGATGTCTTCCAGCACATCGAACGGTGCCACCTACTACAAGAGGTCAAGCTGTGCACACCTCGTGGCGCCGAGGCAGCTCGCAAGAACGGAAATGAGAAGGGGGCTTGCACAGACAGCAACCTCATCAAAATCTACGATGCGACATGTCGTCAGGAGTTTCATGGCCCCCGCGCTGAGGGCAACTTCAAACTCCATTGTGCTAGCAAAACATGCCAACCAAAGACGATTGAGGAGACCGGCATGCTGCTTCCTGAGGAGTTCGAAGATCTCAAGGACAAGCGTGATAGGGCGAAGGGTCTTGTAGCCAAGTGGTACGCAATGTGGATGGTGTGTTTTCCACCTCTGACTTCGACAAAGTTTCGAACCGTCCCGGCCTCTCCATACGTCCAGACAATCTTTACTCGCGAGGCCGGCCAGATGGTGATCCTCCAAGTGCTTTCGGGGTTTGGTATCTCAACGGAGTACCACCGGCCCATGTCTGATCAGATCGTAAACGGACTATATCCTGTTCAGTTCCAAGCAGACTCTGAAGTCCAACAGGCAGTCAAAGATCAGCAGAGAAAGCGAAATTCGATGCTCCAAGATGCGGAATTTGAAGAGTTTTGCAGATCAACCTTTAATTCATCAGAACTTACATCACCAGGCTTTCCCTCTGCTGGTCCTTCACAGCATCAATCACAACAACAAATGCCAGAACAACCAAGCAATGGCACCGTGGATCTCTCAAATTCGCTTTCACGACAACTACAAATGTCGCAAGGGACATACCGTGGTCTGCCTTCATATTTCCCTCCCAGCGAAACCCAAGCACCTCCCGAAATGGCTAATCCTGTATATCAGCAGTATATGGAATGGGAAGGCTACTATCCTCCGAATGGGTTCACTGGCAACTGTAACGGCACCCGGTAGTCATTTTTAGATGACTTCCTTTCTGTGTCCCTTCTTTTCTTTATGTCAACAGGAAGTATATATATGTTGTGCAAGGCACATACATATATTTTTGTCAGTGTAGCAGGGAAAATCGTGAAATATGTTATGATTTTTGATAACAAAGCTGTATGTGTTTGCTTGGTGTGTCTCATTGAAATAGGATAACCTTTAACTATAAATTAACAATGCTACTTAGTACATTTGTGGTTTGTGTGATACAAAGAAAGTCCATGCCTTTACTACAAGAGCCAAGCATCAAGGCTCAGTCATACAGGTGACATCCCTGCGTAATTGAATTCGTCAAGCACTTATTAATAGGTCCTCCAAAACCAACTCATACAAGTTACCCATAAGACTCTGGTGTTCGTATCGTGGTATTCTCTGATGCTTCAAAGAGTTCAGGATGCATTTAGAGCCATACAGGTCCCAGAAATCGCGCATCATGGAGACGGCTAATCCGGAGCCCTGGCCCAGATACGGGGAGACGGGCTCCCTTGAGTCTGGAAACACGATAGACCAAATACAAAGCCAGCGTGTCTTTTCGCTATTGCAGTGAGTGTCCGTCTCCAGTAACATCGATTTCTGGCTCTCGGACAGCCCAAACAATGGACCCGGAGTACGCTCTTGGCATTTCTCCTTCAAAACATGATCGTCGCGACGAATCTGCGTGTCGAATGTCTCGTAACAGTTTAAGCAGCAGCATGGACGAGAATGAAATTTGAATAGATGTTCAATCACATCCGCAGTACTTCGTAAATCGCTCGTGAGCAGGCATTGGTGGCACTTTTCAGGATCATAGACATAAAAAGGACAGGCAAGATGAAATGGTGCTCTGAAGTAGCGAGTGGGACGTGATATCACAGCCAAATCATCGTCACTGATGTCGTATTCATCATATGTCTGCCCAAGCGATGGTTTGAGGCGTTGTTGAGGGAGCAGTCCATTCTCTGGCGGTGTGATATACTCCATCCTTTCTTTCCAATCCTTGAATACTGCAAGTGCGTGCGTCTTAACCTCAAGCCTCTGAGACTGGAAATCATCAGTGGAAATCAGTTTGTGTTCCGATGATGAGAAGTCTCCAACGTGTTTTTCATCTTCTGTATCATTCGGTGACCGGCATTGAGACTCCATGTCATGTCTTGGAGACAAGGGTGCGGCACACCAATGTAGAGGTGCATTAGGGCTATTGTGAAGCCAGGGATCACATTGGCCAGCACTGGCACGCTTGGTTTCTCCTGTGTGGGTGGAACGTCGATAGGGTTGCTGGAAGTCATGGTGTTGGCAACAATTTGGTCCACCAATCGCTTCAACCTTGTTTCTTCGAAAGCAAGACTTAAGGTGCTGAAATAGGATGTAGAAGAGACTAAAGCCGCAAGAAGACATTTTGAATAGCATTGATAGTGTGTTTAGATAAGTTACTCATGGTATGTTCGGATATACACTGAGCCTTATATGTGCTCAGTAGCTTTTCAGCCGGATTCTCGTGCCACAAGTTAGTCCGCAACACAGGTGTGTGCATGCATAAAGCCGCCAATAAGATTGACTCTCAGGCAGGGAGTAATGCAAGCCAAGGCAGCTAAGCATGCAGCCTGGATCTCACAAGCCAATGAGCATTGGTTAATCTAGGCCATCCTTGGCTGTCTACGCAACGGCGGAAGAGGTAACATGGAAACTTTTCGATAATCGATCAGATGTCCGAAAGAGGTTGAAATGACATGGTTCGCCCGGAAATCAGACCCAAATTCTTGCGGGCTTTGCGACGCAAGTGCTTTTCATTGAAATGACAGCGGTCTGATGGGATATCATGACTGCATGAGCATATTGCGCATCGCAATTGTGAAACTGGTGTCACATCTCATAGCTGGTTAACACAGCCCACTTTTGCTTATCTTGTACTGACAGTGTAATTACTGCTTTCTGCTATGCTGAGCTACGCAAAATGTCAGGTTGAAACGGTGTCTTTCTCTATCTCCCGAGGGTTGCTGTACATCAGAGGATGTCATGCAGTCGTTCCGAATCTGGACTCGAGCGATCACATGAGTAGGGCATAAATTGAGGCCTTTTGGCGCATGAATTCGACGGTCCAAAGAGATCTACACGATTTTGGAGCCTCCGTGCTTCCAGCTTCCAATACACAGAACAAAGATGTCGGAACACGTCACGTTCAAACCTAAAGCACATTCGTGGAGTATGGGATAATTTCTCAAACCTGATGGTTGCCTGAAAGACTTGGTCCCAATCTAGTGTCTGGCCTTAATGACGCATCCAGTGGGCCTCATTTTTACACAAGGCCAACCATGCATCGGCCGCATGGTTCAATGGCACCTTATGTACCAAAGAATGTCTGGAAGAAATGGAAAAGCGAGTCTGTTTTCTTGGAGGAGTATTGTGGTCTATGCTCTCACGCGATTCGCATTCGCCTAATTCATTGTTTTGATCATGCTGTATTGCCCTTCGCAGATCTTGAAGAGATAGGTGATAGTTATTTGAGGCTACATGCTTTGCTTGTGCTATTCTGTAAAAGATGTCTGGACATATTATAGAGTGGTTCTGCCGTTATCTACCGCCTATAGAAAGTATCGAAACCAACAAGAAAAACATTTTTATCCTTGGCCATCACATGTCTCTTCTGCCGCATTGTCCCATCATGCTGATCGATGACCTTGAGAACCTGCGAGATGGCATCCGCCCCTTGGACCTAGACGAACTCCGAGCAGCCATACGTGGACAGTCAGTCCCCCAGAACTTTCTTCATGAGTTGGCATATAAATGTCTGGTAGCCGGAATTCGGCATCATGATGGGTTCGCTCTCGGAGTCCGGGGCAAATCGTTACACCAATCCATCGAGAGAGCTTTCAACGCCCGGGATATTATGAGTGGCCGAGTGCCAGAGATGGAGAAGCCAGAAGACATCCCTTATTGCTTCTGGTACCCCGACGTTCCCAATCAAGACGCTCTGCGACAACTCTTGAAAGACCATCCTACAACTTTGATGCGTTACCAGGTTGGGCGTGCTTGTGCGGTTGGGGGTTATGTCGAGCTCTTCAAGGAACTGGATGTTCTCCCTGATGTATCCATTGCGGAGGAGGCTCGAGACAACTTACCTGCCTCAAAGGCTATCTACGAACTGGTGATGAATGCGCCCATCCTCTACCGGGTAATGGACGATTACAATCTCTGTTTGTTTGACAAGCCCCAAAGCGGAGCCTGTCTCAATGGTGACACCTGCGTGCGGTCGACACTGAACAAGAGACAGCCACTCTGTTACGAAATCTTCCCTCCGCCATTTGATATCACTGAGGACTGGTGCCTTGGGGCTGATGTAAAGCGCTTGGAAGAGAGAGCTATCCCTAGCGACACTCTGAGTCTCCTCTATGCTCCACTGCCACGACATTTACCCTCGGTTGACAAAGACATCCTCATTCTCATGGCTGCTTTCACTGGGAATATCGACCGATACGCCCGACTGCGAAGGGAACGGACTATAAACGGCGAGATGCAGTGTATCGTACGTGGTATTTACCATGACACTCTTTTCGCCCGATGGTGCTACGAACAGCCAGAGCTAGCCGTGCTCCGAAAGTTTGTCCATGCGCGATTCATCATGAATGATGACCTCACCTGGTTCGATTACAATCAGCCAGTCTCTAAAGATGATCTGCCGCGCATCATCTGGTACCCGCAGCAAGCAAATCCAACGACCTATATGGAGCTCTTCCGCCTAATGCCTGAACTGAAGCAGCTTGTAGCTCAAGCATTGGTCGCATGCGACGAGCCACGTGACTTCTTGCGTCTTGAGCCGGAACTGACTGAGGAGATTTACGGAGAGATAACAAATGGGGTTCACTCAGACTTGTTCCGTGAGTTCATTGATAAGCGAGTATCGTATGAAGAGGAGGGGGAACTGGCAGAATGGACCGAGCTTCCGCATGATGTCCACGACGTCGCTCCTTATGATCATTTGATATCGAAGGAAATGAAACCGCACTTCAGTCATGGTCTCAAGGAACTCACTTTGGATGATGTTGGTTTTGAGAATAGAGAGGTCTACGAGCCTGATACGAGGGACGCCAGAGATTTGATACGTTATATGTCTGCATTCCCCAAACAACCGAGGGATCATTATCGAGAGGAGAGGGAGGCGATAATGAGAGAAATAACTGGAAGGATGAGGCAGGACTCGGGTATTGAGACACTCCAAGCTGATAGTTAAAAAATGGCAATTAGTCTTTGCCTCTGCCCATACGCAGTCATGGCATTCTCATGAGCCGAGCTTAAGTCGACCGATTACCTCCAATGAATGCAACACATTGACGTTTTTTACCGATAGAGTCGAGCAAGTATCGAGTGCCTGTTGCTGCTCCCAATCTGATGCATATGTTTCAGACGAGCCTTTTCAGTGGAGTATTTCCAAGTCTTGTCAAGCCGCGGAGCTTTGTAAGAGCATTGCATGAAGGGTTGCCTGGGCACCTTGTTCATTCTGTGGTTCATGTTCATAGTTTGTACAAGGGCTAACGCTTCTCGCCCGCCTCAGCTCGTGCTCTCAGCCACTGCGTACGACTTGAAGCCCCCTTGACCTGATATGTGAAGCCGACCTCGTGCATTGGCAGACATCGTTGTGGCCGAGAGTTTATAATCATCACACAGAACTTAGCTGTAGGTGGAAGAGAAAACAAGACGTTTTACTAAGGTAGTTCCTGTTATCAACACCTTAAACTTGATTAAAATTAGCTATAAATTGTAGATATTTTGTAGATTTTACAATTAAATATGTAAATTTAGGCTAGACCGGCCATGCCTTGCGTCACCCCCAAGGTTTCGGACGTTCAGTTCCTTCCCCTGAAGCTCGTGAACAGTCTCCCGCTTTCCCTTTCTGCCAATCCTTCGTCATAACTCACGCTCGGAAAAGAACTGTCCTACCCTTGGACTTTTGGTACCCGAGCAACCCGTATGCTTTCTCTTTCAGCATTTCCTCTTTTTCATAGTCGTAATCATCATCAATCACCACTTTCAGGTTTCATCACATTCAAACATTGCATCAGAATACACGCTACAAGATTATTACGCCGCCTCAACCGGTCGATCCGACACTCCCATGGAGCCTACGAACGGGCCCAGGTTTCCTCACGCTGCGAACCCCCCTAGCTTCCTGGAATGCCCATTTCACAAATACAATAGCATCCAGTTCTACTTATGCACCGACAAAGCTATGAGAGGGATGGCATGCCTCTGGGAACATATCAGATCGAAGCACTTGGCCCTCAATGGCTTCGCAACGTGGACTTGTCCGAATTGCCGTGATGATTTCTACTTCTATTCAGGTGGCAATGATGTAGGCGGTAAGCTTCCTAGCCGCCATGATTCGTCAAAATGCGTCACAACTCGGCCGGGAGAGTCTGGCGTCTTATTTAACTCAGAGCTGCAACTATACATGAACGCCACCATAGGTCGAGGAACCGAGGCAGCATGGTATAAGCTGTAGCATTTCTTATACCCTGATCTGGAAAGGCCAAGGACACATTTGGTGGAGGTCGCGGTTCCTTACCTTACTGCAAAGGCTCGAACCAAAACGCTGGATGCCGGCGATCAAATTCTTGTACTGGACAACATATACGCGACTCACAACAGCATGAGTAGTGATGCCTCCCAGGAGAACGGAACTCAAACTCTGCAACAGTACCCCGCGAAGCCCTGGCCAAAACCACCACAGGCTCCTCGTCTACAGCCCCCTCATAACGGAACTCAAGCTCAGCAGCACCTCGTGAATCCTTGGCAAGCACTACCACAGTCTTCTCATCTACAGTTCCTCCAGAACAATCAGTAAGAGTTCCCGCCCAATAGTTTTATATGTCAACGTTTACTTACTGCCATAGCCAAAGCCAAGATCTGCAACGACTGCAACATTTTTACGCCGGGCCAACGCCTAACAATTATACTCAAACTCCATTTTATCAGCAGCCACCATATAGTTCTAACCCACAAACGCTCTATGACTCGCCTCAACCTGACATGACATCTGCGGAGAATCCTAGCGCACCGGCAAGCTCGGTTGGACAGCAGAACCTCGGTGCTACTCAGCCTCAACACCGGGGACATTCGACGACGAATCAATTCGACATTTCATTCAATTCGCCCTTCAAAGAGTTCATCGATACATCTATTTGGAAAGACGATCAAGCGGGTCATGGTCAGAACAACAATGAGCCATCCCTTGATATAGATAACGAGGTAGAAGATAATGGTATTGATCTGAAGGAGTGGATGAAAGGCTATGGGCTTGGTTGAGGCTCAAAAGTAGCAATTATGTGGAATAGAACTAGAACTCGGTGGTCTCTTCACTTTGATAATACGATTAGCCGCCAGAATTCTGACAATACCTACCAGTATCCTCACCTGAAATTACGTGATTGCATGCTATTGATGAGCTTGAAATGGAATATGGGACGATACAAAAGTACTGAAGAACTTATATCAGGCGATAAACAAGATCCATTTATTATTAACTAAATATTGCAGCAACAAGATGCACTGTGCCTTGTTGTTAGCCATTTGTCATATGACTACACCAATCTGTAATCCCAACTCCATGAAAGTATCACTTTGTGGAAACAGTGTTAAGCTCGTTGAAAGAAAGCTCAGGCTCCTTCTCGTGATCGAGTAGCACAGCTGGGTCAAAGATACAAAAGATAAGAATAGCGACTGCAATACAAACACCATCAAGACCAATAAAGTATCCCTCTGTTTTCATCAGCTTTCCATCCCAACCTTCGAGGAGTTCGACCGTTCGGTAGATGCATCGGATGTAGACAAATACGACGGATATGATGGTGGCGTAGATGACGAAGCGTTGGCCCTTGACGAGCTCTAGGCCTCGGGTTCTCAAGACAAATATGGCAAAGAGAATGCAAAAGCCAGTCATGCTGACGAGTTGGAAGATGATACCAGCGACCATAAGGTTGGCGCCTGGCTTGGTATCTTTGCCTTTGTTGGCTGCTCCCGAAGCCAGACCGCCGCCGCCGGCCTGAATCAGAAGAGCCAAGACATCAACGACGAGGAAGATCCAAAGGTAAAGCTTAGGTCTGATGACAGAATATTGAGGACCGACCGCTTTGATGAGGTAGCCCAGCGTGACGTAGATGGCGGCAGCGACGAAGATGGGGGCGACGACGAGGGTAGTGATCTGAAGGAGAAAAGCAATCTTGTTGTATGCGCATTTCGACGACCACGTTCGACCAATCCAGCCGATAAGTTCGATATACGAAGAAATGGCTAGTAGGTACGAAGTGGCTTTTCGCTTCTGGAACGATCGAACGATGTGATAAATCCCCGTAGCGGCAAAGATAAGACAAAAGACGATACCAGCCGCTAGACTGGGAACATAACCGTAGGCATTCTGAAGGCCTGGAATGAGGTCCTTACAACCGTTCAGAAGATCGCCTCGAGCGTAGGAACCGTCTGCTATCGACATGATTGCTTGGATGAAGAGTGAAGAATACGAGAAAGCTGAAGGCCTGAAGAAGAGCGAAAACCAAGAGCGAAAACTCAATCCCCAGTCAGCCAGAATGAAAGGTAATGCGGAGACGGATCTGCAACAGTCCCCGGGACCAACAAGTCCCTCAGAGTTTCTGCTATTTTTCGAGTCATTTGCTGGCCCAACACCGAGTCGTGTTTTTCCGCTTAGATACAAGCATTGAGCCTGTTATCTGACCTGACAGGGATAGGGTGCGACGTTAGATCTTACGGTGTGGGAATAAGTATGGGGACAGCATCCTTGCTATGACCACGTAAAAGAAATGCCGGCTTATGAGACATTTCTCGTCATGCAGTCTTGGCTGTGCAGGATAAATGCGCTGGGGGAGGCTAGAAAACTTCTGACTTCTATCCTAAATGACAAAAAGATATAGGTCAATTTAGTATAAATCAGGCAAGTTTAATTTAGATTCAATGGACCTTTAGACTAGTTTTTTTTAGCATCTTGGCTTATGGCCAGAAGTGTTCTTGCTCCCTGAGGATGCGATAATTGTACTTTGCTATGTGATCCATGCTCACCAACCGTGGACTTCCTCCACAGAGACTTTCAGTCCCTTACTCGGCTTAGCCACAATCCCATCCGTGATATCCCGTACCTCGTAGTCCTTGTCTATGTCAAACCTGTATCTCCCTACCAATGCGCATGTAAGAGCCATGAGTTCAGCCAGAGAGAACTTCTGGCCAATGCAGCCTCGAGGACCGTGCAGAAATGTCAGGAATGCGTAGTTGTTCTTTGAGCCGCCCGAGTTGGCTTGTCCTGGTGCCATCCATCGCTCAGGGTTGAAGTCATCTGCATCAGGACCCCAGAGTTCGTGGGCTCTGTTGATAGCCCATGGACAGAGAATAACCATTGTGCCTCTGGGGACGAATGTTCCGAGGATTTGAGTGTCCTTGAGAGCATCGCGGACGGTGAAGGGGATTGGTGCGTAGAGCCTTAGTGATTCTTGGCAGACTGCATGGAGATAAGAGAGCCCATCGAGCTTCTTAGCGTCAACATCGTCAGTAAGACCATCAACATTCTGCCGGATCTCCTCTCGAAGGCGATCCTGAACATCATGGTTCTTTGCCAACAGGAAAATTGTCCAAGTGAGCGCTGCAGCACTGGTCTCGTGCCCAGCAGCCAAAAATGTCATCATCGTATCAACGAGCCCTTCATCCGTGAAATGACCAGACCCAAGTGCCGTAGAAATTATATCTGGGGATAACTTCTCCTTGGCAGCCATCTGAACTTTCTTTGCGTTGATGAGTCGCTGAGATGTCTCTCTCGCAGCTCTCGACGCTGCCAAAACACCCATATTTCGCTGAAATGGTAGATAGTCTGTGATGATGGAGGGGAGTACCAGTTGAAGAACCGTCAAGAGCTTGGCACCGCGGCTCTGCTTCACCATTGATCCATACATCTTCATGGTATCTTCGATGCTGGGATCTGCGAGAGACTTGAATTCATGGCCCATTCCTGCAGAGCCAATGATGTCCAGAGAGGCTCGGCTTGCCCAGTCAACAATGTCGATCTCTGAGGTAGACTCCTCTTTGAGTTCCTTTTCAATGCCATGGACTAGCTCCTGTGCTTTGCTCCAGAATACGGGATATAGTTCCTTGATGTGACGGAAGCTGAATGCTGGCATCAAGTTCTTCCTTTGCATCTTAGGCCCTTAGTTTTGATTCTGCCAGTGAATGGATAATCAACATACCTTGTGGACATCTCCCTCTGATAGCAACAGCCCATAGCCCAGAATTTTGCCGACCATTGCGCGGAGGAGATGAGGCTTGACATAATCATAGCTGTTTTGGCCGAGGACCTCTTTGAGACCTTCAGGATTGGTGACCACGAGTCTCTCTTGGTTGAACAAATGCCTTGATGATTAGCTTCATTCCTGCTCGAAGAATTACTCACTCACTTGTATCTGATCAACCCATTGTTTTCAATCGTCCTTGACCAATGTCTGAATGGCAATCCAGCGGGCTGACTGACTGACTCTGCCCAATGCCCATTGATAAAGCTCGTGCCCTGCCACAGTCAGTCATATTCTCGTTTGTATCTTCCGGTGCATACCTTTGGCTGCGGTAGATGCCTCAAGGGACTAAAGAATCGATGATACAAAAAGACCAAGTAAATCGCCCAGACGCTCAAGAAAGCCAACAAATACTTCCCCATATAAAATGGAGCATGACGAATAGAATAATTCTTATCGTGGATTAGTTGACCGTAGATCGCAAAAGCGATCGCACAAAGGGCCCAAGGCCGGTAATATGAAAGAAAAACAGCAATTCGTGCCATGGTGAGGGTGATGTGGATGAGGAGGGAAATCTCACTGAGCTGAGTATTTTATGTGCAGAGTTACCCACTTGAGCTATGCGCAGGGGCCTTGTTTCGTGCACTGCCACGGCGTGATTGGCTTACGGACGCTTCATAGTGTCTCCCGTGGACGCTGCACTAAATTACACAATGGTCGAGGTCAAATTCGCATCTTGGTATTTCTAAGTCACGTTCTATGGTATGCTATGTGGATTCTCTCTTCTTAAATCGCAGCTTGACACCAACAGGCGGCATAACAGCTTCTGTAACCCACTGGCCCTCCGGCCGAACACCATTATGCTCAGGAAGCAGCTCAATATCAAACTGGCTGAGAACATGATATAAGATCATCTTCATCTCAAAGTCCACCAGGAACCGCCCTGGACAAGCATGCTTTCCATGGCCAAAGGGAAGATAAGTTGGCGAAGTAGACACAAATGACAGCGTTGGGTTAGCGTCTTTGCCATCGGGACCTGTCCTGATGTTCGAGAATCTGAGAGGATAGAACTTCTCAGGGTGTTCGTAGATATCAGGATCTTGATGAACAGGATATGAGAGGATTGACATGGTCGAGCCGTTGGGTAGAGTATGGCCATCTGGAGTCTTGAGACCACCTGGTGCAACTACTTTGCGAATCATAGCTCTATTTCCAAAACCATGTGTTCGCATCGATTCTCTCAGAATGCTATCTGTTTGTATCATCTTGGAAACCGATGCTTTGTCAAAGGCACCGCCGCTCTCCGCAAGCACATCAGCCATCTCTTTTCGAATAACAGAAATAGTGTTGAACTCAGCATCAGAAGCTGCAATGTTTATCAAGACGTTACTGATCGCAACCGCAGTCTGATGAAACGATGCCAAATTTGCCAGACACAGTCTATCAGAGATCTGGGACGGCGAAACTTGGTTACCATGCTTGCTAATGGCATATCGCATCATCATATGCAGATTGTCTGTCGGCTCGTCACTCTTTTCATAGAGCTCAGGATGCAAAAGGTTTTTTGTTCTCTCCTCGTAAAGAGGCTGAATATGCTTTTGAATCCTCCATCGTCTGTATCGTGTTGGTAAAGTAACAAGAAACCCAATCAAAGGCTTGAGAAGTGATGGAGTGTAGATCAACAACCCAGAGTTCAATATGAACAAGTCTGCAAACGCCAGTGAATCTTTCAAATACCCCTTATCGCGGCCTCAAAAATTAGATAACGTCAAAGCAAGCGCTGGGAGACTCACAGAGAGGAAGGCCGACAGTAAACCGACTCGAGACTTGGGCCACGATCCACTTCATCGACTCATAAACATCCACTTCATCACCTGCCCCAGGTTTGATATACTCAGGAATAGCACACTGAAGCTCATCATCAACCGCTGCAGCGAGTATCTCAAGAAAGCGGCCCATCTCCTTTTTAATGACGATACTCTGCCACGGATCTTGGATATAACTGGCATGTCCAGAATTCCAATCTCCCTTGTCAATTTCTCGAAACCCTTCAATTGGACTGAGTACAGCATCTGGTTGTGAAGCGGCCCATTGAGTATGATGATGCGCTAGATGGATTTCATCTTTGAAGCCCATACTAGGTAATACGCAAGTCTTTCCATGTTTGGTGAACTGGGTTTGTTAGTTTGGCTCATTATGTCAGGGAGACACATACTGCTTGATACGCCTCGAGGAAAAGTTGCCGACAATCTGTGAGGTACGCCCACTGTAATTTGAAAGGTAGATATGAATCACGCTTTAGTCTTGGAAGGCTCGAGGGTAGCTTTGGGGAACGTCTATGCTGAACCAGATAAAGAACCGCTAGAAAGACGGACACAAACAGATAAACCGCCATCGTGATTGATGCTGATAATGTCTTCACGACAATTCCAAGTCCAGAAAGAGGCTCTCAACACTGAGATGAATACGTACCTCACCATCAGCCCTAGCCGAAACATCACTAGTTTAGTTTAAATTTAGCCACCGTTAGCTTCACCCTGAAAACAAACGGCCACGCCACAACCGCATCCCTTGCTCCGCCATGGGGCGTCTAATTATGCCTCCTACTCCATAGTAAGCTTCTGCCATACGCTGTGACATTTACCGTCAGCGAAAACATCTATAGATACTCTTCCAGGCTCATGCTCTACAAGGAACATTCGGCCCACCATCACAATGTCAGCAAACTCAGATGTAAAGATCATTGTCGTACGTTTCTCCTTGCCGTCTTTGTCAATTACTGACGTCTCAGGCCGGTCTTCCGCGCACGTCTACTACAAGCCTCAAGAAAGGTCTTGAGATTCTGGGTGTGACTCCTTGTTTTCACCTCGGAGATCCTCCTGCGCCAATTTCTCGTGTCAAAGAAAGCGCAAGAGTTCTAGCTATTCAAGACCGCAATGAGAGACTCAAGGCGTTGAAGAAGCTGTATGATGGCTTTGAAGCTGTCTTTGAACCGCCTGCTAGCGCTCTTGTTGATGACATGTTGACAATCTACCCTAACGCCAAGGTACGAATCATTCACGCTTCATTGAAGCTTACTCACATTTACAGGTCATCCTCTCGGTCCGCAAAAACCCCCAGGTCTGGCTCGCGTCTTACTACGGCCTAGGTATTGATCTCCGCTCAAAGTGGTACCGAATCTTAGGCTACTGGATCCCTGGTGTGATTCACTCCAGCGACCTTATCGTAGCCTGGTCAAAATACTACTCTGAGAAATTCGGCCTCGACGAGGTCCCTTCGGAGGAATTGTACCATAAGCATAACCAATGGGTTCACGATATTGTCCCGGCTGGTCAGTTGCTCGAGTACCAACCGAGTATGGGATGGGAACCCCTGGCGCGATTTTTGGACAGGCCTGTTCCAGAGGGCGAGCCATTTCCACGTGTCAACGAAGCGGCTTTTCTTAGAAATGTTAAGCGAGTTGCTATGGGTCTTGGATCATTGGTCTGGCTGTGTTTGTTTGTTGGTCTGTATTACGCTGGATCCTTCGCGTGGTCAAAGTTTGCGTCTGAAACTTGAGTTGAGTTGGTTGAATAGAAAAAAGAAACTGCGCCACGTACGTGCTTCCCATTGCCGGTTACACATCCATTGTCTCCATAAACGCACCCCTTGCTGTTTAATCTCACGTCAGACGGAGCCGCTAATCGCGATTGCAGGGATTATACCGGCATGTGGGCGATCCTTCAGGTACTTGATCCATTGTAGGAGTCAAGTGAGATTTAAGTAAAACTCCATTTGAGATGAAACAGTATTTTCCGTGCGAGAATTCTGTGCGGTGAAGCCTGAATGTGCCCTGTTTCTTCGGACCATCGCTGACCGAGACTTCACAGGGTTAATTGAGTTTTGCACGCGCGCGGCACGGAATGGCAATGTTACTCTACGGGCCGGTTTCGACTGTATTGTAAATATCCCCACGCTCATGCTAATCGAGGTTGTAACTTTCCTGCCTCACTCACCAACATGACCGCTTTCCTTGCATTCTGCCTTGCATTGGCGTCTCAGGGACTCACTGCCTGGGCTCTCGGTTTCACTGCCACCGCAAACCTTGTTCGACCGGTCATTGCAGCGATTGTCGCTTTGCTTACTTGGTTCTTCAACCGGGCCATTCTCGATGCATTGCCTAGTCGTCTCCATGTGGCGCTGCTGTCTACAGGAATGTGGATTCAGTGCTTGAAGACGTCTGATGATTTATGCCTGAGCAGGTTGTCTTTCGAGGGTACATCGCCATCCTTCACGAAGCGTGCGTCCTTTGGGGTCAGCCATCTTTGGAACATGCGTGGTGTTGGTACCAGTAAACAGATATCCCAGATCCCTCCCTGGTCTAGCCAGACACCCTCTCTCGTACCGTCCCGCAGCCAGGAACTTAGAAGACATGTAAAGAATGCCATCATCAGCTATCTCATTCTCGATGTCTTTGCCGCTCAACCACCCCCAGATCCCAACATGATATCTCCTCAGAATGAGCACTTTCTGACACGCATCGGACAAGTCAGATCCGAAGAGGCAATCTTTCGTTTCTTCGCCACATTTGGCTTCTGGCTCAACACCTTCTGCGTCATTCATCTTATCAACAGTACCGTTTCGCTCATGTACCTCAGCCTAAACTTGTACCCGGTCGAAATGCTACCCCCAATCTGGGGGCGTCTCTCCGAGGCTTACAGCATAAGGCGCTTCTGGGGTAATTTCTGGCATCAGACGCTACGACGTCACCTCACCTCCCTTTCAGAGTTCCTTGTCCATGGGATTCTTCACATGCCAAGGGGTCTTGTTGCTCGTTACTGCAAGCTTATCGTATGCTTCTTTATTTCTGGGGCTTTGCATTTCCCTGCTGATAGAGCGCTTGGGATATCTGCAAAGGAGAGTAATGTTGTCACATATTTTGTTACTACTGCGCTGGTGATTATGTGTGAGGATGTAGTTCAGCATGTTTTTCGAGGCGTGCGGGGGAATTGGTCAAGACGGTTTGGGTACTTTTGGGTTATGTGTTATATGTATTTGATGACACCGTCGTGGGCCTATCCTGCTGCAAGAGTTGTCAAACCTGAAGACCAATTGGTCTCCTTCTCGGTCATTAAGCAGTTCATACAGTAGTTTCGACAGCACTTTCACATTGGAAGCGCAAAATGGAGAAATTCAGTTACTCATCGTCACCGGAGATCGATCCTAGCAATTGACTGTTGGTATCCTAAACGCGCCGTAATCTCACAAGTAAATCTCTGTCAACCCTTGCAACACCCCTCGCTTCATTTCCAACTTCAGGCCCTCTATCCGAAGGCTTACCATCGCGATCCACAAACCTTAATGGCTCAATATCAAAGTGTGCAAAGAACAAAACAACCGCTGACAGAATCTCCTGTTTGGCGTAATTTCGCCCCGGACACATCGCTGCCCCGCCTCCGTAGGGGAAATAATTCCCTGCTAAGATTCCAGAGTTGCCTTTCTTTATGAAACGCTCTGGCCAGAATTCTTCTGGGGGGTATGCGGATGATGACCATACTTCTGGGGCGTTGTGTGCAAGGTATGATGGTGCGAGGACGAGATTGCCTTCCTTGAGTGTGTAGCCATCTAGCTCGATCGAATTACGTAGTTTGCGGACCACAAAGACTGAGGATCTTAGACGAAGACACTCGAAGTAAACTGAGTTGAGTAGTGGCAACTTCTTGAGTGCCACGATGTTGACTTGCTTGGTGTCCTTGTTGATGACCGTAGCAACTTCCTCCTGTATCCTTTTGAAAATCTCTGGTCGGCGAAGAATCTCAATGATGATCCAAGATGTCATCGGAATAGCATTCGAGTTGATACTCCAGATGAGACCCATTTGAAAAGAAGCTCTTCCATCAAGACCAATGCCATATTTCTCCATGGCAACCTCTCTTTCACGAACAAGCTTGGATCCAAAGTTTGGCTCCCAATCAGTGTTTTGTTCGTGACAAGATCTCCAATCAAGATTTTGCCAACCTTGATCAAGGTAGCCTTTGACGGTCTCCAAGCACTTGTCTCTGGCGTTGGAGCCTTTTCGACAAAGAAACTTGGGAATGCCATAGAGTAAAGACATGAAATCCTCGTCGTAGTCCCAAAAGACATCTGCAAAATTGGGATCAATGTCAAAGACCTTTCGACCAGCGAGAGCAATGGTAGAAGCTCGAAACATATGATGCTTCATAAACTCGTCAATACCAATCTCAATGGGTCCTTGAACGCCAATAGTACTAAGCTCATCGATCATAGTGTCAATAAACAACTCTGTAAGAGCAGATACGGCATTGGTCCCAATAAGGTGGGACTCGTAAATCTCATGGAACTTTCTCCATATACGATCTTCCTCACGAGTCTCGGCTAACGGTAATCGTGACGATCCTGATATATCCTTTGCTACTAATGCAGCGTCTTTTGCGGGGAGACGTTTGACTTTTTGAGCGACTCGCAGAGCAAACTCTTCGAATGTGAGTTCTTTGGAACATCGAAAGACTTGTTGGACATTTCTTGTGCCGTGGATGAGGTAGGCGTGGACGTTGCCTAGACGCATGCGAATGGGTTCTCCATTGTCGACTTTTTGTCTGGGAGATGTTAGTTGAGAAGTTTAATAGGGGTATACAAACTTACGCAATGGAATTGAAGAATCCATGGGGATTTCTGATCAGACTGAGTGCTGAACCAACCCCTGGTAGCACATATGGAAGTGTCGATGGCTCTTTTCCCTTGTACCGTCGATCACAAAACCTCTGTGTCGAATATCGAATCGTAGTAATACAATGCGTCGAGAGCAACAACAACAACGCCACCAGGGCAACAGTACTCGCCGAAGCATCAAAAGAAGGAGCCTTCATCATATCGAAATCGAACATATCCTTCAAAACTCTTGATGGCATTCTCAGAGAAAGCATTCTCGCAATGTGATAAAAGAAATTGTCACATGTGGATATCCGCTGTCAAAAAAACGGCCGGGATATTATCTACATCGTGCAAGGAATGGTTTTGAACTCCATAAATAGCGTTACTGGCTAGGCTACCGACCAACAGGTTCATAATTACTGGGATATGGGATTTTACATGATAGTCAGTGCGGTGGACGTTATCCACACGCCAACCATTACCTGAGGCAGGGTATCATCGGTGAAACGACTAGTGAGTGATTCTGGGGGCTTTTTTTGCTTTGCTCAGCCTTTGTGATGCTTGTGATAGTGGTCTGCGCTTCGAATGGGTGGCTGTATGTGGATGCTACAGGCCCCAAGAGGCAAGACAGGTTAGATAGAGATCTACGCGATCTTTGTTTATCCCATGCCCCCACGATGTCTTTACTGGTGATCCTCCCTGTAGGGCGTGTAAGTTGATGATTACCTAAAGACTTGTAAATCACGTTGACAGAAACGGATGCAGCGGCATTTTGCCCGCAGAATTGCTGACTGCAGGTTTCCTACAAGGGATGAAAAGCGATTTAGAATCTCACCTAACTCCTCCAATGACGAGGAGGCTATGCTGTTAACGTAGATACCAAAGACAACTTTTTCACGTAGTGGGTCAATCTTTTAGGATTCTGAATCTGTTTGTGATAAAATGATGCTTTGCCTGACACGTAGCAGTGAGATAGCGGGCCAGCACCAAGGATCATCGTGGCTTGCGGATCCCGTTTTAGACCCGGGACCTTGCGGAGACAAAGGTCAGTGCACTCTGCCTGAATGAAAGGATTCATTCTGGAACGTATAGCATTGATGTAACCTCCACATGAGCCTTGTAGCCCTACATACGACCTAACAATACCCGCTAAGGTATTTGTCAGATCCATCTAACCAGCCCTCTACGCTAAACTAGACTCTGCGCACACACCGCAGCCTGATCTTCTCAGGGTGCTTCACCTTGAGCAGGAAATTGAAACTAGACTGCTTCGCCTCTTCCATGAGGGCCCTCGACGCCGCCTCCTTGAGGTCACCTTCTGCATCAGGCTCCACGGTGTATTCCTTAAGGAGACACGCCATGACGGCCACGAATTCTACCTGTGAGAATTTCTTACCGGGGCAGACTCGTGGTCCCGCGGCCCAGGGGAGGAAAGCGCCCGTGGGCATGGGAGCGAGCTTTTCGTCGGCGGTGATCCAGCGGCTGGGAAGCCATTGGAGGGCATTGTCGCCCCATGAGGCGGAGGATGTGTGTAGACCTGCCAAGTTGACGCCGACGAATGTGTTTTTGGGGATTGTGTAAGATGTGCCGTTGACTTTGAGGGTTTGGTCTACGACTGTTGTTTTGGGGACTGCCCTTGCTGCGCCGAATAATCGGAGTGTTTCGTGCTGGCGATGTTAGTGGTGATAAATTGGCCTGATGGTTGACGTACCATGATCGCGAGAACGCGCTTCAATTGAGGATAATATGTTTCGTAGTCAAGGTCCTTTAAATCGACTCCAGCTGTGACTTGGTCAACCTCTTCTGCTGCCCATTTCTGCCATTCAGGGTTCGCTGCGAGGAGGATTGTCGCATAAGCAAGAGTGTTGGACGTTGTTTCGTGGCCAGCGAGATTGTAGCTGAACAGATTGCCATAAATCTCAGAGTCTGTCAAATGACGAGTCCCTTTGCCCTCTTTGTTCTGGTTCTCTGACGCTCGCACAAGAATACTCATGAGATTATCCTGCTCTTCAGCGCCGGCGTCCATGGCCTCACGCTCTTCAGCGACCATCTCAGCCATGTACTGCCGGAAGTTGAGCACAGCATCTTGAACCTGTTTGAACTTGGAGGGTAGCATCCACGTGGGAAGATTGAGCGTGGCTGTGAAAACAGCAGTAAAGAGATTGCCGAGAATGAGACTGAGTGAATCACGATATGTGAGACTGTGGTTCTCCAAAGCACTCTCCAGACCGCTGCCAAATGTGTAGCTTCTACCAAACCCAGCGGCCGTGAGAACATGGAGCGCAAGGACCATGGTGTCGCTCTGAGGATTGACGACACCTTTCGGGTTCGATGCCCACATCTTGAGCATATCTGTAGCCTGCCTCTTGGACTCATCCCACACAAGCGCGCTGTTCCTCTCATTGAAGGGCGGCGTTGTAATCCTTCGATGCCGAACCCAATCATCTCCTTCAGTTGTCACGACATTGCGACCAAATATCTCAAGTGGTTTGTAGAGAGCCACAGCCTTGACAAAGTCTCTGCGTCGGCGACAAAGATCATCGGATGCCTTTGCATTGCCAGTGAATACGCGGATCTGCTTGGGACTGACGATGATGAAGGTGTCGCCAATTCGCTCTTGAAGATCATGAATCTGTTCATAATTCCAGTCTCGGCTGTTGTACTCAACAAAATTACCAAGACCGAATGGTAAGATCTTTCTCAACAACGGTTCCAAAAAGCTGCTGCAAAGCAAATATGGGACATTCTAAAGGCATTAGCTGAGTACATTTGAGAGGGACGCTGAGCTTACGGATGGATCAATCGGCGTGATGAGGACGGGAAGACCGATAGCTTTGGCTTTTCTATAGTTGTATAGTAGCTGCACTGTACTGAGGCCAATATATGCCAGTAACAGTCCGCCGATGGCGTAGAGAGGTGATATCATGATGCCTGAAATGAGTCGCGATGATAATGAGATGAAGGTTGGATTAAGGACGAGAAGTGTTAAGTACACGGTTTACAGTGGGTTAGCACTAAATTTAGAGCCTGTAAGCCACTGAAAGCACTAATTTTCGCCAGTTTCAGCGCCAATGCACCTAGCAGTTGCTGCAATAAACCTGCAGACCGCGCGAGACTCGCTGTACTATCTATGATACGAGTGGAATTATGCTCTCTCGAGTGACAGTGTTCTCATTTGAGACTTTGAGTGATCATTTAAGATGATAATCGGTGAGAAATTCAGCACCAAGGTGTGGCGCGTGGTTGGATGCCCAACATTTCACTGATCTTGCTCAAGCTCTTAACAACGAAGTTCATAATCACAAGGTGTTTCTGAGGGGGTTTCAATTCATAGATACGTTCTCTTGTAGTGCTGTTACCAACAACTCATGACCTTGCCCATCGGCTTGAAAGCACTGAGTCTTATCAGTTCCGTCTCCGGGCGCTGCTGGAGAATGACTGGAAACCACCGAACCGGTCCAGACCAAGCAAGAAAAAAGATAACCCAAAAGTAACCAGCAAGCCTCGCCAGTATTCTCGTGAACTTGTACTTCCAAAGAGGATGAAACAAGTCGCCAAACACATCCTCCAGCATCAACCCGATTAATTGCGTGCTGAAGAATTGGATTGCTCCGCTGTCTTTTGCAGACACTGCGCTACCCATGTCGCTTGGGACGTGAACCAAGCCAGATAATGCAAAAGCCAGAAGAATCTTCAAATACCGTGACGGAAGAGAATATGACTTCAAGCGAAAGATGTTCTTGACAATCCATGTCGCAGTGCCCCGAAGGTTATTCTGCAACCCTTGGTGCCAAAACGTGCTAGAAAATTAGCGGTATTCCACTAAAAGTACACTGAAAACTTACGACCAGAATTGTCGGAGACAGTAAGATTCAGTCAATTCACCAAAAATCGGTCTCCAATCTTTGACAGCTTTCGGATTCATGGTTGCCGATGCAGCAGAAGCGAGAGAGTAGCCGCCTTGAATGAAGCAGAAAATTGATACAACTGTTGTAACGGTCGCGATGTACCGAACTTGCAGCTCTGCCAGTGTTACCTCACCAAGACGGCGAAAGATGGGCACGTAATTTGGAGCCATGTACTGCCGATCGAGACTCAATTGCGTTGTGATACACATCTTGTGAACAAAATAGCAAAGAAGTACTTTGAGAAGATTTATACACACAAATGGTGTCGCAGCAGGCACATATGTCGGGTCTTGAGAGTCGAAATGATGAATGTTTCTGATCTCCCAAGGCGTGCCTAATCCTCTCATCGAGGACGCAACCTCTTGTCCAAAGACATATCGCTTTCGAAATTCCGCAATCCTCGATTGAGGCTCTTGGTCTTTCTTCTCACGATCCTCAGCGTATGCAATTTTACGCACAATCATGCGCTCAAAGTACGTCAATGAGATTTGCGGAAATGCAGAGATGATGGCTCTGGAGACCCATCCTGGCGGTTCAACAAAGTCTTCAAACGTAGCAAGCGCAACGAATGTTGATATGAGAAATACGATGAAGCCAATTGGTCGAAGGATTGATGTGCGAGATGTGAAGCCCGCGATGTAAATGAAGAAGAATTGCTGGGCTGTCGATATGGCCAGCGGATGAAGGTAGAGACGACAAGCCATTGTTGCTGACAGAACTGAGGGCATACAGAACCTCCAAAGACTATAGGACCTGCAGAAGGGCTGTTGGACCTGCTGAAGGACTGTTGGCACTCATGTTAGTATAACTGACACTCGTACGAGAATTGCTGAGCTGTCACTGGGGCTGATGAAACGCCTCTACAGGCTTCATCGCTGCGAGCCATTTCATGATACCAAACACAAGGCATCCCAGTCTACGGCCCAACTAACGCTGAACCGGAAACCGTTTCGAGTACACCCGAGTCTATTTTCTGAGATAAGCCGCAAGCAGCAAAGTAACGCAGCAAACGTCTTGGCTCAATTCCTTGCATCGGACAATTGCAAAAAGCCACCCGTGAAAATCTCAACGGTCGAAGCTAGAGAGGGTCCCGATCCTTTAATGCAACGGTAATCCCTACCCTTGTCCTTGACGAGATAGCCGATTCATCCTTGTTCATTGTAAGCACACGCCCTTGATACAACTCCATAATCTTTGTTGGTTGCTCCCTAACTTGATGAGTCTGCGGAGCCGAGTTCCGCTACGAAGGGGGCTTAGCTGTCATTTTGCGCCCCTTGATCTTCGGAATGTCGCTGGTAGAGGTCAAAGAGGGCTTGGACGGGGGCATGAAGATCTCCACTTACGTATGACACGGACGGACAGGTGGATATGACAGCGCTTACTCTTTTATGCTGGATTAGCTGAACGGAATTAGAAACAGAATTGGATACATCCACTGTGACTAACCGTGGAACTGGAACTGTAGCTTTCTCGGTCTTTTCTTGTCGAGATCTCGGCTGGGCAATTCCCACGTAAAGCAGAGTAACACTTCGTTCAAGCAAGTCTGCACTCTCAGGCATAGGGTAGACTGAAAGTACTTGTCGATTGCAATGGCTTTGAGCAACCTCACCATTGGGGTGGTCTGCTGCGTAGTGGTAGCCATCGTCGCTTTGGCTACCAGAAAGCAGCCCGACGCAAGAGAGCCGCCGTATGTCAAAGAGACCGTCCCTTACTTCAGTCACATTTACGGACTTTTGAAGCATGGCCTGCGATACTTTGATCTCGTCAGGTAAGTCTTGTGCCACGCTCGCTCAATGTCGTTAACCTCGTCAGCGCTCAACAACCGCATCCAATCTTCACGATTGACATGTCGGGGCAGAAGAACTACATCGTGACATCTCCAGAACTTGTGCAGGCCGTTCAGCGCAACACAACTTCTCTTTCATTTAGCCCTGCCATGATTCCAGCATTCCGTCGAATGATGGGATTCGACGAGGCGGGTATTGAACTCATCTTTCGCGATGCTCATACTGAGAATGGCATGTATGGTGAGATTCATAGAGTTCAAAAGGCTTCCTTGCTTCCGGGTACAGAATCTCTTGATGAGCTGTGCACACTGATTCGTGCCAAGCTGCTCAACATCGTCAATGAGCTTCCTTTAAGCCAGACGATCGATTTCTATGCATGGGTTCAAGATCTTTTCATGAGAACAAATAACTCTGCTTGCTTTGGAGAGAAGGATCCATTCACCATTGAACCATCGCTGAACTCAACATTCTGGTAAGCGTCCCTGAACCTAAGGCAGGTTGATATGGACTGACATCGACAGGGCCTGGGAGGCCAATATCAAGGTGCTTCTCCTTGGAGTCCCTTGGTTCTTGAGTCCCAAGAAGCATTCCACAGCGCAGAGAACTCGGAAAGCGCTCGTCGATGCATTCTTGAAATATCTCAACAATGATGGCTTGGATACTGCCTGCTCATTCATCAAGGAACTTTCAGGCCTGGGCATCCGACGGGGTTTGAGTAATGAAAACAATGCCCGCGCTCTGCTTGGCAGCATCCTTGCCATTGTTGGAAACACCATCCCCACGACATTCTGGCTGTTGATATCAATCTTCTCCAGACCAGATCTTTTGAAAGAGATTCGATCCGAGCTTGAAGCCACTCTTGAAGATCCTTCGTCTGGGACAGTATCTCTTGACTGCACCACCATCCGTGAGAAGTGCCCAATCTTCATGTCAACATATGACGAAGTACTTCGAATGACAAGTGGCATTGCAACAGTAAGGTACACCAACGAAGACACTCTAATTCAGGACCGCTGGCTCTTGAAGAAAGGAGCTCAAGTTCAGATGCCAACAGCATTCATCCACGCTGATCCAACAACATGGGGCGCAGACGCGGATGTCTTTGACCACACAAGATTCCTGAAGTCCAAGGTCCTCACCAAGGAGCAGAAGACCCGAAGGTCTGCCGCTTTCAGACCATTTGGTGGTGGCAACACGCTCTGCCCTGGTCGTCACTTTGCTTCTTATGAAGTCCTAACCTTTGCGGGAAGCGTTCTGTTGGGGTTCGATATGAGTCCCACGACAGAGTCTTTCATAGTTCCACCAATGGATAGATCCAAGCTTCCTTTGACGTCTCTGAAGCCGGCTGGGGATATTACGGTGAATCTGTCGAGACGGTCTGGTAGGGAAAAGGTGCACTTTAGATAGGATACAATGAGATGACAATTTCCGCCGCTGCGAACGATTGACGGGAAACGTTTTGCAGGAACAAGTCATTATTCCATCTTCATCTTGAATTTCTGGTGTGCGTGACTAAATCTTGGTCTTTCGAGGATTGCTTGCTTCCACCAAACTTCGCTTGATGTTGACTAATCACTGTAAGGTGGCGGTTCGTCTCTTGTGTCGATCGTAAAGCCAGAGTTCAGTGAGGCGCCTGTAGCCATGCGCAAGTCCAAATTCTGGGCATCTAATGGACTCTTTGGTGTGCTCGAGTTCCTTGATTTATCGTGGCGAGATTCCCAATGTTGAGAATTGCTGGGACTTTGAGTTGGCTGGTTCCATACTTCGTCAAGTGTCGCATTCTTTCGTCGAACGTCGTCTTCACTTCCACCATAGATCTCCCTGGTATAGATAGACGTCTCTGTAAGAAGTGTTGCGTTGATGGGTCTTTTCCTCGGTGCCATCTTATCCCATGAAAAACATTCTTCGAAACTGTCTGCGTCGGGGCAACCACAGACTGTCGTCCTGTTCTTTGTAGGTGACAACTCACGAGCCATGCTGTCTACCAGAAGGTCATTTCTGTGAGTGATTCGGCAATCAATGATTGTGATAGGAATCTCTTCAATTGTCTCCAATTGAATCCGTAATTCTGATTGATTTGGATCAGGACGTGATCCACCTACTGTGACCTGAAAGTATAATTAGTCTTCCGAAAAGATGGAACTGATGTCTATTCTGAGAACTCAGGTGATAAAGGTGAAGGCTAAGTGCTCACTTTTAGCCCTTCTCATGATCATAGAAAAGTAACTTACTTGGATGAAGTGTTTCACTTCGATGAATGGAGTCGTACAAGTTAGCTCCAGAGGTTCCTGACCTACCAGCCATCCAGCTTCCATCTGCTTACAGGATGGCAACATGAGATCGTTATAGATAGAAACAGGCTTATCAGGATCCAAGTCTGGCAGATATTGTTTCTTGAACAACGCCTTGAGGGACTCATCACTTCCATAGGAGAAGACTGTTTCCTCCCCATCCTGCTCACTGGAGTTATCATCTCCTGCAAGGCTCGACTTCTCAAGTGGGAATATTTCCCAAAGCACAAGCTTTTGCTCATCTGTCTTTCGTGTTGCTCGATCTTTTGTCCACCGCTCGCCTCTTTGTACGATAGAGTAAGTCAAGTACTCAGCTCGAAAATCATTGTTGACAGGGCCGAAAGTGACTGTGATGGGGAGCTTGCCGCCAATGGGAGATATTTCATAGGGCAAGTCGACACAAAAAGAAATTCCATCGTTCTGTTGTCTAGGGAATTGATTGGTGGCAATTCTTCTCGCCCTCAGCTGATGGGGAATTTGAATAACAGGCAGTTCCTTTCTTAATGAAAGTGGAAGCCTAGGGTTGGATTCGGGGAACTCTATGACAGCAAATAACATCCAATTGATGTCTCCATGAATGAATTTCTCGGCGTGGGTGAAAAGACAATCAACAGGCGTTTCGAATGAGTAGCTGTAAGAACCAGGTGGGAAGGGAGTATGATCTGATGTAGCGACACCGTTACTGTCAGGCTGTCTCGTATTTTCTTGATAGTTCTTGTCGTCTAGTCGAAAGGTGCAGTTGTCTCCAAATTTTGCATCAGAAGCGGTACAGGACTCATACAGTTTAAGCTTCCACGAATTGAAATAGAAAACATCGCCAATTCGTCGCATTCCTTTTCTGCGGTCTTCCAAATTCCATGCACTCATTCCAGATACGTTGATTTCAATATGTATGGACTTGATATCAACTATTTCGTACATCATAATGTCCACTCTGCCCTGAATCGTCATCGGAAATGCGCCCGATAAACCTGATAGGTGGTTTCCATCGTCTTGCAAGCTAAAGACGAGAATAGGGTGGCTAAAGCGAAGTTCCCAAGCCAGGTTCGGTAAAGGAATCACTGTCGTGGGGTCAGAAGAACTGGTACGGGAGTCATGACCACCTTTGGTAAAGATTCTTTTTCTCAGCTGGCGATAAAGTTCCTCGTCCTCGAATTCGAGTAAAGACTCCTCACTAGAATTCATCGTACGCGCAGGTTTCGGTCCCGTGCTGGCAACTAAAGCCCGTTTGCGATTTTCCAACTCGGTCAACATGTGGTCTCTCAGTGCCTTGACCCGTGAAATAAGACTAACTGTCTGGTCATTCATGTGTCCGTTTAGGCGCTCCGAGATAGCAATCGCTGATGATAGAGCCTCTTCAGCCAATTCAAACTCCCTCATATTCTCACATGATCTTGCCAAGCCACAAAGAAGCCGAAGAAGTATATTCTCGTCTGGGTCACTTGGGCTGGAGGACCGGATATAGTCGATCGCCGAAGTAAAGAGTGTCTTGGCAATTTCAGACTTTCCCATTGACAGGTAAACATCCGCACCACATAGACATATCGTAAAGTATGCCTCAGCGAACTTCCCATAGATGTCGATATGGCATGCGTCGATGTGTTTCCAGAGTAGATCTAGACATCGATTGAATAAATTGAAGAACTTAAAGACGTGGCTTTTTTCATGCAGTGATAGAATGTGTTTTGAGAGGCTGTAAGTTGCTTGAATGATCCACACGTCTCGATCTTCCATGGTGGCAAGTCTCCACTGGCAGATGGAAGCATGTACGGAAAATGACAACAGAGTATAATCGGTTGCTTGTTTCTTAGTGGCCAGGAAGACTTTGCTTAGCTCGTCGATAGCCCTGTTGAGTTTGACCTTGCTCTGGGTTAGAGCTTGCAGCTGCTTCCAAGAGCTCTGACTGTCAGTATCTCCCATATCGATTAGCTCCAGGTTGTATATGAGTGAGATGGGAATCGCGAAAGGCCCATATATTGAACAGAAGGTTATCAGAAGAGCTGACTCTTTGCTTTTCATCATGATTGATTCATAAAGTGAATCAAGCATGCTAAAAAGAGAGTCGATTGCTCCGTTTCTGGTCCAAATCCACATTCCAGAGTCAATCTCAAACTGAGCAAGTTCTGGGTAGTCCTTGGTGAAGGTCTCGGCAAATTCATCTAGGAGTATAATCCCGCGTTGGTGGAGAACTCCTGCCAGCTCCAGAGCCAGAGGGAATCCATCCAGAAGCTTAGCTGCACGTCTAGCTGCATTGCTGACTTTGAAAGAGTTAGTAACAGACGAGAGCAGAGGGAATTGGAAAGCTTGCCATCTTCGTCATATTCTGTATCGTTCTCGTAAGCTCTCCAGAGAAGAAGTGACCGAGACGCCCGGGGGTCAAGATGCTCAACAAGGATTTGTTTGAGGCGGAGAGCCCTTGCTGTGACATGATTTGTCGAAGTAACGCATAAAGATCCATGCTTCATGTCTTGAAAAGGTCCCAACAGTCGTTTATTCGGGATAGGCCCATTCGCGTTATCGATCACAGTCAGCCAATTCTTCTCGGGCGTTGTCCGAAGCCATTCTAGAACAAGCTGACGTGGCGGAGTGCTCTCTCTTCCCGCTCGAAAATCAGGGACCTGTTCGTAAATACGGCTTGAGCAAGTGGAAAAGGACTCCTCTATGCTTTCCTCTGAGGATGCATCGATCCATAAAATTGCGGAGAATTTCTCACTTCGCTGTGCAATATACTCGCGAGCTAGTTGTGTCTTGCCAGACCCAGATATTCCGCAAAGAACGACGCCTTTTTGTTGGGTTGTAGCCTCAAGACATATGACCATCTTCGAAAGTTCAGTTTCTCGTCCAAAGAAACGGTCTGTAGTCGGTGGAAGGTCACATAAGATGGTACCGCAAAGGGCATGTTTGGCCTTATCTGTCATGCTGGAGCTTGGCATCGCCTTTCCCGGGCCTAGCTCATAAATCACAGCTTTTGCGTACGCTGCGGCCATGGCAGCGGCATAGGGCTGCCACTCCTTATTCTTGTGCTGGTCGGCATAGTCACAAACTCCTCTGATCACACCAACAGGTATGCGATTCATCGTCCCTGCAGCTTCCATCTCTAGGCCGATTACTCCATAGCGATCTCTTATCTCATTGCGCTTAAGGGTGTTTTTCGTTAACTTGTCTCCAGATCCGATAGAACCATACCATACGCGAGTTCGCCTGTCGGTAGGCCGCTGCATCCTCTGGACGTGGCTATCAACACCGTCATCACCGATGTCGTAGAAGATATCCTTTTCCAGGCCAGGATCCGCGAATGTCCCTTTTGAGTGTTCTTTGTCTTTGATGCTCTTATAAAAGGGGAGGAAGACATCAGTGTCATCCGGTGCCCTGATCTTGATGTTGCCAATAGCTGATCTGACGACTGTCTCTGTATTTGCCAAGACCTGGCCAAATCTCAGAAGCTGAAATCCCTCGGATGTCTCTTTCCCCAAGTCATACGCGACTAAGCCGGCACTATCTCCGTCGGATAGCCCAACAAGCACATCGCCAAGCCGTATATCGATTGGCGGTATCTTACGTAGATTCGGAAGACCTGCCGCGACTCCGACAAGGAGGCCGAACCAGAGGTTGGTGAAGAACTTTTTGATTTGGCTAGCGAGGGCAGCGGCTGAACCGGTTCCGTATTCTTGCCCGGCTGGCAAGGTTGCGATGACTATGTTATGACCGTTCATATCACCCGCAAGGAAGATATAGTCATCGCCTCGACTGATGGGGAACCTTCCATCGTGGCGACTATCAAGCATATGGAGTGCTGCTTGAGCTTCGATTTCTAAAGGCGCAATCCATGCTATAGTATACAGCGAAGGATCAAGTTCTTTCATGTCGTGTCAGGTTTATTGACCTTGTTGAAAGAGTTTAATGATGAAAATGGATGGTGTGAACTTGTGGCTGGTGAGCTTAATAGGGAGCTGGGTGATGGGCGCATGTTCCCCGCGTTTCTGCTCTGTCTCGACATGCAGCCTTATCTGGATTTGTCAATTTGTGGCTTTGCACATAGCGAATGAGATTTTGGTTTCGTGTGGCTGAATAGGACGTAAGATTCAAGTCGGCTGAGAGCTGAGGTCAAGTCAAGGCAGTTTTGGGACAAGACGGCACGTGATTGTCAGTTCGAACTGGCAACAACCTACGACCCTTAAACTTCTGGTTCTATTTCTCATACTCGCTTGGAACCTCCCATTTGATATTCTTTCTTTAGCAATTACTTACTTCTATACCAATAGGACGGGTTTTCGGCAGTGCGTTTAAGTATAAATTCCTATCAGCCAATAGGGTAATGTTGACTTGGAGGCTATACGAGCATAGCTACAATTTCTAAACGGTCTCTAGTCCGGAAATCAAACGTAAAACATCCTTCGACAAAAAGGAGTTCAGCTTTCGCTTATTTTGGCATTCTCTATTGCTCCTTAGTTATCCGTCATCGACTTATCACTGGATTTAGTGCAGCTTCTCACATGAATACTGTCTCAATATTTGGGCGTATATATCAATATCTCGTTCGTTGGACTATGAACACAAACAAAAGGTTCGAACTCTTTTCTTACCAGTTTCACACGGATGCCACGGCATCTAGTTTGACAAATTGTTTTATAATGCATGCGTAATCAATTATTCTGACGTGACGTTGAACTTATCACCGACGTCGCCGCAATCAGCGCGCCGCAACAAGCCCCGCTTTTGCCGCATAACCTCTTCTCAGACTATAAAGCTTATGCTTCATCTCCTCAATTACATGTCAGTACCTCCATAACTTCATATCGGATCCCTTTAATCGACAATATGGCTGAACAAAGACCCCCTTTCCCTCCTTACAACAGAGAGACTGCTCACGCAAAAGTCAAAGCGGCTCAAGATGGATGGAACACCCAGTGAGATCCCCTCAACTCGTAAGCAAGCATTATGACTCACATGTTCCGTTCAAGAGATCCATCAAAGGTCAAGATGGCTTACACGCCTGATTCCATCTGGCGCAACCGAGATACCTTCATCAAAGGCCGTGACCAAATCGAGGGCTTTTTGACCGATAAGTGGAACCGAGAACACGAGTATAAATTGCGCAAGGAGCTCTTCGCTTTTGATAACGATAAGGTGAGTCAGGTTTCTCATTTTCGATTTCAGCATCACAGCTCTGTTAGATTCCTCATGTAAATCTTTATTCTGACGCTCGCAGATCGCTGTGCAGTTTTGGTATGAATTTCGCGATGATGATGGTCAGTGGTGGCGATGCTATGGGCTTGAGGATTGGACTTTTGATGAGAATGGTTTGATGAAGAAGAGGCAAATGAGCGGAAATAATGTCAAGATCAGCCAGGAAGAGCGCTGGTTCAAGGACGGCGTTGATGTAAACACTGTCGACATTGGACCAGAGCACTGGTAATGGCTCTTCTGATTCTCCGCTCACAGGCCCTGCAGTTCTCGCCAGTTGAGGGATAAACTATAATAGAAATCTCCAATCCATTTCTTCTTCGCTTATTTCCAAAAATGAGTCTACTCTGAATTTCATTTCTTGCATAGCATGCATCACCACTGCGATAGAGTCAAGTTTATCGTAGCTTGAGAAGAGAGTCATTTACAGATAGTCCTTGATATTCCATTGAACCAATTGACATCCAATTACTAGTTAGGGATCCGTTTTGTTCTGGGAGGGGGTTGTTTCAGGGAGTTTGACAAGGGGTCGATGGATGAAACGTAGGATCGACCAAGGTCTTGCATAGACGATCTTGAAACACACCTAAGGGCAGGGGCATCATTCGATATTTGTTCCTCCAACATATAATATCCGACTGCCTCCTTCACTATTTTACCAACAACCTCGACACCATCACCAAAATCCGCTTTTGAGATCGGCCATAATGAGAAAACCAACATCAATCCAGCTGGTCTTTTTCATGGCCTCCGTAGCTACGGCCGCCGACCCTACATGCGCCGTATGACACCCATCACCTTATGATTCTCTTATACTAATAACGCGACAGATTGACTGCTTCCAAGGCCTCATCACGAACGGTCCTCCCGCGGGATGTAAAGAGGCAACGAATTATCTCTGCTTCTGCACAATGCCTACGCTGCAAGACAACTTTGTCCAATGCGCCGACAAGACTTGCGTCGATGAGAAGGATGGGGCTATGGCTTGGGCAAATGAGCTTTGCGCAAGTAAGTATAATGTCTTACTGATGAAGACAATACTGACGAAGTTCAGAACTTGGGAAGCCTATTGGCCTCGGAGGGTCTGAGGGATCTCCCAAGACTGATGAGACTACGACTGTTAATGTTCCGCCGACCAGCGCCAGTGGCGAGGTGAAGCCGACCACTGAGGCAGGAAAGACGACAGATGCCGTGCCTACTACTGCTACAGAGGACAAGACAGAATCCAAGGTTGAGGAGACCTCAAGTGACAAGACTTCCGAGGTGCCTTCCGAGCCCTCAGTTGGTGAAACAACCGCAACCTCGATCAAGACCACAGTCAGCAAGCCGAAAGAAACCAACGTGTCGGGCGCGTCGGGCAGTGCAGCTGAAGCGACGGCTGATCAGCCTACCGATGACTCTGTTGTCACGATTACGGGAACTGCTGATACTGCGACTGCAACCCCGTCTCCGACCGACGATTCCAACCTTGCCAATTCTGCAGGCCCGAATTTCTATGCTGCTGTTGGTGTTGCTGCCGCATTCTGGCAATTGCTGTAAGAGTGCACGGCTTGATACAATTTCTTAGCATTTAGAACATACTTTCAGTCCGTACATAGATGAATGGAAAACTATTGGCTTATTTGCGTTGATCGCAATCATTTCTAGAGCAATTAATCTAGAGCCGCGTTCTTGAAGCATCCCATGTTTGGCGTTGAAAAGGATTTACGATACATGATATCATTGGTCAATTCAAGGATATGAGTCATCCAATCTCGTTTCATAAAAAGACCTCTAAATGGAAGGATTCCAAGCTGAAGAAACAATTGGTAGGGCTTAGACATTTGATTTAAATTAGATGTTTGACACCAATGTTTTGAAACACATTACGGGGCGGATTTCATGCACAGCGATCATCCGTTTTTACGGGTGATGGTGTTTCAGCTTGTGCTCCCCCGAATTGAACACGTGCGGATAATTTGAGACCTTGTAATTGTAATTGTAACGTTTCCCCGAGGTACAGGTGAATCTCTGCTTAATTGGCTGTTGAGTCAGTCAAGATTTTACCCGGCAGACAAGTCATGCATAAAGTTGTCACTGATGCTCATCCTTTCGATAGTTCGTTATATTCATCAGATAATCTCCCGCCACAGACAAAGACAAATCCCGTAAACCAGCTCATTCACGTGAAACTCAAAGCTGTTCCCTACAGGCAAATTCCAGAGCAATCCCTGCCTCCTTTCTTGGGATCGCACTTATCCGAAGGATTATCATAGCAGTACAGGCCCTTAGGACACATCTTTCCTGTGAACCCTCCGCATGTGTGCGGATTCCTGGGCGCACAGATGCCAGGCTTATCGCAAGCCATGCCGCAGTCTTCAGGAGTTCGAGGGTCATCAACACAGTAGGTACCCCTCTTGCAGGGCGGAGGAGGCTTGGCGCGAAAGCCTCCGCAGGTTTGATATTCGTTCTTGAAGTAACACATGCCTGAGCATTTGTTGAGGTCTTTGCAGTTGTCTAGAATTGGCTTGCAGGTAGTGCCTTCGGGACAAGGTGCAATCTTGTAACCGCATCCTTGGCTGGAGAATTGAGAGGCGGCAGCGAGGCCGATGGAAGCGGCGATGAGGATATGCTGGAACAACATGGTGAAGTGATGAGAAGGAGCGAAATTGATGCTCAATCAATATACTTGCGGGGAAGGCGGCAGTTATAATTTTCTAAATAAGCTTAATCAATTCGAATCAGTCTAGCATAAGACGGATCTGTTCATTCACCCGCTACATTGGACCGTGATTACAGTACCACAAGGGAATGAACGCCACCTCGTATAACCATTTCAATAGTACAAGCCATGACGCAGTACCATCATCACTGCACCTGAGAAAGCCTCAGCTGAGAAGGCATGCCCAGTGGTAATCCATGCCGGAGAGATGATTGCCAATTTTAGATACGCGGTTTCAGGGCAGGACGCCTCATTTTGGGCCGCTTTGCGCTATGATCTGCAAGGGCCATTCCAGACCAGCCCATTCTTACATTGAGCTTTACGTTTTATGCAGGAGAAGATGCAACTACGTAATAGATTCCGCGATTTGAGAAATCGATTGAATGGAGGCATAGGGTCGGTGCAGGAATCAGCTGATGGCTCGTCCGGAAGGATACCATCTTGACAAATCAGGTCAGTTTATGGGCTTGCCCAAAGAGCCTTATGAGGCGCTCAATAGTGCTACACCCTGAACAAGGCTTTTTATTCTGCTATGAAGCTCTTGAGAATTCGAGAACGGGAGTGATGTACAGATGTTAGGTGGGATCCCTCGACAGGACGAGCGAAACACGTACCGACAAGACTATCCAACAATCACTTAAGGAACCATGAAGAGGTTCATTCTTTCATATTACAAGTTTATTACATAATAAAGACTTTCGTTTCCCGGTAGTACCTGTGGCTAGTCTGGGCCTCCCAGGGAGTTTCGAAGTGTTTGTAAGAGCTCGGGGCCTGTTTACCGTCGCATGCAATAAGAAAAGAAAAGAAATACAGATCAACCAAATCTGAAGACAGAAAAGAGGAGGCTAGTATGTTAATAGCGCAAGAGTCATCTTTGTTGAGTCCTCGTGCTTGCTGCCTAAAGTATGTGAGAGAAATAAGGTTTTGTCAATGCGTTGGCTCGCTACGTTTCACTAAGATATAAGAAGCTTTGTCAGATAAACCAAAACATAGAATACCAGCCAGTAAAAGCAGCTTCAGTGCCATTAGACTCGTCGTCTCCGAAGATGTCCCACTTTCGGCAACTAATGTCTCTTGGTTCCAGAAGCTTTGTGACGCGGGCATTGGCCAGTCTGCGCATTTGCTTTCCTAGCTCGTTTACACCGAGCACTTCCGTTTTGCTGGACGCCTACTGGTGGGCTATCTCCACACTGCTAGGGAGGTTGGAGGTCGTTGAGATCATGGGAGCATTTGTTGGGGTTGTCAATAGTCGGGCTTGGGTCGGCATTAACGTGAATGCAAACTTCCTTCGCCTTGTCACTCAGATACAGATTAGGGACATATGCAGTGTAAAAGTGTTACTCACAAAGGCCAGGGGCCAAAGGGCTTTACTTTTGCCGAATGTAGCAGATTTTACCCGCAGGGTTTGTTTGAGAATATGGTTTGGTACGTCGAGGAAATGGAGGAACGGCAGCAGAAAGGGTGTTCAAATTCGGGGTAACTGTTCGACTTTGATGTTGAACCACTTTCAAGAGCTTTGATCATTCGCAAGTCTCCAGGCTCTCTCGCCCGCCCTAGGCCTTAGCAATAGCACCAAATTTAACCCTCTTCCGCTTCGCCAATTTGACGAGGTGATTCGTCGCCGTGATTCGTTACGCTTCTCCTGAAGAAGATTGCAGTATCGCGCGAGATGGTGGACGACGAGTTCGTTGAAGCCTGTTGTCCGGTTTGAGCTGTTCTGGGGGTTTTCATGAGGGTGTGCTTTTTCCCTCGTGGAGATCGTTGAGCCTGTGCCGCGGATTTCGGGTTGGAAGTGTGCAGTTCGTTCGCTGTCGCGTTTAGGGTAGTATTCGCAGACTGGGAGATCTTGGTAGGCCGCTCATCGTTTCGTAGTGGTAGCGGCGATGGGCTTTACGATACTTTCCAGGGTGGAGTTTGCTAAGGAGAACTGGAATTCGATCAAGGCCGAGACGCCAGAGAATCACAGCAGCTCTTGGCTCCCAGGCTCCTTCCCAGGCCCTCTTCACTGTCCTCCCTGTCATAACCAGACCATCCACCCAGCCAACGCCCCTTTTCTGTATAGATATATACGAGGCAAACCTCAAAGAACACGTAGGTATCCTCAGTCTCTGTATCTCAGTCACTTTGTCCAAACAAGGAGGGGTATAATCCAGTGTTGGTGGAGGATTTTCGGGGAGGATATTGAGTGGAAGATGGAACTCATGGAGGAGCATCTGTTGGCAGTGAAGTCTGTTGGCGGTGGGTCATACCCCAAGGGAGTCAGGCTGGGCATGATGGGTAGTCTTTCGAACGTAGGTGGTTATGAGGATCCGACCCGAGTATTATCTCATATGGCTCGGACTTGTTTAATGCTTCTCCTTGTACTCTCGGCGATATGGTAGTGTAAGCTTACCAACAGTATATTCCATGTCGTGTCTGTCCACACAGTGATCTAAAGGGCGGATGTCTCCCCACTGGCCCCTATGAGAAGGTGCAATAGCTATATAAGGGCTCAGAACTTTAAGTCGAATGTCTGGTGACGCTTCACCATGCGAGCCGTGGCCGAGTGGCCACAGTTAACATGTATATTCTTTTCTTCTTTTTGCAGTACCTCTCACGTTTGAAAACTGTGCATCATGACATTTTTAGCCTTTCCAGGTGCTCATATCGCTGAGATATCCTGTGCGGCAAGCTATAATTCTGGATACGTGGTAAGCCTATGTCTGCCGACGCTTCACCATGCAACGCTGTGGCCTAGCGGTCACAGCGCATCGTGTATTTTTTGTTTCCACTTTCGTGTCTCCAAACTTCCAAGAAACTCTATCTATAATCACTCTGTTCGATTCCTGTTTATGGATCCTTTCTCATTCCCTCTCACGCCCTAAGTTGCAGAATGCATTTATTCTTATTGCTTTCAGGGGCTGCAACGGGCTTGTCTGCTGCTTGCCTCAGGTAACGCCTTATTTGAAGGAGTACTTACATGACCCTTCGAGGCACCATGCATAATTATCGGTGATCTGTATGCTTTCACGTTTTGTGTTCCTATTTCATGCGCCCAATGTCTATTAAGGAGGTGAGGCATGAAGTTGGAGACGCGCTCACTAGAGCCGTCGTCTGCCCGTGCTTAGCGATCTTCCCCCCACAAGGCGGGTCACGTGAAAGCCGAAGGTATATCCCGCGCACCATTCTCTTTCCACCACGACTAGACTTACTCCTCTTTTATTTTTTACATTATCATCTTAGGAAACCTCTCAACTTGTCTTGTCTATCATAGACGGCACTGCTGTCTTGGTGCGTGAGCCACATGTGGCTCGTCAACAGCGCCCCTTTTCACATGTAATCGCTCCTTCTCCCAGCTCTCAACGCAGGAAGGAGCAACTACCACAACAAAACGAAGCGTACTCTCCCACCTTCCCCATGATACGATCTTCCATACCTTTATAACCTGTAAATGGATTGCATGTTCTCAACAATTACCGAAGCGGTGGCTGGGTGGTTAAAGCATGGTGAAGCGCGGCAGACGTGAATCCAAGGTCCGCCGGTTCGACTCCGGTCCGCTTTGTCTGCGTGGGAGTTGCAGGCTCGGTAATTGTCCCCTGAGACCACTCGGGGGTAAAGCCCGTTCGTTCTGCGTTCGGGGGGATTAGTAGGCATGCCCAGTGCTTTGCGAACCTCTTTTTGCTGTAAATGGCTTCAAAAAGGGGTGCAGTCACAAGCACAGACTCTCCCTTTTTTGATCTTATGTAATTGACTAAAGTGATGAGAAATGGTTTGAGACATTGTCAATCTAATTTTGTAGCCTCTGATTGCCAAGTTGCGTTGTCGTGGCTCTGTTCTTTGACTCGGTCCCCAATACCCCTTAACCTGGGCGAGGTGGTTGACGAGACAAACCAAATGTCAAGGAGAACACATGCTTCACCAGCGCTTCGAAATTTCGAAATTTCGTTTCAAATCCTTCTCGGGCAGCCAATTTCGGTCATAGAAGCGTTGAATAAAGCATGAACCCATCGTTGATAGAGTTCAGATCGATACAAGTTTCGCCCTTGGAACTACGGCCTCCTAGCTTTGAACTCGTCATGCTACCAGCGAATGACTTTCATACTGACACTTTAGGTTACAAGTAATACTCCTAGCTTCATATTCTCAGAATCGGTGATGATCTCAGGTGGTCCTAAAGCCCCTTGCATTTTTTTTGTCTTGTATCAGCGTGCTCGGTACAATTCCTTCGGACAGCTCATGAAGTCCGTGATATCTCAGCAGTGCAACTCATCCAATGTAGAGGAAGTGCACAAACTGCCAGCTACTTGGCCACCCAGTGTGTCGCAACAGCAGATTTGAACGAGACAGTTCGTCGCAAAAAATGTTCACTTTGCAGAATCACGAGACAGGGAACGCAAAGACCCATAGAAATCTTATCCATCGAATATTACGACGTAAGTTTCAATATAAGCATCACTAATTTCATAAGGAAATTACTTAGAATTCATTTACTATAATATTTCCGTACCTATAACGTGTTTGTCACTAGACCGTGACGCATGATTCTGGCATCTCAATCAAGACTGTGAAGATACACATGCATTCCTAGACTTACATTGGAGAGGTTGGAGTATTAATCAATAAAACAAAGATAATAGCACCATAAACATGAGAACCGAAAGAATTACATAGTCAGCTATACAAAAATAAACTAAACTAGACTATGGAATCCTCGCGCCTATGTAAGCGCAACCCCAACCTCCTAATCACCATTCCCACCTTCAACCGCGCCAAAGCCAATCCCCTCGTCAATAAATACGCCCAGACCAACCAGAACGAACGCGAATCCGACCATCTGGTTCGATAGTTCCATTTTTGCACATCAATGACGTCTGTGGTGTCAGTCAGCACTAGCTAGTCCATTCATCTCCCGTCTTCGGAACACACGGCTCTAATTAACTTTCGGTAATCAGCACGTTGCAGCCTCATTGAGGGGAACATATAACATCTCACCATGCCCTTTGCTTCTCAGACCAAATCATTTATGCACAATTGCTTACGATGGCGTTTTTAAAGTCTCTTGTCCTTTTTGGACTGTTGCAGTTTATAAACGCTGCGGCGACGAAATCTTCAGCCCCGAAGATAAGCTGGGAAGAATGTCCGTCTTTAATTCCACCTGGTGTTGATTGTGGAAAGATCAATGTCCCTCTCGCATATCAAAGCGGGAATTCTACCTCTGCCAAAGGAGACGATACAGTTGAACTGGTTTTCACGCGCTTGAATCACACAGGCAAAGGCGAGAAACATGGCGTTCTGTTCTTCAACACCGGCGGACCTGGTGCATCTGGAGCTGTTACCGTTGCTGGGTCACCATACGTCTCGGCGATTTCTTTCTCAGATGAACTTCGAGATTCATACGATATCATCGGACTTGATCCCCGTGGTGTTGGTGTGAGCAGTCCTGTTCAGTGCGATCCCAAGGTCTTCAACAAGAGGGTCAAGACTTTTGTTACTACGGATGAGGAATACGATGCGCTATTCAACTACAGTCGAAGCGTTGGTGAGAGCTGTGCCAAACTCACTGGTCCTTTTATTAACCATCTCGACTCCGTCCATGTTGCGAAGGACCATGAGGTCGTGCGCAAAGCTCTTGGTGTTGAGAAATTCAACTACCTTGGCCTTTCATACGGTACATTACTCGGTGCAACATATGCATCTCTGTTCCCCAAATCCGTGGGCCGTATGGCTCTTGACGCAAACGTGGATCACTCCCAGTCCGAGATAGCAACCCTCCTCGCAGAATCAACCGCCTACGAGACTGTTCTCGATCAATTCTTCAAATGGTGCGATCACAATTCAACATGTGCTCTTCACGGGAAGAATGCCAGCCGTGTCTGGGACGAGACTCTCGCTCGCGCGGATTCCGAAGCTATTCCAGCACCAGGCTGCAACGGAACATGTCGCTCCGACGTAACAGGTGAAGAGATTCGATACAATGCGCAAGAGTTTCTTACCTTTGTTGATCTGGACTTTGGCTCTGGATCTACGTGGGGTGCTCTTGGAGATGCTATTCTTCAAGCTAGCAAGGGTAACGCCACTGCGCTATCGACTTCACTGCCTAGCGGTAAAGTCGTGAATGATCCTAGTGGTTCTCCGTATAGTTACCTTGCTATCGGGTGTCAAGATTGGTTGCACAAGTCCAAGACTTCAGTGGACCTGCGTCAAAAGCTCATCAACGCTGTGACGTTTGCTCCTAGAACAAGAGGTGCCACACAGATGTATTACTATGAGAGTACATGTATCGGTTGGCCTGCACCGTTGACGAATCCGCAAGGACCTTTGGCCGAAGGTATCAAGGATGCTCCTACTATTCTGATTGCGGCTTCGGTGTATGATCCTGAGACGAGTCTTACCTGGGCTGAGGGGGTTAGGGAGCAGTTGACGCATCGAGTGAGTATTACGAGGAATGGAGCTGGACATACGAGTCACTATCTTGGAGGCGATACTAGCAAGGTCATGGATCGGTATTTGGCTACTGGAAAGCTGCCTAGAGATGGTACAGTCTACAAGACTTGAGTTTCAAGCAAAGTCACGAGAACTTGGATAATGTTGGGCGGCTGATATTAATAATGACGGAATTGGGGTGGTCGAGTGTATATAATTCTGCCATGTCTCTTCATGATAATACTTCTACATGTCTTCTATCATATCTGAATACATGCGGCAACTATGTGACAACTGAGATCAATATTGAGTCCCGCCTATGCTATTGTGGATTCAGACAAGACGGGATGCCGTTAGTCAAACTGCCCAAAGACAGACTGGGCTAACCTGGTAGCACCCTCCCTGTCATCAGATCGTCAGTCTAGCTCCTTAGTTCAGCCCTACAGACTGATGTCATCCTTCATGCAGCCCTACAATGAGCTCAAGAATGTCCATCACAGCAAACGTTTGACTTCATCGCCCCCATCATGTCCTTCGACGGAGCCAGCGAAGCACCGAGCCGAGGTTCGTAGCACAACGAAAATCCTTCGCAATCTCTTCAGTTCCAATCTCCGAACGCATTTCAAAGCACGTATCACAGTTCTTTGTAATGAAACCAGAAAATCTCAATCTGTGTAACGAAGGATCCACACTCCGGCCTCGGTATCCCACCAACTCCGAGAAAAGCGGGTTTCAACTTTCCGCCGGCGCCGATCTGATTACGTGAGCAGCTGATGCGATCGCGTCGTACAGCGAGCAAATGGCTTCACTTATAAGTCGAGAGAGTTGCCCAAACCATTCCCTATACAGCCCCCCTCCATCAAATACCAACTTACACGCCATCAATATGACAAAGTTCAAAATTACAGTGACCTCCGACACCGTCTGCCCTTGGTGCTATGTCGGTCGCAGACAGCTCCAGGCGGCGCAGCGCCTTTGGGAGCAGAAGTACCCAGACTCAAACGACACTTTCGACATCAGTTACAAGCCTTTTCAGCTAGCGCCTGACTGGGCCCGAGGTCCTGCGTCGAGCATCTCCAAGGAAAAATTCTATCTCGAGAAATTTGGAAGAGACCGCGTGGTCAAGATGCAGCAGCACCTGAAGGGCGTTGGGGAGTCTCTGGGAATCGACTTCAAGTTCGGTGGACAAACAGGAAACTCGAGGGACTCACATCGACTGGTTCAGCTTGCCAAGAAGCACGGCCAAGATGCCGAGAGCAAGGCGCTTGATGGTCTCTTCGCTGCGTATTTCGAGAAGAACGACGACATTACCAGCTACGACACCTTGAGAAACGTGGCTGTTGAGGCGGGAATCCCCGAGGATGAGTTCCAGAAGGCTATTGTTGAGAGCGACGAGGGTGGCCCAGAGGTTGACAAGCTTGCGGGCGAAGCGCGGTACAGCGGTGTCAATGGTGTGCCTGACTTTGTTCTTCAGGACCGATTCCGACTCCACGGCGCCAACGATCCGTCAACATTTGTGAGCGTTTGGGAGAAGATCAAGGCGGCAGGGCTGTAATCAGATTAATCGTTTAGGGTGATTAGATCAATCGCTTTGCGTGGTCAGATTGAAACAAGACTTCTGTGCGCTTCTCAAGGACGTCGTTCCAGAGGTGTTGACCTTGAAAGCCTGGGACATAGAATAGTAATCCAATTTCCTGACTCGTCCACCAACTTGCCCTGTCCATATTTCCTGAGCCCAACACCAAGTACTCGTCGTCCACAAGAGTCATCTTGAAGTGACTGACAACTGGCTCATCTTCTTGGTCGCGTCTGGCGTCGAGTTGCTTATAGTAAAAGATCTCCAGCTTGCCGGGCGTAGGCGATTGTGCCTCGGGATCCGATGATCGTGGCTGATTGACAAGAGCATTGTATCTCTGGATAAACTTGCGCAAACACCAGGACGTTGTTGTGCCAGCCGTGACTAGCTGCTCGATAAGCATCATACCCTTGCTGGTTCTGATCTGAACATCGACACCACGGGCGAGCGCATCCAACAGACTCTCGACGACAGGCCAGGAAGTGACATTAGGAGTGAGAATGGTGATCCGTCGCTGTGCGTTGTTGAACAGGGTCAGAAGCGCTGCGTTCAGAGGCGTCATTGGCGGATCTGTCTGCGATAGGAATGGGAAGAAGGAGAACCGAGGGTTTCGATGATGCGGCGAAGGGAGAAAGATGGTCGGAACTGGGCCATTGGCAGGGAAGTCGATGGACTGCGTTGCCGACGTTTCACTGTTGGCCTGTAGTCGATTTGGCGCTCTTTGATCAATTTGCGAATCTTCTTGAGAGTCAGATGGTCGTTGACGTTCATCGTTGTGACTCCAAACGCGATCATAAAAGGCCAAGAGACGGTCGACGATAGCTCCCTCGACCTCGACGCAACCTTCGAACCATCTCTCCCAGCTGACGTTACAACTTGGGACCCAGGCCCTCTTCCCATCGACAATCACAAACTTCGGATGCATAACGCTTAGTGGTGTGAAGAAGATGCTCTTGACGGTAAGGTCGATATTGGCCTTCTGTAGCAATTGCTGGTCGGGGAGGCCCAGCTTGGACCATTTTGACGGCTCATAGACATATCCCTCGCGAGATGCAGGGTGAAATAGTTTCTGAAATAATCCAAATGATGAGAAGCCTATTGTAATCCGCAGAGGATCTTTGACGTTGGCTTCAATACGCGCCGTCGCAAGCTTCTCGAATGTGTCGCGGATAGCGTCCAGTGAGGGTGAAGCAGCCCAGTAGCAGGTGATCAGTTGAACCGAGTGTTTGGCGCTCAGTATTGCCGGCAGAAGTGCGCGCGTGTATATAGAGTGACCTGTTCCAACGTATAATGTCTTGGGTGAGCTGGTTGTGATGAGGGAGTCGATATTGTTGACGTAGTAACTTGGAAAGTCATTTTGTTGCTCGTCGCGTCGCGATTGCAGGAGCTCTTTCCATGGGCGGACGAATGATTGCGGGAATTCTGTTTCCGCCATCTTTAATTACTTTTATTAACAGATTGAAATTATTAGATTGTATTAGAGGTTAAGTCACATACTGGAAGAAGTGAGGATGAGATGAGAAGGTTGGCGGCGCAGTTGATGACGCGGAAAGCTTAGGCGATGCCAAGCAATCCACTTTGTACAAGGTTATAGAATCCGGGGGAATTATGCATTAGAACTTGATTTCAGGTATAACTTTGATCAAAGGGTGAATAACGATACAGCTAACGGAGATATAATTATCTTATAAACTCAAATGGTTCAAAGTTGAGGCGCTGTTCCGCAACTTTCAGTGGGTTCGTTCACCGGTTCACCAACGGGATACAGCGGATCAATCAATGCGCATCTAACGCTGGACCAGCAACGCCGAACAGCGCAGTAAAGATGAAATCAATAGGGATAAACAAGATACATAATTAAGCAAACGACGTTCTATCTCATGTCCCAATTGATGCTCACCCCAATGAACCGCGGCTTTAGTAATCTCCACGACTCGCTCACCGCCTTCAAGCTCCCCGGCAGAATCCCCCACCACGACACCTCCTATCTTCCCATGGCGCTCTAATTGACTTTCCATCAACCAACCCAAACACCCTCAAATCGCGACAATGTTGTCAGGCGTTCTAGTCTTCAATCAAAAGGGCGAGAACCTTATCTTCCGCGCCTTCCGAAACGACTGTCGTCCTCGCCTCGCAGACGTCTTTCGCATCCAGGTCATCTCCAACGCTCAAGTTCGATCGCCAATCCTCACCCTCGGAAGCACAACCTTTAGTCATGTCAAGCATGAGAATATCTACCTGGTCGCTATCACAAAGAGCAATGCCAATGCTGCTCTTGTGTTTGAGTTTCTCTACAGGCTGATTCAGCTGGGCAAGGGTTACTTTGGCAAGTTTGATGAGGAGGCTGTCAAGAACAACTTTGTCTTGGTATACGAGCTCCTAGACGGTATGTTCTGCTACAATCACTGTACGGTGGCGCTGACATTCTTCAGAAATTATCGACTTTGGATACCCTCAAAATACAGAAACCGACACCCTCAAGATGTACATCACCACCGAAGGCGTCAAGTCCGAAGCCCGCTCCGAAAACACTTCCAAGATTACGATGCAAGCCACCGGAGCGCTCTCCTGGCGCAAGGCAGACGTAAAGTACCGTAAGAATGAAGCTTTCGTCGACGTGATCGAGGACGTCAACCTGCTCATGTCCGCTACCGGCGCTGTCCTGCGCGCAGACGTTACGGGCCAGATTATTATGCGCGCTTACCTTTCCGGCACGCCCGAGTGCAAATTTGGCCTTAACGATCGTCTGCTTCTCGATAACGATGGTTTACTGAGCCTCCCGAGCGGAAATAAGATGGGTACAAAGGCGACAAAGGCAGCGGCTGGTAGTGTCACTCTTGAAGATTGTCAATTCCACCAGTGCGTTAAGCTTGGTAAATTCGACGCCGACCGTATCATCAGCTTCGTTCCTCCCGATGGTGAATTCGAGCTTATGCGATACCGCGCAACTGAGAACGTCAACCTTCCCTTCAAAGTACACGCCATCGTCAACGAAGTCGGTCGTTCAAAGGTGGAATACAGTATCGGTGTGAAGGCCAACTTTGGCTCCAAACTCTTCGCCACAAACGTTGTCGTCAAGATCCCCACGCCTCTCAACACCGCAAAGATCACCGAGCGCTGCACGCAGGGCAAAGCCAAGTACGAGCCTAGCGAGAACAACATCGTGTGGAAGATTGGTCGCTTCACTGGTCAGAGCGAGTACGTCCTCAGCGCCGAGGCTATTCTGACAAGCATGACGAACCAGCGGGCGTGGAGTCGTCCACCGCTGAGCATGAACTTTAGCTTGCTCATGTTTACGAGTTCAGGACTGCTAGTGCGCTATCTTAAGGTGTTTGAGAAGAGTAATTATTCGAGCGTCAAGTGGGTGCGGTACATGACGAGAGCCGGATCATACGAAATAAGGTGAGTGCTCCCATTCTGATTGACAAGCACAGCTAACAGGACAGATTTTAAATGCATATAAGTGGTAGAACATGTACGGCGTTATGGTATATCCCGGCAAAAGTCGAGCGGGCGGTTTCTTTAGCATCAAACCATTATCCAATTTCTGCCCCTTCGTGATCACTCATCTTCAACTACCAAGACCCTGACACCTTGGAACTTTCCTCTGTCTGCGCCCTCTTGTTGACTCTTGATTGCAGCATCGATCAGGCAGGCGAAAATGTACGATGGGTGTTCTTCCTCCCATCCCAGTGCGGAAAGGTTCCTCGCCTCAACGTAGCGTCTCGAGACTGCATGCACGATATCCCCTGGTCTCTCCTGATCATCCGTGTTCTTCGTCCGCAGACCTTTCCACAGTGCATCGCGCGTTCGAATCTCGCTCATCTTGACGTTTTGTCTACCACATTGTTTGCACCTCCCCGTGCAGTCATCCACGAGATACAACACCTCGAGACCCTTCTGGATCGTACAAGCGAAGAATGCAACCTCTTCAAGCCCTAGCTCGCCATACAATCCTGTCGCCCACGTTTCGGAAACGTCAATTGCGACCTTTTTCGCATTCTGTAATGCCGTTGCTATTTCCGGTGACCATTGGTTCTCGAGGATGTCTTTGATTGGCGGTGGTACGAGGAGCGTTTCGGTAGCTAGGTCGTTGTGGTCGGATGGCTCCTCTCGGAAGCGCAGCATGAGAACGTCGGATGCAGGGATGGAGAGCTTTTGGGCTCTGCCTGGAAGATGGATCTCATTCATCTCCTGTCTTGCCTCTGTCTCTCTGACGGTTTGTTCGGCAAGACGACTGATCAACCTTGATGTTGCTGTTGCGTGATAAACGCTTGGGTCAAATGCTGCTTTTGACCTGACATTCTCGAGACGGTCGAGAAATACCATCTTTTTGTAATTGTTCAACTTGGCTTCTCCTGCCTTATCCTTCCTCTGTGTATCGAACGCTCTTTCAGCACGTTCATCGCCTTTCCATGATGGAAAGCAAACATCGAAGATGTGCATCGCTGGTCCGGGATGCGTGTAAGTCTGCCATATCTTCATCTGCAGCTCCAGCGGCAGATTGCCAAAGTGTTTGAAGGCCATTTTGATGTACAGTGATGAACAACTTGCGGAGAGCAACGGTCTAGTTAATCTGATATAGCAACGTCTCGTTCTATTTGTATAGCTAATATTCTGACCACCCGCCACGATATATCACGTCAGCAGTCTCAGCGCTAACAGAGTAAATGTTCTGAATGGTTGGAGTCATATTAAGGCTGATCTGAGATTTTGAGTCTGGACAAATGAATTTTGGGAATGCAAATACTGAGCGAAAATTATTACGTGTGCCGAGGATATTTGTGTTTAGCCCCTACAGGCTGGGACTCTGAGATCTTAGTTCGTAGTCAGCAACTTCAATCTCATCAGCGCTTAGTATGAAGTGTTTTCGGCGACGTCTAGTAAAATGTTCCCCATCTTGGTTACTTGGCTGTTATGATGCATCGTGGTGTTGTCATGGACTGGCTTGCGGGAAATGCCCTAAAGGTCCCGGCACTCGTCACTCAAGTCTCGAGCGATCCAGCTTTGGATTGAATCTTCCTAAGACTGAGTATCTCCTCGTTCTTCGTTCCTTGAACACGTTTCAGATCAACTGGCCATGCCTGTGACGATGCGGAGGTGTAGTAGAGTACAACACTTGCGATCTGCAAGCAATGTGTCTGCAAAGACCCCATCACCCAAGTCTCTTATATCCGCCCGTACCGTTATCAAACCTCGATAGACTTTTCTTACTGCTTCCAATGGTGCCACCTGGTCTTGTTGTTTCAATGAGCCCCAATCCCTCACCCTTATCATACGTTGCCATGTGCTTATGTTATGTCAAAGGACGATACCCTTGACTATAGCTCCAGGTGACACAAGACAGGTGTTTCGTGGGCTTCGTAGAGTTCAAAGGTATTGGGGAGGTCTTTTGAGGTCTTGCGACCAAGGATGGGGTGCGTAGTAGTAGCCCCTCGGCCGCGGCGAGGGTTTAATTCATTGTTGCTAGCTGCCTATCCATGAGCTGTCGAGATGCACTGGTATGTATGACCAGGGGCGTCAGCAACGGCCTGATAGCCCCCTTTTGTATATCTCAAATATCTCGAATTCTGTGTAGTGATGGCTGTCGCCATGCGTAGAGCAGATGAGCTCTCGGGGATCACTTCTGCAACTTGCCAAGTAAATCACTTCCGAAATAGTCCTCAGACCATGACTTTGAGCGCTGAATATGCAAGCACACTTACCTGCGTCTTTTCAGTTGTCAAAACCATAAGATAAGCTGGTCTCTGTCAGTGTCGCTCGCCGTCTCGAATGACTCCCGATTCATTGACAAGGTCCATGAGTCTCCGAGTAACACAGAGGACGTCGGTACAGATAGCGGCACTTCCTACTCCTCGGAACGGCAGTCACAGAATATTGCCTCCGTCTCAAAGGCCATGCTTCGCTTGGACCTTCTCGGGGAGCCGGAGGTGGGCTCCGGTGGCTCCGGTGGGAGGGTACCGCGAAGCGTCGGTCGTCGTAGCAAAAAGGATAATTAGTATCCTTGTATGGTGGATAAATATCTCTTGCGGCGCTGTTGAGGAGGTGTAGCTCACTGAACTATGAGCTTGTGTGTGACGATATGGTGTTGAGACAACGTGGTCGGAGGAACTCAGCCATTGGCAAACATCAGACCATTCCTCGGAACCTCGAGTATCCTCAAATAACTAATCATAGTCCCCTCATCCTCTGGATAGCGTGGTTATTGTTCTAGAATTGCGTTTGTGTATCGTGGCCATGAGGCTGGATGTGATACAGACGGTAACAATATTCAGCCTCAGCAACTAGCTCTGCGCCCTCAACGCAACTCGTTCAGAAGTAATATCCACTGATCACTGATGATATCTTTATACCTTCCTGTTTTATTTATTGCGTGATAGACCTGTAGCCATTCACATAGACCTCCTAGTTAGGAACACAGTTCTGAACGCCGTTCTAGACCAACACTTGCCTAGGCAAACATCATAACTTGCCTAGACAAACGTCATAACTCTTCCAGCTCCATTTTTTATATTCTCCGACGGGTCTTTAGTCTCTCATACCTCGATATATAAGCGCTGACTAGTAACCCAACTATCTATATCCGACAAAACAGTTCCCCACCCCGAAGCGATATATCTCCAACTGCGGGATAATAGCCCCCAGACAAGATCCTGACCACCCTATCTCGGGATTCAATTTAACTGATTGGCCCTGTCTTGGGCTATAAACTCACGCTGATCCAAAAATTCCCGTGCCCAACATGGTCAGGGCAACACAACCACGAGAAAGCCATGTGTTTAGTGAGACCTGAGTAAGCCCCCCCAGAACATCTGGGTCTGCTAGCCCCCCCCCAAAGCTAGAAAGCACTTTGGTCTACAAGTTTAATAGATCTTGTTTTTCCGCGGCACATAGTTACATCGGCTGTTACTGTTCACCGCCAAGAAACATACCACTGTTAAATAATAATAAAAAGTTAAAAGGAGCAATTGCTCCATGTAGCCAGGAAGTGCCAAACGCCACGAGATTTCCACGAGGTTACCGTGTGAAACTAACCAAGTTAGTGGTCGTGTCACTCTTGCGCATCAATGGGGTTGTTCCTGATAAAGTTGATCACTCCTATTTGCGGAAAACCTCGCGTCTAACTTCAACGCCGAACAACTGGGCCATTAGTCTAGGCCTCGCTTACAGCCTCTTGAATTAAGATTCGTCGCACCATTACTGTTTAAGCAATGTTCCACCGTTCACGGAAGGCATTCGTTTTGGTCTAATTGGTCTGTTGGTCAGTGCTGAAAAAAGTGTCATGCCTCCTTCAGCCCTATGGGTTGGTATTGTATAAGCGACGGTCGGGACCCTGCAGTTGGCCTGGCTCGTGATACGATTGAGGAAAACATAAAGAGGCCCTGTTGTCTCCGTTATAGTTTGTCTGGGGTTTGAGTGTTATTAAACATTAAGTGGTTTATCAGTCCACAGTTTACACGTGTTGGTAGCAGTCCTTGGCCGTGTTTCTTATATATAAGACTTCATCTTCTTCAATGATTGACCATCTGTTACGTTCTTCTGTTATTGCTTATCTGATGGAAACATTACTGGTCACATCGATCACGCATACATCTCGTCTAAGCCTGCATATCCTTTTTGTCTTGACCAATAACAACCTACATACACTGTGATATCATTCACCAGCACCTCGCTCCAAGTCCAGCCTGATCCTACTCTACAGATCACGTCACCTTGCTTCTTCCAACAACACTCTCGCCTCCCGATCACGCAGCCAGATCTCTTCTACTCGATCGTATTCCAGCAGAAGCACCCTCCCGAGACATACATCTGTACCACGCAATGTGTATCGCCCACTACCTCCACTACCACCATGTCCCCCCTTGTTACCGCCCAACAGGCCTGAACTACTACTACTCGTATTGTGCAGCTGCTTACTACGACCCCGTCACTAGCCAGCCCCTCGCGCCGTGTGGCAGCGTCTCGACCAGTTCTCCCGGCGGAGACCTCAACGACCCATGTACCATGAGTCAGTGTCTGATTGATCCGGGCTGTCGCTCCGGGGCATGTCGACTGGTTGATCTTAACGGGCAGTGGAAGTGTTGCATGTGCGGGAGGCGAGGGAACTTGAGCTACCAGTGCTTCAATGCTCGATCTGCAGATGTAAGGATGTACTGCACGCATCAGGTCTGCGAGAACTGCACAGAGGACAAGATTTGAAGAGGCAAGACCTTGAGGCCGAAGAATATCGGCCTCCTCATGGGATTTGAGTTGCAGCTGATGTCTCAGCTGCATATAGTCCGACGCTGTGGACGTCTGCAGGTGCAAGTCAAGCAGCCACATGTGCGAATTCATGAGGCTACACCTCGTGGCGTCTCCATTCCGGCAGGTCTATTATTATCACTTTTATTGTTGTTTTGTTTGCTGACTACATGCAGATTTGATCGTCATGTTGCCAATCTTGGTGATTCACGAGAGAGGCATCGACGAATTTCTGCAGAAGAGAAGATCATGGGATCAAGGATGGTCAAGTAACACTTTAGACACGAGTATGAATAACCGACTGAGGTTTCACAGTACGCTACATTCCGAGGTCGCCTTGTCATGACTGAAGAGATACTTTCTCCTCTTACGATATATCACAAAAGCACGGTGATGGTGGAATCATACTCGTCAGCTATACTACAACCCAAGCCAATTTGCCATACTTCCGAGCTCCTAACTCCGCCCGCCTGGCACCGATACTCATGACTTCCTCGAGATTTTACAGCCATGTCCGCCCTCGGGTTCTATCGCGGTTGGAGTTGCGCTGATGGTATCTCGATGAATGGTAAGGAGAGCCGGTTGAGAATAGATCGGAAAGCTGAAGATATTGGGATACATAAAACCCATATCTCTTTTGAGCTTCTCTGCGAGGTGAATTAGTCGCCATCACAACAAAGCAATGTCAACAGCCATATGTCGAAATCTCGTACAGAAACTCAAACATCATGTGCCATCGAATCACTTTCCGTCTCGCATGCGAGCATGTCTCAACACACATAAGTTACTGTCCAGTCGGTCTCTCTCACCGCCGCCCCTGCAGCAACACGACCAAGCAGACCATCCCATACCCTCCGCCGTCGGGCTACACGCTGCCCAAGTGTCCACTCGCGGACTGTCCGTTTGAGGCCAAGAATCAGGCCTGGGACTGCTGCTGGTGCGGAAAGACGTGGAATGTTGGTGGGCGGTGCAGTTGTGTTATGATTGGGGAGGGGGGCACGTATCGGTGCGAGCATATCTGCTGCAAGTCGTGTATTGCGTCTAGAGATTATTTCTCCTAACATGGTATGCGATGCGAGGAGGAGATACCCTTGGATGGTGAATCATGAGTTGCTGTGTTATTCCTGGAGGTCGTTGGAGATAGTTGTCAACACTTTACCACTCTCATATCTCCGCCCAAGTGAGACTTTCTGTCATGTCCACGTCATGATGTCCTCAACGATCCCTTCGGCTTCCATTCTCAGTCAACAGGTATTATCCCAGTAAATCAGTTCATATGCGCATCAACTCGGAGACTTGCCTCGTGACCATTGGCTTCTCGTCAAGTCCTCCTGAGGCTGACATGTTCTGTTTCACCAGATCACGTCTGCCTGCATTAGACCACCAGGGGTCTAAATCGAGATGTAGACAAGGACAGATGGGATGCTTCGATCGCGCTGGGCTGGTAGAAACACAAGATCCTGTGCCTTTTTGTGGGTTGTAGGTGTGAATGTGTTCCCATTGTCGAATGAGTACTCGGTGCCAAGGTCTCCCAGCCAAACCAACCTCATCTATTACCAATAGATATCTGGTACTCTTGGATATCGTGCTCTTACACCAATACCGTCGTCACTCTCATCCACACCAGATCAGTAATCGTAAAACCAGAGTACCGGGTTCATCATATCTCATCACCACCGATCTCAGAATCTCAATGTTGTGCCACCACACTATTCCCATCTACGACCGCCTCACTCCCAGGCATTCATCTGTGGCGTCCTATAAATGACCTCCAGCCCTGTTACACAGGACCCATCAGATCACACCCCGAGACATTGGGCCATGAAATTTTTCATGTCTCTGCCTCATCAGAGACTCGATCATGAATGCAACGCACACTCCGATGATGCAGCACTCGAGGACACGATCGATGGGGCTGCGCTGCTGCAGACGCCTCAACCCAGACCGTGCAAATTGTATGGACGAACTCCAAATGCGCATCTTTTGGTCTCTGAGTATGAGAATTGCTTCGCTGATGGGGAGAAACTAGGTCTGCGGTTCGAAAGAGGTCGATCTGTCTAGTCAGTTGGGTCGTTGGTGTATAAATAGTCCCCAAGATGAAGCTATCAGACCAGAAGGAATCCTCAGAATAACTGCTTCTATTCTCAGCAACAAACAGTCACAATGTGTCACGGGCATCCTCGACACCATCCCTGCGCCCACACATCCATCAACTGGCACTACTGCCCGTCGGCGCTCATCGATCTCGAGACGGGTTATGAGACGCCGTGCAGCAACATATCGTTCGCGGCAGCCCAGCCCACGACGTCCGACTGCCCGCTCCAGAACTGCCAGTTCAAGAGCAAAGGCGGAAGCTGGACGTGCTGTTCGTGTCAACAGGGTCCAAACACTCAAGGATGGTGTACCATGCCCTTGAACAGAATGACCATGAACCCCGAGTCTTTCTCGGTCGAGTCAGTTGAGACAACTTGCGATCACGGCTGTTGCAGCAAGTGTGTTCAATATGGTAAGTGCCCTAGTCAATATTTGATTCATTGATAAAGAACTAACACATACAGGCCCGAGCCGTGATGCTTCGCCTGAGATGACCTTTTCTGAGATACGCAAGGGGTCAGCGTCGCGCAAGTTCGGGTACAGCAGCGCCACCAAATCTCATCGTCGCGGATCAGCCTTTTCACTTCCTGCGTCCGAGGAAGAGTCTACGCCATCGCCATCTACGTCAAAGTCGAGTTCCGCAAGTTCGGGATATAAGGTTGGGATGGAGTACACATCGAACAAGACCAAGTCGAGCAAGAAGAGACACAAGAACAAGCGATGAGTGGTTATTGGTATTGGTATACATGAGTTGTGTTTGTGTGCATCTGGTGGTTGATTGTCATTGCTTATATTTCTGTATTAGCAGAGCGTCGTGTTTCGGTCTCGACAGCTTATTACAATAGACGTGGGTTTCACTCTTTTATCACAATTTATCTATACTCTTGACTACAGTATCACATCATGATGAAGTCAGATATCTCTTCTGTCAACAACCTCAATCTCAGCTCCGCTCACACAAGTCGAATAAACTTTCAAGCCAAGCCACAGCCATGCCCAAATCAGTCCACCCTGCGGCCCGAGATGCGTCCAAGCGAGGGGAAGCTATCGGCTCTTTTTGTCTAAAAGTCCCCTTCGGAAGTGAAAAGGCCACGTGCGTGAAGCATCCGGTTCCCGTCATGCACCGTTTGTCGTTCATCCAGATGAAGACTGAGACGAGATGAGACGAGATAAGGGTTGGTGATGATCTGCAAAGTTTTTGGGTTTTGGGCTGAAACATGAGTCGGCGGTCTGGCGATACGCTAGATTGAGATGGGATGGGTATTTGAGGCCTGACAATAGATTGATGTAAGTCGGAATCGTCGGTGGCTCGGTCTTCACAGCTTAAATTCTGAAGGTATGTGTCGATAGGATAGATACTTTCAGCTATGATCGTCGTATTCAATTCCTTCATCTTGAAGCATCACTCATATCCGTATGATTATGATGCATGGATAATGTCAACACCAAAATAGTCAACGCCACGTCAATCAATCAAGAGTCCTACCGTCCGTCTTAAACAAGTGCCATTTATTTAGTCAACGGCACCTCCGACGACACCTCAGACCAACCAAAATGAATCTGGATCTCGAACCGACAAGCTTCAACTGGCAGATAAAGTCTGACAGTACAATTGTCATGTCGGATTGGCTGACAGGCTACAGCAGTACGAGATGGCTATCATCAGAAATACCACCCTCCCAAATCTCACAGTCGTAATCCAAAAACCACGTGTGATATGATCGACATCGCCCATCCCATGTGGAAATGACAAACCAGGCCTTTTTTGCTGAAGGCATCGACAACCTCTCAGCCACTCGTCATCATGATCCAATCCCATCGCGTGGCTTCCACGCGAGCTGCCGTCCGTGATGGATGCATCTAGATCAAGCATTCCAGCGTAGATTGTCCCGATTGCCGTGAGTTATTCTCTTGGTGTTTATCTCACCTCACAGAGTAGCATTTTTGCCCCCCTCCCCTGAGAAACATCAACCTGGTGGCCACGAGTTCAAATGCAGACCATACATGAATTTCAGGAGGGTTGGCCTGGGGTATTGTACGACTCCATACGACCCTTGTGCTTTACAGGGCGGGACCTGTTCCAGGGGCAGTTTCTTCAGTGACTCCATCGTCCGTGGCCTGATCCTTGGATGTTTTGAAACGACGCTTTTTGTAACTATCGCAGTTTAATAGATGAAAAAAGTCTGTGTTTTTGCTTGAATTTGCATCATTTTCATTCGATTCTTCATCATCATACCATATTTCACTTTTGTCCAGTGCAGTCTAGGCCCTTGGACGAGATCCAACCGCCAAAACAACATCCCCTAGCGTTCTTGTACCTCGCGTGCCACACCCCCTGTAAGCCCCCTCCCCCCAGAACCAGCAGCCGCTGAGGCTTGTGCCTGGACCTGTGTGCCTGTGCCTCTTTTCTGCTTTAATCTCCAAATCTCCTCTCTTCTCCCCTCGGTTCCCCCCTTGCCCTCTTTTTTTCCCTCTCTTTTTAGATCTTTCTCCATCTTGATTATCCCTTTCGTATTCTATTTTCGTTCTTTTTTCTCCATTTTGGCCTTTTTGAGAGAAAAGAGAAGTCGTGAAGAGAAAAGAGAGACGGACGCTAAGACAATCGACGACAAAGCGCAATCATTTAAATTAACTTACCTTACATATAGCTCCGTCTTTCACTACCTATCAACTATTACGTCTAGCCAGCCCACTTTCTCTCTTCTCTCTCTGGCTTCGTCTTTTCTCCTCTTCTTCGAAACCTCATCCCCTCTTACGCGGTTTCATAAATCACCTATAGTACCCGCAACTCACCGTCGTATCAAACATCACCATGCCTGCTTCCTTGGACTCTTCCCGGCCCATCATGGCCCCTTCGGTATGTTATGACCGCTCGGATCTTCTTTTCCTCCCTCTCCCTCACTCTCTCTATTGCGAACGGATAGTGTAATACTGTCCCTTTGTCCCCCCCTGTTCAAAGGCTTGGGACTTGTCCCGCCTAGTTCCGCCTCTAGTTTGGTGTCTGCCCACTTTGAGGGTGATCAGTGATGGAACGGACGGGATGGATGACTGGCCGGATGAGTAGAGAATGGATGCGGATGCGTATGCTCTCGTCTGTCACCACTCACTTGTCTTTCAACTGAAATGTGACATCTTTGCCTCTCCGGCCGCTTGGTTCAGCCCATGCTACCTTGCTCGTCATCCGTCTTTGTTCGCAGTGCCTATCACTTCCACCTTGATACATTCCCCTGTCGCCTCACGTCCCTCAGCCCAACATTCTTTTTCCTCGTCGTCTCTTTTCTTCCAACTACTTCAACCTCATCTATCTCCCACCATGGCTAAGCCGTGGGTCTCGTCGCACGCTCACACCCAGCCCAACCGTCAAGCCACCAAGGAAAAGGACCAACCCGCTGACTCTACCTCCAAGAGCCGCAACTCCGTCCGCTTCAGCACCTACAGCATGGCTCCTTCGCTGTCTCCCACTGTCGGAACAACCGACTCTGCCCACGCCGAGATCCGCGACATCGCTACCGGCCTCGACCGCATGGAGAACAAGGCTCTCTCCTCCCAGCGCGTCACCCTCACCGACGAGAAGACAGACACCATGAGCAAGCTCGCCCTCGGTGCTAAGCTCGAGCGCGCTCTCGACCGAAGAATGAGCGGCCAAGATGCTGTCATGCGACCTCGTGGACAGAGCCTCAACGAGAAGCTCAGCGAAAAGGAGTAGACCCAGAAAAAAGAAGAAGAAACAATCCACCAAAACCAACAAACAAAGCAACTGTCTTGCGAATAAGATACCCCGCTACGCAAACGAGAATTCTTCTTTTTATTTATTTATCGATATAAATCATCTTGTTTTTCTGGTCTTGATTTCCTCACTAACGCCTTGGTTCTATCACTTTTTTCGCAAAGGAATGAAATACTGCGCCATGATCAACCTCAGGGGGAAATTGGATGGAAACACGAGCCTCAACTCAGCCTCATCCCCCAAATTATACTCGCGAAACCCACCAACCCACGGCTCTTTTTTCACGAATACAAACGGCATGCGGAAAGAATCTGGACTACGATCAGCTCTTGTTGATTTCATTTCATCTCTTTTTCTTTTTGTCTCTTATTCTGCTTTTTACTCTAATGGTATGTTGCGATGGAAATTCATTGGTCAAGATACGCAGGAATGGCAAGCAACGCATGGAGGAAGGTGATCATCAGGGCACGGATAAAGGGGCTGTTTCGCTTTTGCCTTATATCGTTTCCCAGGCGCAGCGAGTACGGGGCGGAGGAACTGGAAATGTATGATTACATTGGATGCATTTGTGATGCCATGTTTTGCACACGAGCTATAGTAAATGCCGACCAGAGTCGCCAACTCATTATTGTTGTCCTGTTTGTGGTGAAAACGATGAAAAGGTACAGTAGCAGGAAGAGTGGCCAAAGGAACCTTAGGGAGTTGTCTAAATCCATGAAATGTGTTGCAGTGATATTAACAAAACTCCTATAGCAACCATTACCAAACAAAGCATTCCCTTGATGTAAAAGACATTCCATATGCCAGTGTTGCTGGCATCTCTAACTGAGACCGATTCCATATTGGCCCCAGATCTTGTAGTCAACTCATGTCTCGGGCGGATTGTCAACTCCGCCTCACTCCCTCTTCATCCGAACCGCCTCAAACTCAAATCGCAATCAACAGCTCAGGCCATTCATGCCTCCTGCTTTTCAATTCTCTCCTCAACATCCTTCAACAACTGTACCAACTCTCCTTCTTCCCCCTCAACCTCAAGTCCTCTCCTGACCCAATCCCTTGCCTCCTCCAGTCTTCCCATCTCAACCAAACACCTTCCCCTTCTCCACCAAGCCTTTGCATTTCCGACCCAGCGCGCCTCAACACTCGCATGAGCATCAACTGCACCCTCCGCCCAATTCTGCATGGCCATGTGCGCCTGCGCTCGGTTCGCCAGAATTCCGCTGATCTCCTCTCGCACCAGCGCGGCGGGCTCCCACATGGGTCGCTGCATGGCCATTTGGAAGCCGAGGGTGTAGTACTTGATTGCCTCGGGGTATTTGCCCTTGCGGTACTCGTTGTTGCCGGAGTCGCGGAGCTTGGTTACTTGGGCTGTGCGCTTGGGGTTGACGGGCACGGGAGGAGGGGGTGCGCCTGTGGGTGATTCGACGTTGAGGAGAGAGCGGTGGAGGGTGTTGAGGGCTTCGAGTTCGGCGTTCAGTGTGCGCGATGGTTGTTGAGAGCTGATGGCCTTGGACTGAGGGTCCATCTGGAGGGGAAGGAGGTCGAAATGTGTGAGATCCGACATTGTGACGGATGTGTTTTTGTTTTGCTTTTTTGTTGAGGTTTTCTTATTATGGGTTTTCTTTATAGTCGTGAATTATTAAAAAGAGTGACCGGTTGGGAGTGTGAACTGGCAGTGAAAGGTTATGTGCAACTGGGTGTATGGATTGAGGTGCTGTTCAGGACACCTCACAAAAAGCTTATCTTATCAGCACATGACACCCCTCAGAGCCACCATCAGTCATACCCTACACTTTCTGGGAGTTTGTATCATAAACAACACCTCAGAAGATTGTTGAATAGTTTGAATATGCTCATCCTTTTCTATTGATGTATCTTGCTTATCGCTCAAGATGCAATGAAGTAAAAAATATGCAGTATGCTTGTATTTGTTCCTGATCCGATCCCACATCAATGGGATATCTATCAAATTACAGGGAATTTGTACATCAGCCAGGTGTCGAATCCGTTAAACTTGGATTACTGGTTAGGTGCTATTCATATCGTCGATAGATCTAAAAATAAACTGTTGTAGTTTGTCGATGTAAGTGAACAGGCTTACTGATGTGCCTACATGTTCAGAATACAGTGACATGGAGCAAGCTGGGCATTGACGTCAACACCAAAGACACATTCACATGTAAAACGAATTGATCAAACAAGAGCCTTTCCTTTTCTACTCCTATTGTGCTAATGCGAGACCCTGTCCCGGTTTGGGAAGCGTAACAAGATCACCTCCCATCGCCATCACTCATAAAACCCGTCCACCGAACTCTGGCGTCCTTGGATAATCAACGGGAGAAAGACATCAAATTCCAGAACCCTTAAAACGCCCATTAATGAAATATCCCTATCCATTCATCAAAGCCTCATCACATAACCCAAGGTCGAAAGAGTCTCCACACATAAGTCTCGGTCATCATCTTGTTGATTGTCGGTCTCTTGTGCTTTAATTCCTTCTTGTGAGGGCAGTGCAAATGTGGTTCGACGATCGGGGGGACTTTTTCATTTAGAACATTCTTTTTTGGGGGGAATCGACATCTACTCCTCGAGCCACCCTTGCCATCACTCAGCAAATCAAGTAAATCCCTTTGTTGAACCGCCGCGCCATTCTAATGAAACGCACGAGAAATGATAGACGTTGCCAAGTTTACCTAGACCGGCAAGATCCCAGGTCGAGGGATATGGCCAGCTTAGTAGCCGTAAGAGGCAAGGGCCTTTGCGGTCTCCTCCTTGACAGCAGCGTTCTTCTTCGCATCAGCCAGTTGTCGGGCGGCAATCTTCTTGCGCTCGTAGTAGGCAGCACCCTTGGCCTTTCTTCGCTCCTCCAATCTGAGTAGAGTTAGTCATGTTCAAGTCACACACAGCACAACAGCACATACCGAGCAACGACGTCCTGGTACTTCCAGCCAACCTCGTGGGACAGACGACCGACAGTGCAGAACTTGCGGCCGGGCTGGAGTCGGAGAACACGGAGAGCCTGGGGAACGACAACCTTCTTGGTCTTGTCGTAGGGAGGGGGGACACCCTCGAAGACCTTAAGGCGCTCGAGAGCAGCGGCACCACGGGCAGTCTTGTGGGGGATCATGCCACGGACAGCCTTGTAGAAGATTCGGGAGGGAGCGCGGAAGTGGAAGGGACCTGTATCGAGTCAATGCCTGTGGTCAAGCGTGGAGGAACGGTTTCGACTCACCACCGCGGGTGGGGTTGTAACGGGTGATCTTTCGGAGGTGGGCGTGGTACTTGACTGTTGGCATAATCAGCTTGGTGTTCTTGGGAGTGACATCGCTTTGGTGTTGACGATGCTCGGCCACAGATCGGAGTGGTGTCGTGGGGTAGACATACGCTTCGCACGGAAGAACTCGCCAGAGATGTTGAGAGCCTCACAACGGACAATAACGATCTTCTGGCCGCTGAGGAGCTGCTTGGCGACAATGGAGGCGAGTCGGCCAAGGAGATGGCCCTTGCCATCGATGACGACCTGTAAACGCACACAACGGTCAGCGAAATGCATCTTCAAGACCAATATTCCCATGTGAAGCAAACGGCGAGCAGCGTTCACAGCACCAGCAGGCGCCGATAACTGAGATCCCAAAGCATCCTCAATCCCATAACCAATGCTTCCCGGCTGCCCGCAACTCGTCTTTTGCCTCAAGACACAATATGAATGTGAATGGATGTTGTTTCAGTCGGTACTCACAACTTGCTCGAAGCTCGACATCGTAACCGTCTTTTCTGGGGGAATTAAAGAAAAGGAAAGAAGGGCAGCTCAAATCCTCAAACCGGTCGGCGAAGATTTGTGTTTTGCTGTGCTGCTGGGGTTAGTCGTCCCTCGAATGTTGGGTGCAAGTGGTCGCGATAGTGATTGACGGGCGAAAAATCCAAGGACCGCTTGAGGGCTCGTTGTGCCTTGTGAGTAAAGCGCGCTAGCCTAATAGGGTAAAGGCAAGCTTTCACTGCAAGCGACTCCTCCCAGTGCTTAGGTCTGGTAGCCCTAGAGGGTTGAGCCGAGGAATTGCCGGTAGGCGCACTGGAATCATGCAGTTTTCAGTGCTGATCCTAGAATGGTTCGCACGTGATGATGAAGATTAGGCTGTTCCAAGACATGGCATTGGCACCATCATTGGAGGTTTACATCATAAGTCATGACAAGGATCCGTGTTGATACTCAAGATTCCAATTAAATGTGCCAATTTTCTCAATGCTATGGTAGTTATCATGGTCAAGGCAACCCTTGAATCTATTGTACAGCTTGTTCTATATCAAGAGCAATGGTAAGGTAGTCGAATAATCGATTATTCCCAATAACGCCTGCACTTAAACCAGACAATCTTTTCAGATGAACATTCAACGCCATCGCTTAACCGCGGGCTTAAGATTCCTTTGCAATATCCAGATCCTTCAGTGTCTTTTGGACCTGTCTCACCAATTCTTTCCTTCGAGCTCTGACTTCGGGCATGCCTTCAGCCTCAACGCCGTCCAATTTCAACATGATGTGCATCATGATGCTCTCAGATAGTTTTCGGTGCTCTTCCTCTCGCTTCTTGGGGTCTGATGGTGGCGACTCAATGTAATCGGAGCACAGAGGCAACCACTTGATCTGGTACTCAACAGCAAGATCGTCGAGAACTTTCATAGGTCCACTGGCTGCGCCCGAAGATGTGGGTGGTGCTGGAGGTGATCTGGGGTGGTCGAAAGTAGAAGCGCTGTCTCGAGGGCTGCCTGACAAGGAGTCGCCATCACTGGTGATGCCCTTCTTCTTATCACGCTTCTTCTTGCGGCGGCGAGTCTTCCTGTCTTCTCTAGGAGCATCAACAATCACCATCTCCTCCTCTGAACCACTGCTGACATCATTGATCTCGGGCATGACCGCCATCAACTCGCTGTTGTTCTTGACACCATAATCTCGTACTGGCGCCATAGGGTCTTTGAGTTGCTTTCCCTTGTAGAGAAGCTTGATGCGTGATGTTCCTCGCTCAGGAAGTTCCATCATCAGACCAACCCGGTCCTTGACATCTATCACACGCAACTTTCCATCTCCAATCGCATATGCGGGAAAGTGAGCGGGATATGTGATGCCGCGATTCTTGATAAGGAGGACATCGTCTTCTGGAGCTGGTGGTGGTGCAGTCGAGTGGGATCTGGGATAGTATCGATCCTCGGTGACGCCATCAAGATCTTGAGATGTGATGTAGCTAAAATCTTCGTCGGTGACAGCGGGGACGCCGCTGGGCATAGAACTGTAGGGCGAAATCTGTTCGCGGCCGATGGACCAGCCGTATCTCGACATTGTTAATGGGACGGCGAGCAGGACAGCGAGGCTGCTGTAAACAACGGTAGGAGGGACGCCGAGAGTGTCAGATATGTATCCGCTCGAATCTTGAAAAGCAGACGAGAGGTTAGCCAGCGCCCCGTTGAGGTAGGACGTGACGTTTTGTAAGGCACCGGGAGATGCCACGATTTCTTGGGCGGAATCCACCTTGTTCGACGTTTTCTAAGGTGGTCCAAAAAAGGACACCCTAGAGGCGAATGGGAATACGGGTTGCAGCAATTGACCAAACCAAGGTCCGAACAGGAGGAGGTCAAAAGACAGGGCGGTCGGCGATAAAGCTGAGCGACTCGTACTGGTGGTTCTCTTGTGATCGACCCGTGGGCTGATGTGGAGCGATGAGCAAGCAGCAGGACAGAGCCAGGTGGGCTACGCTGCACGACGAACAAGAAGTTTGCAAGGCTTGCAAATGGCAGCAGAATGCGACGATCACGACCCTTGGGCCAGGGTCTTCCTAGTGATAGTCGACAGCGAGCGACAGAGGCTAGAAGGTATCTAACCTGTCTTGTCTTTGCGCAACGAGGCGAGTTGGTAGTGGGGGAGGTCAGATCAAGTGACTCTGGTGATACAAGGCGAGACTGGGCAAACGGGTGTATCGGGGCTGGGCTCTTTTGCGGGTGCCACTGGTGAGGGGCTTAGGCGTCGGTGCAGCCCAGATTAACAACGTCTCTCTTTTTTTGTTCTTTCTTGCAGCCAAGCGTAGGTACCGGTACCGAATCGTGAGTTGATGATGACGGGGGGCGACGCAATGCAAGAAACCGGGCAGCTTAGGGGATACCTGAAAACTGCAGACGTGAGACCGGCGATTGGTGGAGATGTGGGCGGAGTACAGCAAAGTACATGTACAAGAGTCGCCCCAAGAAACAAATCGAATGCAAAGAAATATGCGCTGTAGATTTTGTTTCTTTCTTTTTAGGAATAGCGAGAGCTTGTTGTGCGTCGTTGCGCCTGTGCTTGTGTCGCAGATGATGATGGATGGTGAAAAAGTCTAGTCTCGCAAAAGGGAGAGAGGCCAGATTTGGATTTCTAAATTTGATGATCTGGACCCCTCCACTGATTTAATCTCAGCCAAGAGCCGCACGGGGAAATGACAACGCCTCTTCCAGGTTCATGGCCTGATAATTGGCAATCGAAACCTGGGGGAATGTGTCAGACTGTTCTAGCGGGAAAATGGTAATTAAGGGGTCTCAAAGCGCTAAGAGTTGAGGTTATCTCTTCAACTTCAACTTTGAAGTTATAGATCTGGGTATATTGAGTACGAATAACTAGAACTTTGGTGATAAAGACTGCATCAGTTGTTTTCAATTCATTCTCGTAAACTTTTGACGTCCTGTTGTAGGAAACTGAGCTAATGTCAGGTATAAACTACATCATGAAGTTTGTCAGTGTTTTCCTGGTGGGTATGTTCCGAGCCACTTCAGACTTGTCTTAGATCATTTGATACAAAGTCTGAGCCAATGACCAAAGAGAACTGGAGTTAGAAACCCATAACCTAAGTCACGATCCATTGTCAGACGATTGCTGCTTAAAAGCTCCGGCCCCTCTTGAGTGGAGGTTTGACGATGTTATCATGACTAGTAGAACCGATAGACCACCGTAGACCCTCATTGCTTAAAAGGGCTGAAGTCTAGACTATAAAGATGTTTATGGTATCTTATGTCTTGAATAGAAAAATTCCAGGTTTATCGTTCTTATTCCCTACCCAATTACTTGACTGCCCTTCAACTCAAATATTTTAGACTTCATCTATTTACACAATTGGCTCCACTTACCCTACTCCAAATTATATGCATCAGTGAGAGATTCATCGGGAACCATCAGCAGAAAGTTATTAACAATAGTAAATGAACACTTGAATGCTTTTTCGAGCTCAGGTGTTATTATCATGCTCCATGATGAGTGATCCTTCGGCTTATAAATGCAAGGATTCACCGGTAGTTGCTTGTTCTCACGCAGCATAAGCACTTACACAGTACGCTGACTGAACAAAGTCTAAACACCAACTGAAATCATCACGTCCTGCTTGAGTAGTATCTGTAAGTGATTACATTCACAAGACAAATACATCACCAATATTCAGCTGCACAGCCGAGGCGACGATGAACGAAGCACCTCATCACAATGATTCCAAAAGGCATGATTACCTAATCCCGAAAACCTAGCTCATTGCATCATCGCATTTTTCATGGTTGCCGAATTAATTCCACTCAAAAAAGCCCATGACAAAGCAAACTCGCCTTTCACAGCCCAGCATTGCAGTACAACCAAGTCAACCTTTCTCTATCTGACGTAGAATAAATACCTCCACCCCACTTTCTCTTTTCCTACTTCAAAGTATCTCGCTCTTCTCTATGAGTTTCTTTAGATCATTCTTCACTCGCGCAACAAGCCCAGGCACAATGACTCAAGCATCTACCAAAGTTCAGCAGCTCATCGACAACAACTCTGTTGGTACGTTATCTTTGTTTGCCCCGCGTTGGACCCTTGCTAATGACCCCTCGTAGTTGTCTTCTCCAAGTCTTACTGCCCTTACTGCAAGCAGACCAAGAAGACTCTGGATGAGCTTAACGCTGAGTACGAGCTCCTAGAGCTTGACGAAGTTTGTAAGTTTTGCAAGTTCAATTATAATACATCAAATTCTCTAACACTGCATAGCCGACGGTCCTGCCCTCCAGGACGCTCTCGAGCAAATCTCTGGCCAGCGCACCGTCCCCAATGTGTACATCAAGCAGCAGCACATTGGCGGCAACTCTGACGTTCAGAGCTTAAAGTCTGGTGGAAAGCTCGCTTCCCTGCTCAAGGAGGCCGGTGCCATCAAGGCGTAAGAAACACCAAAACGAATGTCGGACACGTTGGGCTAAGGACACATGATGCTTCAGTTCCAAGCTCTAAACATGTCTTTGTAGACCGTATGCGGCATATAGATATCGGTTACACCTGAGGTTTAGACGGTATTACAAGATGGGTGAATGACCCAGATGAGTTGAATTCATGACCCTTCACATTGGCTTCCTGGCTTGTGCCTAGTGATACATGGCTTAATTACCGTAATTTACATATTTTTGCTGTGACTTGACCGTCTCACAAGACCTGGGTGGCAACAGTACCAACAGGCCTTTCGACAAACTCCATGACGCCATTGATGATGTTCTTCCTGGTCTCCTCTGACGCAACCTTCTTACCAGAGAGGTAGTTGAGCCACAGCAGCCTTGAAAGTCGCTCGTCCTCAACAGTTCCCAATGTAGTCTTGACAGACTCCCTACGAGTGCCATCAGTGTAAGTGATGGTCAATTTTCCAGCAGCATCCCGAACAAGAAGCAGTTCGTTCTTCTTTGCTACCAGCCCTCGTTGGAACAGGATCTTGAAATGTCTCATGGCATTTCCAAATGTCTCATCGTTATACTCCGGGTTATGTGATGAGCGAGCTTGAATAGCCCTCACAAGGCCGTCGCGCATATGAGGGAAGTCAGTATCTCGAACAGGGGTGATGCGGAATGCCGAGCGACATCCGGCATCCTTCAGAATCGAGTTCCATGTCTCTTCGCCCTCGACAGGATCCTGAAGAGCCTTGCGCAGATCCTCCTTCTCAGAGGGAATCAGTGTTGTGGCTAGAGGGTTAATCTTCTTGACTAGATACCGCTGGAGCTTCTCGATGTCCTGGGTAGCAACATAGAAGCCAACCACGTACACCTCGATACCAAGGAAGGTCACTGTCCTTGTTCCCAGTCCAACCAATGTGAACTCCGTACCGTGCTTGTCTGTTACGGCTGCCGCAATTGGGCCAGCGACGTCGCCTGCTGCTCCGACATTCTCAACTTCTAATGTTCGAGGGAACAATTTGACAGTCTTGTTGCCTGTAGGAACAACTTCATTTCCGTCTTCATCGTGAATAACCACTTTTCGCTTCTCGCCCGCCTCGGTCTTGAAAACTTCTGTCGGGATTTCCGTATCGCATTTGATAGCACCCTTTTCTTTTTCGCCTTGGGCTTCAATGGCCTTCTTTAATTTCCAAGCTGTATAAACGAAGGAGACAATGCCGGCAATGGCACCAGCAGCTAGAAAAGCAGTGCGGTTCTGTTCGTAATCTCGTCGCTTCGAATTGAGCTGATTAATATCGAGGTCATCGGTTAAACGGTTCGATCGCTGGGAGAAAAGAGTCCGTCGGGTTGTTCGAGCGATGGCACATCTTGTGTGGGCTGATGCGCGAACCGCAGGGCGGAGAGTTGAGGGACGGAGCATCGTGGCGCTCGCGACGTAATGTCGAACAGACCACTGAATAGCAAATTAAAAGAACAAAATCTCCTCAATCAACCTCACCAAAGTAAATGAGCTTGGTGGTAATGGTCTGAGTTGCTAGTCAGGTACGTGGAAGAGTTCCCATTCCCTACGGAACATACGGGTAAACCTAATCCGAGGAAATTGAATGCTTGCCCGCAGGCCCCACAAAATACGTCGCCAAGTTCAATTTCATCGACGTCAGCGATGCCATCGTGAGGGGTCTTACCCTGTACCTTGAGTTTTAGAGGATAAAGATGCTTCAAACATGATAAGATATCATGGGAGAGGATATGGTCAAAAGATCGTTGTCAGTCTCAAAAGCGCTAGCATATTTTAAACAGTTATCCAACATATTATTTCTACATATTAAGCGTGTCTTTTACGGCAATATAGGGACACATGGAGCTTCAACGTGATATCTGCCAGTTGAAACGTGCATCAGCGTGACCTTTGTGTCATGTGAAACTCAATCATCAAGATGGAGTCGTTGGCGAACCTACTTACCTTTCTCATCATGTATGTTAGAAAAGACATGCATTTTCTATCCTAAGGTAGTCATGGTTATATGCGTTTACTTGCATCCTTATGTCCATCATCACTTCATCTATTAATGGCTCAAGCCACCTGCACGGCGGATATTGATTCGTCCTTTCAACCTTTGAACCTCAAATCAGAACATTGATCACACCTCCTTCATGTACCTAATCCCATGTCAGTCATCTTCCCCGCAGCAACAACAGAGACACGGCCCAGAGAGACATGTTGACTGAGGCGTGAACCAAGCACGCGGTTTACTGAAACATGAATCATTCCTCGCATTGAAACCTCATCAAACTCCTGACTCCAACTCACGCATCGTCATCATCAAGAACAAGAACAAAACAAAGACCCGCAAACCTCAAACCCCTGACCTAACCAGTCCTGACATACCAAAAACACCCCACTACGGACATCCCGCCCGC